ATAGGCCGGAGCTGTGAGCAGTGTTAACCCCATTTATTGTGTTAAACTGGTTTTATTGTTTACGTGTTTACAGTGTACAAACATTGTATAGGTGGCAGGTTGGTGGCTTGAATAGAGGCGTATTATTATGATGTATTGTATTCAAGAACTTTAGGAAATCAACAGATGTGTGTTTGGAGGGTATGTGTGTCTGGAAGGGGGTGCTGCCCCCCCCCCGCCCCAATATTATGGTGGGTGCCCGGCTACTTCATGCTGTCCCCGGCCTCACAGCTGTTCATCAAGCTGTCGACAGCTGCTGTGCGGCTTTAGACAAGTTGTTAGCTAAGCTGTCAGCTGTTCTAGTTGAGCTGCTAATCAGCTGTTCTCCACTTTCAGCAGCTAAACCGTGTTCTTCCTGCCTAAATCAAATAATTGCAGCACGCACACATACGCATCCACGCTCACAGGGCCTTGAGAACATTCCAGAGAAACTCAAGCACAGTCTACTGCCTAAAATTGTCAAAGCGTGCGTCCCCCTGCTCGAACTCCCTCTCTCCTCCTTGTCTCTGGTTTCCGCCTGAAAAAAAGATCAAGGAAATACAGAAGAAGACATTGAGCAAGACTTTTTTGAAAAATCAAAATTTCAAATATTTGTCTCCATCAAAATTCGATCGTCATTAAATTTTTAAAAATTTTGAAAATCCGCGAAACTTTTTGTAAAAATCCGCGAATTATTTTTGTTTTGTTTTACGATGTACACAAAGAGAACATGTTCACAACTAATTTAGAAGATGGGCGCGAAGCACCCTCTAAGGCTAGTATGAAATACAATTCTAATTCTTGATCCCATGAAATATATAGTGTTAGAAAGTTGATTGAGTATATTCTGTATATAACTATATGGAAGGCATCTGTCTCAACTCTTCTATAACTTGAATAGGCTCAAGCTACTGTTAACACATTTTAAGGAGGGGTGGGGTCTGTGGTCCTTAATCCGAAGGGTTGAAAAGGTGCGGGGGGATTAGTAGGAGGATAGAATTAGCAGTTGCAAAACTTACTTTCTATCTATGTATACGAGTGCAGAGAGGTCATATGACACAGATGTTATAAACTGAGGAAAATCTGTCAATTGACAAAAACAACTCCAGTTTGAAACTTAAATTATTTGCACTAATTTTGGCTTTTCAAATGATATAATATTGAACAATGATGGGATTTTACAAATTATGATATTATATATGTCATTTAAAAGTACATTGAGTACTTAAAAAATCAGATTTTGCAACATTTTTACTTTCAAATAATTTTACGGTGTGATGAAATCTTTTCAATCTGTGGCGCTGGGCAGTCAACTCTCTCTGCAACATTTTGGGAATCTTCTAATGATAATCTGACCGTTTTCGCAGATAATCTAAACATATTTCTGCTCACCTGACCGCAACTCAGCTAGCTAGCAACAACGCAGCTTAGTTAGATAGAAACAAGACAGTCTAGATAACTTATACAACATCAGCATTACAAACTAATAGTTAAACAGCTAATATGTCAGCAACCCAAAAAAATATTTCAAAAATTAAAAATTAAAATATTTAAATATGGTGCAATTATCTAGAATCTCCATAAATTATTTTCAAAACATTTAAATGTTTTTATCGCGTCGTGAGAAAAATTATACATATGTGAAAAAGCTGTGGGAATTGACAAATTGTAAATAAAAAAAATCATTTAGATTCATGTTTTTTTTTATTCTTTTATCGGAGTATAATATTGAACTTATAAGAAGTCTGATTTTAAAGTGACCTGAACATGACTATAAAATACTTAAAGTTATTACTTTACCGAACATGCCTAGTGTGCAGAAATAACGGCAAGCAGGCCTTAAACTTTTCCATCTCTAACCAACCATTGGGTCTCTCGGTATGCAGAGGCGTGAGATTCTTAAGCTGTCCGCAGCTTTATCAGCTGTCATCTTGAAGCTGTCTACTGCTGTCAGAGCCATAACAGCTTCCGAGGGCGCCACAGGGTGAAGATTTTAAATCTGTCAATTTGCTTGACTTGTTAGGCACATAGGGCAGCCCGCCGGAAGGTTTTACTTATTAAGGATTATTAGAAACCAAATTCAATGTTTGTAGAATATTTCTTGAATAATTTTTATATTTTCTGTCATACCTGCACATTTTATGTATTCATGATTGTTATCAACAGATTATGACAAAAAAATCGTCTCATGTTTTTTTTTCTAAAGTTCTAAATACTAACATATAAATTGTGTATACTAAATGCATATTTATTTAAGATCTTAAAAAATGTGTTAAACAGTTCTTTGTCTTTATAAAACGCTTCCTTTTATGGCCAAAGGCATTATATATTTTTCTTCCTTCTCTTCCTTAGTTTATGCGTAACTTTACAACCACTTTTTTGGGGCGAGGGGAGGGGTGCATGGCGTGTTTGACCCTTTTAATGGCATGGCGCTTTGAAAGGTGCATCGTAATTATGAAAACTAAGGAAAAATTATATTTATTTGGAAAACTGCACAAAGGTGTCTGTTCTAGATTTGCAAACTTTCCCTTTATTCGTTAAACCCCCCACCCCACCCCACCCGCAATCCCGCCGCTCTAACTCGAAAATGCACCAGAATGCATTACTCTGAAATGTTTCGATCTATCTATCTACCTATAGCTGCCATTATCTATCTTTCTATCTGTTTATCTATCTACCTATAGCTGCCATTATCTATCTTTCTATCTGTTTATCTATCTACCTATAGCTGCCATTATCTATCTTTCTATCTGTTTATCTATCTACCTATAGCTGCCATTATCTATCTTTCTATCTGTTTATCTATCTACCTATAGCTGCCATTATCTATCTTTCTATCTGTTTATCTATCTACCTATAGGGTTACCTTTCTATCTATCTATCTTTTTATCTATCTACCTATAGGGTTACCTTTCTATCTATCTATCTATTTATAAACATTATCTATCTATCTATCTATCTGTGTGTTCCAGAGAAATGTCCAATTTCTCCCATTAAATATTTTTGTCTGCACCAGAACTGTAATAAACTGCATACATGCAATATATACGAGGCCTTTGTCTTTACCTTTAATCTTACAAATCAATTCTAGAATTCTAGAATTCTTTTTTTTCTCTTATTCTCTCGCTATCCCTTTCTTTTTTCTTTTTTTTTAACGTATTTTTCCCTTTACATTTACTCATTCCTTTACCTGTATTTAGCTCTTTAAATCTTACGGTTAATTTATTATTTTCTTGGCCTTTTTTTTACCTTTTTAACTCATTTCTTATCTGATCGAGTTGAAAACCATGACAGATAAATAAAAATCTTTCTTTACTTTTCCTTTTTTTTACCATTTATTTTTTTTATTTTTCTTCCTTTAGAGCTTTTTTTTTTCTTTTTCTTAATCATCTTAACGCCCAGGTTTAAAGCACTGTAGACATTATAAAAAGGGATCCTACATTTTTACGACCAGATTTTTAGAATAGCCCTTTTTAAAATAGGAATGGAGAGAGAGAGAGGAGAAGAATTAAAATCAAAGCTTGAATGTTTTTGAATAACGTATTTATCTGATTCTGTTATTTTTATGATTAAATATCTATATATAAGTTGATCTCTGTCTTTAATGTATTTATCTCTTTATTATTAATCTATTTCTATATCCGAATATCTATCTATCCATCTACATATCCAACCAGATATCAATCTATTAATCAGTATATCTATCTACATAACTATATTTCTAACTCTAAGTACCTTTCCGTCTATTCACCAAGCTATAGGATCTAGCTATTTATCTATAAATTTATCCAACCATCTTCTGCTAATATATCTATCAATCTATCTAACATCTTTTTACCTATCTATCTATCTATCTATCTATCTATCTATCTATCTATCTACCTATTTAAATATTTATCTATATATCTATCTATTTATCTATTTATCTATCTATCTATTTACCTATCTATCTATCTATCTATCTATCTATCTATCTATCTATCTATCTATCTATCAAGGTGGTAGGAATGGGAGGCCTGAAACCTCCGGATTTAACGTGTGTTTTATCTATCTATCCATACTTAATCTATCCATCTATCTAACTTTCTATCTGTCTATCTATCAATCCGCCCATCCATAGATATATATATGAAAAGCCAGACATCTATCTATACTTCTATCTTATCTATATGCTTGTCTACATCTAATACTAGTTGTCCCTATTTTGTTTAAAATCTAAGAATATAAAGAAATATCTGACAATGTTATCTGCTGCGGATGAAATTGTTCATCTTTATATCAACTTGTATGTCTTCATTTCAACCCGTGTCTCTTTCTCTTCCCTGCTCTGGCCTCTTAGCCTCCCTCCGATCATTGGTATATTGATCCGGGGTAATAAATATATCTCTGATCTAAGATAATAAATATATCTCTGATCTAGGATAAATAACTATATCTCTGATCTAAGATAAATAAATATATCTCTGATCTAAGATAAATAAATATATCTCTAATATAAGATAAATAAATATATCTCTGATCTAGGATAAATAAATATATTTCTAATCTAAGATAAATAACTATATCTCTGATCTAAGATAAATAAATATATCTTTGATCCAAGATTAAAAGATTTTATCTCTTATCGTTAAGAGATATATTTTCTAATCTTAAGATTTTACTGATCTAGGATTAAGAGATGCACGTGAGATCAAGAGATTTGTTTCCGAATAAAAATCAAGATTTTGTTTTTACAACCTGTTCCCCCCCTACCCCTTACACCTCCCTATATAGGGTCATATTTAGTTGTATGTTGGTTTATTTGGTTGTGAAAACTGTTTAAAATTATCAATAAAAAAGGAAGATCTTTTGATTTATAATGTAAATAAAAATGATGGTATTTTAAAGAAAACGATAACTAGAAGAAGAGTGGGAAGTTTTTTCTCTATATGGGAGAAAAAATATCATTATTATTTTTAAAAATTTATATTTTTAAATTTCAGGTTTGTTGATTAGTTGATTGATTGATTGATCAGTTGATCAGCTCACTAGCAGGGACAAGGTGGCGCACTCACATATTCAAGTTGAGGTTTCCACCACAGTATGGGGACAGGCTCAGGTTAACAACTTTTTATCATAAAATTATAACTTTTTAAAAATTTAAATACACCATACTAACGTGGAATAACGTGGGAAAAAAAGCTTTTTAACTAAAAATATCGTATTAAACTTGTTCATGTGCACTGATTTCCTATTTTTTTGGTGAATTTAGTTTGCTGTAAATCAGACAACTGGAATTTTTCAAATTTTTCTTGTGAGCCCTGTGCTTATTTTTTTTATATTATTTTACTATTATATTTAAAAACAGGGGCTCCTAAATAATGTGGAATATTAAACTTGGTTTTCACTAAACTTTTAAATTTGGTTATTTGAATAATTATCGTAGCTGCAGAACTCTGCGCTCAAATCATACGGTTTATAGGTTTAGAGCTGTAGGTCGTCTTCCTATTTAACTAAACGTGTTAAATGATAAATATTTTTGGTTGTAGTTAAGCCAGGGTAGGTGGACTGGAAGCTCTGGTAACTCTGGCAACTATTCAAATCCAGATTCTATCATGACCCAGGTTAGTTTCAAATTTCTATAAAAACTGATGTATATATATATTTATATAAATTTTCTTTTTAACCCTTCGTATGTTTCGTTTTTCTAAAAGCTGGATAAAGTTGTAAGAGGAAAAAGTCCAAAATCCAAATAGTTAAAACAATGAAAGCCATAACACCATAAATTCCGAAAAAAACGTCCCGAGTTCTAAAGAAAACTACTTGAATCTTTAACACGTCTTAAAGTTTCTATTGCAGGCGGATATGAACGGAGAAAAAGACCAACAAGCTCTACCATCATTCTCAAAGTATGTTTTCTAAAATAAAAAATAAAAATATTATTTTTAAAAAGGAATTAAGTCTTTGCCACAAACTCAAATTTTCTCCTCCTTATATCTTTATAACCTGATGATGTAAACCTTTTATATTTCAAACTTAGATTATTTGATCTAACAGATTTAATTGTTTTTAAGATCTAAGATCTTCGACATTGGGTTGCATAGATAAAGGGATTAGAAAATCAGAGTTTGTTGTTAGGACTCAATTCCATTTTGGCCGTAAGCTATAGTTAATATTTGTGTGTGAAAGAGAAACAAAAATCTTTAAAATTTAATTTTAAAATTTAAGTCTAAAAATTCTTTTCAATATAAAAAAATTCTATAATCGTATTTTGTTATTCCTTCAAAAAGCACTGATCAGTGATCATGTATCCTTTTTAGTCCACTGGGTTAAGTTAATTCCTTTTGGATATCTCTAAAGTTAATTGGTTAAGTTAATTGGATATCTCTAAAACTAAAGGTTCAACCAATCAGAAGCCACAAAAAATCTACTCACGACCAATGAGATATCGTGAAAATAGTATTTTTATTACGGAATGTCTTGTTTTAAATAAAAAGTTTCCGGTGTTGATTTCTAGTTCAAGCGTTGTATATTAGCGATGTAGGTTTCTAACTTTAGTTAACCAATTAAGATTTAGCTCTTCATAATAAAATTTCAAGATAAGGAAACATAGAAATATAGCAACGGAACTGTGTGTTTGCCACAAACTCTGATTATCTAATCCCTGTATCGAAGACCTTAGATCTTTCAAATTATGAAATCTGATAATATAATCCAAGTTTAAAATATCAAAGGTTTACACTATCAGGTTGCAAAGATATAAGGATTATAAAATTTGAGTTTTTTGCAAAGACTCAATTCCTTTTGAAGTACTAGTTAATTATCAAAACACTTTTTTAGTCTGACTAGTCATGGTGATAGCTCTGATCTTGAGAAAGCTGCGATGAACACTGCTGTAGCCGCTGCTACTGCTACTGCTACTGCAACAGCAACCGCTACTGCACAAGCTCTCATCGAGAATAAAGGAAACGGTGATCTCCAAAACCAGGTAAACTATATTCGATCGTTGATATAAAGATCTGCCGGACCATCCCTATTTCACCTTTCCTTGAGAGTTTAAACTTGAAGCTATCTTTATTTTATGAAAATATTAGGAATTATGTTCACACCTGGAATTATGCACAATCACCGTAGAGTATTAATCTTTAACCTTATCCATTCCATCACGCACTCCCTTACTCTCTAATCTTTCATATCATCATTATATACCATCCATATCTATACCCCACATCCATATCCATATCATCATTACACCATCCATATGAATATATCCAATCCATCCATATCCATTTCCACACCCACATCCATAACATTATTATATTCCTTCCACATCCCATATCCATAACCATCCATATGAATATATCCAATCCATCCTTATCAATAACTAAACATCACCATCTATATAAACACTCTTAACCTCATCCATATCCATATTTTTTTAATAATAAGTTTGGCCAAAAAATTTTCCAGTTTACACTAGCCAACCAGCCTTGATTTGAGATATTCTTTTGGTTTTTACTATTTAATCAATTGTTAGTTGATTGATTAATTGATTAATTATTTGATTTTGATTTAGGGAGGAGGAGGAAAGGGAATAATGCATGAAGGATCCATGTCTCCCATGTCCGGCATGCAAAATATGCTGCCTGGCATGAACTCAAGTGATGGCATGAACGGCATGCAGCGAATGTCCAACATGTCCGGCATGATGTCCCCCAATATGATGCAGAACGGGATGCAGAGTGGAATGCAGAACATGATGCACGGTCATGGGATGCAAAACGGGATGTCCGGGATGAATGGAATGCAAGGCATGAATGGGATGAACGGGATGAATGGAATGAATGGCATGGGGATGAGCGGATATGGAAACAGTCAGGTATACTATTTTGTATAATTAAGTATTGATATCAATTACTATATTTATAATTTTTATTATTTTCTATATAAATGAATATAATTATCATTTTATTATTGTTATTATTATTACATTATTATTTTCATTAATATTATTATATTAATATTATGTAAATAATATATTTGTTTGCCTGTAGATGCAGCAGATGCAGTACGGTAATGGATACTCCAGTATGCAGATGAACCAGGCCGGTTACCACATTAACCCGATGGGGATGAACTCTATGAGTCGGATGGGGATGATGCAGGGGATGAACCCCCGGATGAACATGATGAATATGCCCTCCTCCTCTTCAATATCCAGTATGCCAAACATGTCTAATATGTCTAACATGGCAAATATGCCAATAAGAGCAGGTGGGCCTAGTATTAACATGAGGATGCCAATTGATTCACGTATGTACAGTGCACAGGGCCGACCCTCTCCTTACCCTAACCCGGCCATGTACATGGCCCAAAAAAGACACCAAACTCCTATGTACAACAGTCAGATGCAAGGTGTTGGTCCCATGTGCCCGTCTAACGGTCAGTACATGGGCCGAACCCCCTTCCCCGGCCCTCAGGGCGGGTACCCCATGGGCCACCCTCATAATATGGGAGGTGGGCCTGGGCCTGGATATAGTGGCATGCCTCCCAGCATGCGGCATTCAAATATGATGCCTGGTAACATGCCTATGACTTCCATGCCCCAAAGCTACCCAGTGAGCTCGCAAATGGGCCCGATGAACTCTGTAATGCGCCCCTCCGGCCCTGGTAGTGGATACCCCGGTCCTATGGGAATGCAGGGTAGCGGAATGTACCCAGTGCGCCCCAAAACCGAAATTCCAACCGTTTCTCCGCGCGGCGCATCCATCTCTACCTTCCAACATTCGCCTGTACCAGGAAATCCTACTCCGCCCCTGACACCGAACGGGGCGGGAAATTGTATATCCGCCCCCTTTGCCTCTCCACTCAGTGAACACGGCAGCACTAACTCCGATACCAAACCAAACTTTAACCTGGCCAGTAAGTAGATTACTAGATAATTATTTTTCTATGATTCATTTTTCTTTTCTGTATTTTTTTCTTTTTTTAGATATATAATTATTTTTGGTGTAGATCAATAGTTCTAAAAGTTTTTTATTCTTTTTCATATCACTTTTTTCTAATTCTAGAATTATAATAATATTTATCATTATTGTCATACATATTTCTTTATTGTTTACTAGAATAGAACAAAGATCAGAAAAATAAAATGTTTGAAGAAAAATCTAAAAAAAATTATTTTTAGAAGAAGAACTGCGTTTAACGTTCCCAGTGCAGGACGGTATTCTTCTACCACCGTTTAGGTTGGAGCATAATCTGGCTGTTTCCAACCACGTCTTTCATCTTAAACCCCAGGTATTTTATATAATCTTGCTGTTTCCAATCACGTATTTCATATTAAACTGCAGGTATTCATATAATCTTGCCGTTTCCAGTCTTTTATCTTACAATACCCAGGTAAAATATCCCTGAGTTAAAGTTATCCCTGCAGGTTATGACCATTACTGGATTTCGATGAGGGATTAAGTTAATCCTTAGGTCATCATAAAATGGAGATCAATGTTTGATCCTAAGATTCATAACATCTTGTATTTCTAGGTTCACCAGACCCTGATGTGGAGACCAGATCTAGAACTACAGCTAAAATGTTTCCACCATGAAGATAGATCTATGAACACAAACTGGCCTAGCAGCGTTCAGGTTAACCTTTACATCATCTAGTCAACAAGTACACAATAATCTACAATTTTGGCGCATTTCTTAAACCATCAGCCTCATGGCCGTATTGGGAGAGGGGGGGAAGCAAGAACTCCTCTAATGAATAAATGTTTAGGTTAGCGTGAATGCTACTCCTCTAATTAATAAATGTTTAGTTTAGCGTGAATACTACTCCTCTAATTAATAAATGTTTAGGTTAGCGTGAATGCTACTCCTCTAATGAATAAATGTTTAGGTTAGCGTGAATCCTACTCCTCTAATGAGTAAATGTTTAGGTTAGCGTGAATGTTTCTCCTCTAATGAATAAATGTTTAGGTTAGCGTGAATGCTCCTCCTCTAATGAATAAATGTTTAGGTTAGCGTGAATGCTACTCCTCTAATGAATAAATGTTTAGGTTAGCGTGAATGCTACTCCTCTAATGATTGAGAGATCAACTGAGGGTAAAACTGGTCACAAACCTCTCTACTTAAAGGAAAATTTACAAACTTAGAAATTTGTGAATAAAAAAGCTTAAAATGTAAACAAGTGCATTTATGTATATATTCATGTGTTTATTCATATATTTATTCATGCATAAGAAAGGTAAAATTTCAAAATAAAAATTATAATCTTAGAACATTTTGAATTAAAAATCATAGACTTAAAAACTGACATGTTAAAATGTAAACTATACAAAAAAAACTTGACATCCACTGAAAGTGCATAAAATAAGATCCGGTTCTTATGTACACTTGTAATGCACAATTACGTGATATTAAGTAAACATTTATGTACTGAAGTTGAAGTTTGAATATTTGAATCTGCAGGATGTTTGTCAAGCAGGACGGAATACTATTCAGATTACTGTCTCAGCATGCTGCTGTGTAAGTATTATCATTATCATTGTTATTGTTATTATTATTATTATTATTATTATTATTATTATCATTATCATTATCATTGTTATTGTTATTGTTATTATTATTATTATTATTATTATTATTATTATTATTATTAGTATTATTATTATTATCATGAATATTGACAATATTATTGTTTTCATACTAATTTTGCAATACTTTCTTTAATAAATCGTTAAAAAGTAAGATATTAAATTGTAAAATGATTTTATTTTAGTCGCACTTGTTTGTTCTACAGCTGGTTCATAGACCATCGGTTAGATCAGTACTACAAGGTATGCTTTATATCTGTATAAGCTGTCGTCTGTCTGCTTATCTTTTTATCTGTGTAACTAGCTTTCCAGCTGTTTTTCCTTGACTATTCAGTTGTTAACTTATTAATATTTTTAGCTCTCTGTCTGTCTATCTGCTTAGCTTTATAGCTGTCTGCCTGTCTAATTATGTCCATCCGTTTAACTGTATGTTTACCCAGCTATATTAAAGGAATTAAGTCTGATTTTCCCATCCTTATATCTTTGCAATCTGATGGTGAAAAGCTTTGATTTTTCAAACTCAGAGATATAGAGATTGGGTTGTAAAGATATAGAGATTTGAAAATCATAATTGGAATTGGAAAAGACTCAACTCCTTTCTGGTTCTTTTTGACTTCTTTTTATTTAAACATAAAAATTTAGAGACGCATTCAAGATCGTCTTTGACATAATATTTATTTCAAGACAAAATGTTCCAAAAAACTTAAAAAGTCGCACGTGACTTATCTGCTTTCAACAATCTGAAAGCTTTCTAATATTGTAGTCGTCAATTTTCATGCTCAGTGGGACACAAAATTATTAAAGGGATACAGGTCCTAATTTGAATTAAGCCTTTATTTAAAAAAGAGGGCGTAGCTGATCACAATTATAAAAACGTTGATCTCATCAAAAAGATTACTTTGTTTTCCTGGCTTGATAGGTGTTTAATTCCGATAATTTTTCCATAGTTTCGAAATGTAAGAAATGCTCAAATTACTTTAAAAGAGAAATCCCAGTTGAAAATAAACTGTTTTTAAAAACAAATAACATGAATATCTAATAACATGAATATCTAATAACATGAATATCTAATAACATGAATATCTAATAACATGAATATCTAATAACATGAATATCTAATTCATACTTGATCAGACAAAGGGTGAATCAGACATGCCACTCTATCAGTGAAAGAACAATCAAAACTACGTCTACTGCTACCAGCAGAGTATTTTTGCTCATTGATCTCATGCTTCAAATTTATTAATAACTCTTCCAATGATTTGTATAAACAATTAAAACAAAGAGAAATAAGGAATGTTTATACCTTGATCATAAATAAACATCTGTAAACTGAAATATATATTTTCCTGTCATAAAATCTTAAATAGATCTTTCCATTAAATCGGAAATTGTTTTTTCTTCTCTTGAACTTAAAAAATCCCTACGTTAAAAATACACTTATATAACATTATTTTTAATTTTTTTTTCTTCATTTTCTTAAATTTATATTTGTTTTCAGTTTTATACTTTTTTCATTTGTTTATCACATATTGAGGAATTGAGTCTTTGCCACAATCTCTAATAATTCAAATATTTTTGCGATCAAATGTCGAAGATCTGAGATTTTTCAAACCCTCTGTTAGATAAAATAAATTAAGTTTGAAATATTAAACGTTCACTCTCTCAGGTTGCAAAGATATAGGGATTAGAAAATATTAGCCTGTGTCAAAGACTCCATTTAGTTATTCATTGAAATTTTCAAAATTTATTTTTCTATTGATTCAACAACTTATCTATCTGATTCATCAATTTATTTATATATATATTTTTTACTTTATTTATCCAGGGTTATTGCGTAAGCGTCTGCTTCCTCTTGAGCACTGTATAAGTAAGATAAAACGCAACTTTTCCACCAACAGCAATGGTCAGGACAACAGCAATCCTGGAGGAAATCAGGAGGACGGACTAGAACAGACAAGTCAGAAGGTAAATCAGTGGAAAAATTAATATATTCGGTTTTTCTTTAATTCACCAATTATAGCTCAAGTCATTTTTGCAAATATATATATTAATTAATATATATATATATATACTAGCCTTAGATATATACATATATATATATACATATACATATAGTATAACAAGATACTAAAAAGGCATAATAGATAGATAGAAAGACTATAAATTAATAAATATATATTTACTTTTAAAGATAAACTTATTAAAGTTAAAAATACAAATCCTCAGCAGTAATTCTATATTTAAAGAAAGAACGAAGACGGGTTTTCATTTTTAAATAAACGGGGTTAATTTTACTTTTAACGATAGATAAAGAACAGATTATAAACACTCTTGGTGTAAAATATTGCAAAAAAACAGCAGACTTGACTATACTAGAATTTACTTGGTTTCTGAACAAAAATGATATATTCTGACTAAAGTTTCTTCATTCATGGAAAACTTTGTTAAATTTTTCAATATAATCAAAAAAATTTTAACATTTTATAAATAACCAAACATATTTCTGTTTGGTTGAATTTTAGATAATTTTTCTATGATTTACTTTTTTCTATTTTCAGGTGTCTCTTAGATGCCCGTTAACATTTAAACGTATTGGTCTACCTGCCCGCGGTCATGACTGTCGGCATATTCAATGTTTTGATCTTGAATCCTACCTAAAGATGAATTGTGACAAGGGGGTCTGGAAGTGCCCGGTGTGCAAGTAAGTTTTTTAATTCATATGTTTCAATATTATTCAAAGGATCAACTCCCACTCCAATCATTAATGCAATACCACTCCACTCATGGATCCAATATCACTCCACTCATGGATCCAATCCCACTCCATTCATGGATCCAATATCACTCCATTCATGAATCCAATCCCACTCCACTCATGGATCCAATACCACTTCAGTTATGGATCCAATACCTTTCCATTCATGGATCCAATACCACTCCATTTATGAATCCAATACCACTCCATTTATGGATCCAATACCACTCCGTTCATGGATACAATACAACTCCATTCATGAATCCAAACCCACCCCATTTATGGATCCAATACCACTCCATTCATGGATCCAATAGCACTCCATTAATGAATTCAATACCACTCCACTCATGTATCCAATCTCACTCCATTAATGAATCCGATCCCACTCCATTTATGAATCCAATCCCACTCCATTCATTGACCCAATCCCACTCCATTCATGGATCCAATCCCACGCCATTCATGGATCCAATACCACTCCATTCATGGATCCAATACCACTCCATTTATGAATCCAATCCCACTCCATTCATTGACCCAATCCCACTCCATTCATGGATCCTATCCCACTCCCAATCATTGATTAATACCCGTCCCAAACATTGATCAATACCACTCCACTCATGGATGTAATACCATTTATTTATAGACATATCCCATTCTATTTATAGCCACAATCCCACTTCCATCATGGATCCAACCACTTTTTCCTTTAGATTAAAAAATGTGTTTGACGCTTTCAGATTTATTGATAAATTGAAATTCCAGAAAATTAATTTGCAACTCCTTTTAATCCTTATTCCGAGATTGGTCAAAATATGAATTTAATGGAATTTAAAAATTCAACAAATTTAAGAATCTTAGAATTGCAAACAGCGTTTTCAAGGAAACTGCAAAACAAGTTTTGTAAAAATTCAAGTTATTTATTACAAATATATTTTAAAAAACCCGGTTTTGTTTTGTAAATCTTTACACTGTACCATTTTAGTAAAACTGCACTACTGGAGGGTCTCGAGGTAGATCAGTACATGCTTAGTGTACTGCAGAATCCTGCATGTACAGACGCAGAGGAGGTACAAGTAGATGAACAGGCAAATATGCAGCCCCTGCATATCAAGGTACATTTTCTAATAATCAGTCGAATATATCATAATTTGAAATAAGAGTATGATAAGAAAGGGACGATTACTCGCCTCAAACTCGAATTTTCTCCTTACTTTTTGCAATCTGACAAAGCAGACCTTTAATTTAATTTTGTAAACTTTTCTCAAAAAGATTTCTGATTTATTTTGGAAAAATGTGTTTACAAATGTTGCAAACGTGAACTAGGTTATGACTGGAAAGATATGAAATCTACAGTTCATTCATGTAGACAATGTTAAATCAAGATTAAAGACTTATTTATATATATTTTTGAATGTTTTAATCTCAATAAATAATTATTATTTATTTATCCATCTGTATTCCTAGAGTGAGAACGGTGAGCAGGATTGTAGTTCCTCGATGCACCCTATCTCCCCGGGGAGTATTAAACTGCCCAGCATGGGATCCTGGGACCTAACGTCGTTGAAATCTCCAGCTCTATACGCACCTCCAGACATGAACAGTAAGTTTATGTCAAGTACAAAACTTTCATGGGATTGTATCGAAAATTACCGTATACATTTCACATTTAGAATTTAGTCTTTGCCACAAACACGGATTTTCTAATCCCTATATCTTTGCAACGACATCAGATTGCAAAGCTATAAGATTGGGAAAATATTTGAATTTAAGGCAAAGACTCAATTCCTTTTCATTCCCATCGGTTAAAATGTTCCCCCCTCTAGCAAAGCCATCAAATGCATAAAATTTAGTCTTTATTCAGACTTTTCGAAACCAGTTTCTCTCTCTGTTCCAGAAAAAGTGAACAAAATTAAAAAGTATATTTTGGTAGGTATTGTATCCGGGCAGTATCCTCTAGAAGAAGGTCCTTTATCCCAGATGTCTGAAGCTGTAAACAATATTGGAGAGGGAGGACTGGGTCCTCATACACCTTGCACCCCTCATACACCGGGCATGCCCGCCACCCCTCACACTCCCGGGACCGGGCATAAGAGTCCGAGAAATGGGAATAACAGGTAAGTTAGTCAGGATCGTTTCACAATAATATGGTTTTCTGATTTCTTTTTTAAGTAACTGTAGTTCCGAAATGTCTGTGATTGCTCCCCCCCCCCATTTAAATTAAAATATATGCTAACAAAAGTATTTATTTTTACCATAATGGACATTTTTGATGAAGTTTTTAGAATTATTTGAATATTCCTAAAAAATAATAAATTTTGTTTATAGTGCTGAGAAAAACAAAGATCTGTCAGATATTCGGACTGATTTCTCCCTGGACGATCTAAACTTTGACCCCGCAGCTCTTATTGGTGAAGGTAGCGGGGACTGGAATGTAAGTTTAATTCATTGTTAAAGTTTTATAAGAAACATGAAGTTCATATACAGGGTTACCCATAAAGGATGAGACTGAAAAAACGGCAGGAAATTCTTAACAAATGACGTTCCTGAAGTTAAATTAAGATCTAAATGGTTATCTAATATAATGACTTATTTATGATTTGGCAAAGAAACAAACAAGTTTAAAGTTGCAGGAAATCGTGAATAAAATGAAAGTTTAAATTCCGTACAATCGTCTCTGAAATTTCATCCTTTGTGGGTAACCCTGTATGTTAAAACACAAAACGTTCGTCGATTGTCATACGTAACTAGATCTGACTTGTTTTTATTTATTATTTAAATATTTATTTTCAGTTAAATAACATGGATCCGAGTGATCTATTGTCCTTCCTTGATGGGCCGGGAGACCTAGCCACGCCCCCGTCCTCTGGGGCGGGATCGGAAAGTGGAAGCCGGCAAAACACATCCCAAGACGACCTTTTATCTCTTTTCGACTGAAACCTACAGCGCCATATATGGAGAAAATTTGAAACATTTTAAGCCAATAAAAATGGCGGGTGAACAAACAACTTCTTTTTGGGCTCGATAAGTCGAGTTGACTCATCACCAAACTTATCTGAATTGAGAAGTTTTCTCTCTCTCTACCTACTTTAAGCCAAAATACAGTTTTAATTTGAATGCTTGTGATATATCATGATATTGCAAATTCCAAGTTTAATCAGAAACGGTTTCCAAAAATAACCCGAGATTTCCGGAATTCTGGACTTTGTATCCGATTCATTTAAAAACATAAATTTATATATTAGAAAAAATGAGGAACCTTTATAAAATATTATAATCGTTAACGCCTGATGCATGTGTTCGACCTAAAGGATGTTAAGGGGTTAACCCCCTTAACATTGTCCACATATATATGAATTTGTCTATAAATGTATATATGTTAAATAATGTCACAAAACTTAAACAAGTTTTAAGGAAGAATATCACCTACTTTATGTAAAAAAGCCTTTTGTACAAAATTGATTAATTTGATAGACCAAATCTAATTAAAAAAGTATTATTATTCAGTTTTACTATTTACGCCCTGAATTGGTCTTTTCAATAAGTACAAAACAAAGGTTAAATTTATTTTTGGCAACATTTCCATTTTATTTATTGAAAATTTGTATTAAATTTTATTACCAAATTTTGCCAAAAATGTATTTACTTTCTAGATCTTTCAGAATCCCTCTTCCCCGTAAAAAAAACATAATCCCATATGCAATATCATATATGCAATTATCTAGAAATTTATTAATTCATTCATAGAGAATTTAGTCCCAGTGTAGAAAATCAGAAAAAATGTAAATTTTAGTGATATTATATTTGTAAAAATTAGAGAAAGCTGATCAGCACCAAAACCTAGTTTTATTTTCATGCTTCGTGTACTAAATGCTTTATATCAAGTCGATTTCTGATGTAATGTATTAATATCAAGTGGATTGGATGTGTGTACTTAATGATTTATATCGAGTCGATTTTAAGTGTACTGAATGATTTATATCGAGTTGATTGTAAGTATGTGTACTGGATGCATTACTTGGAGTAAATCGAAAGTATGATTACTATGTCTTTATATCGAGTTGTAAGAATTAGCAACTGGTTTACAATGATTATAATGAATTATGTATACCTAGTGCTTTATATCAAGTAGATATCAAGTGTACTGAATGCTTTAAACCAAGATGAGTTGGGATTTCACTAAGTACATAAAATCTAATGAATTAGAAGAAAATGAATATAAACTGAGGGGATTGAAAAGAGTACAGAAGATTTGAAACGAATATATTTGAAGTATTAAATGGTTGAGACATGCTTGTGCCTGAATTTTGAAATATTTTAATGGTGTACACTGTACACTATACAGGAGAGATTAGGTTGGTCTCTAGTCATGTATTTATCATGTAAATCATGTATTGAACCTGACGGGACTGAACTCCCCCCCCCTGAAACATCTTACAATTTTGATTGTAACGGAACTAATATTGATCATTATTATTCTTGTTTGCGATGGATACATTTTACATTGTTATTTTTACACACATGTTCTTTCCCCATAATTGATCGTTCAATTGATCTGTATTAATCAATTAGATGAATTGATCTATTATTTTATCTTAGCGGATTGATTAATTGATCCCTGTTGATCTCTATTATCAAGCGTACAGAGGATCAATCAAACTTTAAAAATGATTTATCAATAAAAAAATTTACAGTAACTGAATGTTGATTTGTATATATATTTTCAGAGTGCTAAATATATGTAATCTAGCAGTAAAATTTTATTTATTTTTCTTCAACTCGATTTAATTGAAAATTAGAATTATACATTTCTGGTGAAGAACTCGTGAATATCTTTGATAGAAATTAATCAGTTAGTAATGATGCAGGGTTTCCCTAAAAGAATGAAAATACAAAATAAATAGAGATTTATAGATCTTCACCACAGTTTCATCTTTGTGTGCTTAGCCCTGTACCTAGAGATTAGAATCTGTACCTTCGAACATTTCTATTGTTCATGTTGTAATTAGGTTCTTATTTTTTACGTATTTTTGTTTGATATTTTTTATCGTCAATGTACAAATTTCTTTTAGAAACCTAAAACTTCTTGAACAGTTTTAACATAGATTGATTAAAATAACAGATAGGACAACCTATTTGAATATTACTAACGATGAGGACAGTTTCGGAAAAATTACCGCCACATTATTTCGGAAAAATTACCGCCACATTATTTCGGAAAAATTACCGCCACATTATTTCGGAAAAATTACCGCCACCTTATTTCGGAAAAATTACCGCCGCATTATTTCGGAAAAATTATGATATTTTGAAGAGAAAAAAGATAAGTTTTTGTGTGAGTGTATGGACACTAAAAAGTTTCAATCATAAGAGCTGAAATGAGATGGAAAGAGAGTAAAATTAAAAATTGAAAAATAAAAAAAGAGAACGTTGATAACAAAATATAAGTGACTGAAATAATTCTGATGATGTTCAGTAATTAGATTAAACAACCATATTTCAAAAGATAAACTGCAGGGATATCCACCAAGGATGAGACTTCAGAGACGATTGTACGGAATTTATACTGACTGTTTCCTTATATTTATTATTCCCTGCAAATGTAAACTTTTTTTGCCTAATCATTGAAACAGGAATAAAAAAATTATATTGAAGGCATCAGACTTAATTTCACCTCGGAATCGTCAAATTTCAAGAGCTTCAGTTCGTCTTACAGTAACCCTGTAGATATATAATTTATTTTATATGCAGACAGAATATTTGACAAGATTATGATTTCCAGATGCAAGTTTCGAAAAAACTAACTTTACATGTATAAATAAATAAAAGATCAACCATCATTCCATGGAAATCAAGGCCAAAATCAAAAATAACCGCCAAAGGACGGAAATTGATGTAACAGTTGAATAATTAAAATGTTTAAGAACACTTTTGACGACGTCCTTAATTGACTTATTAATTAATCCTTTTACAAAAATGACCTAAATGATAACTGAAAAAGGTAATTAAAAAAAAATAACATCTCATCATGTCCTAACTCCTAAAAATTATAATTAAGCAAATTATACTGTTAGAGAGGCACAGTGACAAAAAGGTGTAAATTTGTCCTTATCGTCTGAATTTTTTATATCAAATTATTTCTCGATTTTGATTGTTTAATGAAAATATTTCCATGTTTTTACATTTTGCAGGCAAGTGGGTAATTTTCTAAGGTGAAAAATGTAAACCATATTTTAATACCAAACTTAACTCTACTTTGTATAGGGAGGGAACCCCTGCTATGCAGACGTAGAGCCTCCCAGATTCGCTAGGCAGACCGAGCCTCCACTATGCAGACAAAGCCTACCCTATTGCAGACCGTGCCTCCACTATGCAATAAACGAGCCTCCACCATACAGCACAGCTTTTTTAAATCTTGGTTTTTATGAGTGATAAAAACTTTTAACAATTTCTTTTTAACGTAGTGGCATACGAGTTTTACTAAAGATTAGAATTGTTCATTGATTGTCATAATTAAAAACATATATGGACTCATAAAGTGGTTTATAAGATTTATATTAAAACTTTAAACATTTCTTAAGCAGAAAGGAAGATATTTGGAGAAATATTTCTGGAGTAAACTTGGTTTGTTTTGTTGTAATCTTTGATTTAAACAATATCTTTTTTTGAAAAATGTTAAGATTTAAATAATAAATACAAATTTTTTAAATTTAATTTGAACTTCAATAAAAGGTATCGCTAAAATCAAAAATTATAAAAGATGAAATGAAATTCAATCCAAATTTTTAAAAATATTTTCCTTTTCGTGTAAAAAATGTTTGAAGGTTTAGATACCACTTTAGTAGTCATAATTAGGCACTATTTATGATAATTAATCAATACTTCTCATCTTTGAGAAGCCTCTCATGCCACTATGTCTAAAAATTTCAAAAAAAATCTTCTTTTTAAACTTAAAAAACAAGTTTTAAAAAACCTCTTGTATTACACAGGCACATTTTGATGTGTTGCGCATGCTCATTTCTGCAAAGCGGAGGTTTGGTCTGCCTAGCAACTCTCGGAGGCTCGTGTCTGCATAGCGGAGGCTCATGGCGTCCGGGGGTTCCCTCCCTACTTTGAATAAATAAAAACATTGAGATTTTACACATTTATTTTCAAACATATATTTTTCATTGAAAAAACAAACCTAATTAGAAACAAGTAAATTTTGGGACTAGATTATTCAATAAGATATTAAAAAGTAAAAACAAACAAAAAATTACAAATAAGCAAACCTATCTTACTTTCTTTTAAAATATGTACAATACAATATACATACATGAATGGGTACCTTAAAAATTAAAATATTAGCTTGCTTTTAAAATTTATGTGGCTTAGAAATATGCAATTAACCTAAAATAATGATGCAAGAAAAATCACACATGGCAATTCTAGAAAACAGTTGAAAGTTCGAGTTTAATCAGATCTGCTGTAAGAATGCCCTAAATTTTTTTTAATGAATCACCGACAAAGGGTCAAACGACACAGGGTCAAACGACAAAGGGTCAAACGACACTGGGTCAAACTACAAAGGGTCAAAAGAGCGAAAAAGGGTAAAACGACATAGGGTCAAAAAATGCGACAAAGGTGCAATTTTTTTTTTAAATTTTGACATCTGTTACAGTTAGGCACCTGTTGAGTTTTTATCCATTCTTTTTTACTAACACTGTACAAATTTGTTCACTGAAAAAATCATTATTGGTTTTTATATTTATAATTCAATGCAATTAATATTTTTGTCTACAAAAGTATGAAAAAAAGGTTATAAATATGCATATAAAAACTACATGTTGTATTGCTCTGCATTACTCCAAATGTTTACTTGTCATACAATGCTGTCAAGTTCGTCATAAATAAATAAATGTTGCCAACCCGACCGTTATGGAAGCCAGAATAAGACTAAAGTTTTAAATTTTCAAAAAAGTTTGGCAAATTTTTGTGATTAAAATTGCGAGTTTCCTATGATTCAAATCAAAAAATATTTTTATCATTTTGACCTTTTGTCGTTTGACCCTTTGTCATGACCCTTTGTCGTTTGACCCTTTGTCGTTTGACCCTTTGTCGCTTGACCCATTGTCGTTTAACTCTGTGTCGTTTGACCTTTTGTCGGTGAATCTTTTTAATTTCATTAAACCTGTATATTTTTCACATTTATAAGTGAGGTCCGTGTACTGAATAATTAATACGATAAAAAATAATACAACATAAAAGATACCATAAAAGGTTGCAAATTTATAAAAATTCAACGTGAAAAAAAATATTTTCTTCTTCGATTTAAAAATATTTTCGGCCATAGGGTGTCTCTTTTAACATATATTTTTACTTTCTGAAGGTATTTAAAAACTTTCCAATAGATCGTTCTAAAGTTTATGTATTCCATTAGCGTACCACATTCTGGAAATGTCAAGACTCAAGACCAGGAGTTATTAATTAAAACCATTTAAAGTGGTTTACAAAAAATGCAGTTGGGGACGTAATCAGGAATTTTTCCAGAGGGGGGGGGGTAAATATGCCTCTGAATGCTGTGTACATTAAACATCTTTAAATCACCACTCGGATATCATGTTAATTGTGTTCCGCCTGGACATTGAAGGAAACGGACAGAAACTTAGACGCAGGAATTAAAATATCTTTACTTGAACCTCCAGTCGTACACACGTCGTTTACAGGAAATTTATTGGAATTTCAACATTAACGGGACTGTTTAAGTAGTTTCAATTGATCCTTCAGTTAAGAAAAACTCTCTAAAAAAAATAGGGATGGTTGATATTGTTCGATTTAAGGTTTTGTGTATCACAGTTCATATCGTGTTAACGGAGATTTTTCTACTCTCGTGTAAATCATTCGTGGAAAATCATAAAAACATATTTTCATAGAAATTGAATTCAAGAAAATAAGAGACTGGGAATAGTATTCATGAAATCATGAAATCATTTTTTTCATTCCCATTGACTCTGAAAATCAAGAAACCACAAGAATTTCTAACACGTCGCGTGGTAGTGTTGTTGAGAGAAATCAATTTTAATTTCTGTTGGGTTGTTGCTCGTTCTCCACAACAATTGATCTGAAATATAAAAATCTCATTGATTAAGAACATACTTCAGTGTGATGCATTTTAAATGCTGAATTGAAATTTAATACTCGTGGAAAAAATTTTATCACATAAATTCAAATCGAATTGACGGAAACTATAAAAATTTAAAAAAAAACCGTGTAAAGCTATTTACTAAACGGTGAACAAACATACTATCATTAGAGAAAAATACCCCCAAAACCCTAAAATATTTGTTGTTTCATTAAAATCAATTTAAGGTCGCTTATCAGTAATAAGGACCCTAATCAGTCATCATGTCTTCTTAATTTGCATGAAAATTGTTTCATAGTTGATTAAATATGTAAAAATTAACTTACTTTGACATGACATCGTGAATGGTTCGGCTGTTTGGCAGCAACAGCAGTGATATACAGATAGGGAAAAAAACCGCTGAAAAATTTGAGGAATATTATTTCAAGAATAAATTACCTAAAAAATACGACAAAGAAGCTATTTCCACAATTTATGTTTGATACATTTTGCATATTAATATCTTTCTATGAATTTTTTTTGAAATAAAAGTAATAAAGAAATTATTACAACAAAACCAAGCTGCATTCCTAGTTGCATTTATCTTAAATTCGAATAACTATTTGATTCACAAATTCAAGTTCACGAAATTCAGTGAGTGATCATTGATCAATGCTATAGTGGTTCATCTTCCTTATTCTGTACTCTGGGTTTTCAGCATGGATATTTATCAAGTACAATTTGTACAATGTACAATGTATGTAATCCTTAGAGACAGCTCAAAATCAAACTGCATGTAACTTAAATAATCAACTATTACTATCACTTTGTTGAAAACATACAGTGGCAACCATAAAACTGTGGAATAGGAAGACGACTCTTTTACCTAACTTATGTTTTTAAGTCGTCCAATGAACATAATCCTCAGCAATTGTGATTTTAAAGCTGAGCTGCTGTTAAAATTATTTGCTGTTTTCTAAAACTAAACACACATATCATTGCTTAAATGTCTTCTTCATATTCCAGTTTTATAGGTCTCACTCTAAACTGACATAAAGGCCAGTGGGTTACCTAAGGACAGATTCTTAATGAAAGATCGAACAAGAGCCCACCAGATCCCCAGATTATCCCCGGGGATAACAACCACACGGGATCCACCAACAGCGACAATCTAGACAGACTCAACTATTTAGAACACGGAAATAATCAAAGTCAAAATGAAAATCTGTTTTTGGACTTTTCTAACTGTTAAAATTGGTTTCGGTCTGAATTTACCTAAAGTTAACGAAAAAACTAATTTTGACATAAGAAAAAACTATTTTTGTTATAGTTAAACAGTAACAAGCCATACATCGAAAGAATTCATCAAATATTGTATTCTTCACTTTTTGATAATGGAATGTTCCAGATACTTTTTTTAATTAAATGATTATATGGAGCTCTTCTAATGTTCCCGCATAAACATGGCTACGTATTTTTTCGCAAATACTGAGATTTACGTAAAATAGTATCAAACTCATTGGGAAAGTTATTTAATAAATTCTTTCGATGTATGGCTCATATAGGGTTTAACTGTAGAATAGAAATAAAAATAATTTGTTTTGCAAAGTCTTTCTTAAATCGATTAATCTAGTTTAAAAACTCTTCTGACTCTCACTGTATTATTATTATTATTATTACCTGTATTACCTAATAACAAGGAAAAACAATCATTTAGTAGATAAGTAATAGAGTAGATAGCAAAATTTGCACCCTTCAAAATTTTATATTTTTTTTTTTAAAGTCATTTCCAAAATCAAATTACTATTGGTTATAGCTTAAACCATGTCAAGGGTGTATATTTTTCAAAATCCCCCCCCCCCTTGGGTAATGGGGGGGGGGAAATGAAAAATGTACCAACAATAGGAAATTCTTTTGATACTTTTTACCCAAAAATTAGTTTATTGATCAGCAAATTCATTATCAAATAATATTCTGGATGGAAAAATTATTTTCAAAAAAGATTTGAAAAAATATACACCCCTGAACCATTTTGTTAGGTATCTTAGATTGGGAATTATATTAATTTACTAAATATTGAGCAAACCTGTTCACATTTAACAATCTTCAGACCCATGATCACTTTCCCAGGCGTAGCACCTCCTATCATACCTGAACAATAAACCAGAACTGTCGACAATGTACGATAAGAAAAATTACAATAATGTATATAAAGAAAACCAGGATTTACAACATTTAAAAAAACTATGAAGAGAGTAAAAATATTAATGATGTACGATTTAAAGAAAATCTAGACAAATAAAAGATTTTACATACATTTTACAAAGAAGGCCGAGTACATATTTTCTGCAGTAATGGGTCTTTAACAATCAATATACTTTAATAATCTTTTAAATACATTTTCCAAAGAAATTATCCCTAAACATGGAAAACTTATATTTGTATCCTATTCAGTATGTATATTGTATACCTCGTTGTCCTCTGTGTGTACAAAGTGCCTCAAATACACAAACAACTAATCTAAACAAATCTTTAGACGTATTTCAAGCGCGTTTCTATTTATCGAGGCATTTACGATTCATACAGGTACCCATCAAGCTTTAGAATGATCAAGGATGAATAAAATATCCTATTTTTTCTGGATGAAAATTTATTATTTTCATTTATGACTTATCTCCACAGTTGGCGGAATGAATGTTGCAAAGACAATTGTGGAAATAAACAGAATCAGACAATTTTTTAGAGAGAAAAAAGACTACATCTTTCTCCCACTTTGATACTCAGACAGAGGTTTATCGAACACAGTACTCTTCAAATTGAGGGTCATTTGAGTCATTTTAGTCCATTAAAATTACAGATAGGGTGTCCCAATAAACATGGGAATTAAATGACGACTTTTATATCTTCTTCGATCCATGCGGAATTATTTCATGAATACAATTATTTCAGTATTCCAGTTTAAACATCTAATATCGAAAACGCCTGGACTTGACATTTTCAAAATGTGGTCTACAATTTTTGTATCTTCAAAATTGAAGGAGATATTGCAAAATTCGTAAAAATTTTAATTTATTTAATAAATCAAAATTGCCTTAATATTTTATATCTTCGTAAATTTTTAAGATACAAGATATATATATAGACCATTTTATGAAAAGCTCGTCTGACGTACAGCCTCGTTTATACATTTTCTTTGCCATTCATTAAATATCAGAAATCAACTCGTCTCTCAATTCCCATGTTTATTGGGACACATTGTATTTGACAGTCTCAAGTAATATTCCTGCATAGTGTATATTACTGTCATATCTCCACTTATTTAATAGAGAACTCGTTTAATTTTTACCTGTGAACTAACTCCAGTATTAATAGCTCAGATGTGAATTGTATTGCTGCATTGTAATCTAGATACATAAATAATTATATAAATATATTATTCAGGATAGTTTTTAAAATTTCTAAATATTTTCTTCGAATAAAGTTTTTATTTCCTGATTTAAAAACATCGATGGAAATGCATGTCAATGTCAAGAAAATATGGAGGTTTAAAGGGTTATAAAGGTGAATTAAATAATACTTGTTTTCTAAATAAAAACAAATATTAGTTTAAGTTTGTCTGTTTGTTTGTTTATATATTTAATAAACCGGCTAAACCGACCAGGCCTGTGATTGATTGATTAACGTTTATTTCTCTTATGCATCTTAATTGTCCAGATCAGACCTATTTTTTTGTGAAAACTTACTATGAAATCAAAAATATTGCCTCAAATAGAATAAGATGTTCAAATTAAAATGTTTGTAAAGGGGGGGNTGACACCATGAATTGAACTTTATTTTGCTTCAAGACGCTTTTAAACAAGTAATCTCTTAACAGTTTGAACAAAAAAGCCTCAAATCCCCGCGGGCGTGCATTTTAGAAAATATTTGAAATTCTTAATTTTTTCATTTTTGGCAATATTCAAAATAAAAGTAGCATGCAAATTCCTCGTCCCAATTTTCCTGTAATTCGAAGTATCGCATGCTAATTAATTTTGTTTCGAATAATCCCAAAATTGAAAAAAATTTAGAATTCAAATATTTTCTAAAATGTAAGCGCGCGGGGATTTAAGGCTTTTTTGTTTAAACTGTTCAGGCATTACATGTTTAAAATCATCTTGAAGCAAATTCAAGTTCATTTCATGGTGTCAAGATTGCAAAAATGTGAAAAAAGTAAAATTTGCCACCAAAAAGCGTGCGCGCACTTTTGCTCGTTTTTTCTTAACCGAATTTTGCAGTTACAATAAATAATTTTGAGTTCACATACAAAAAATCAGCGTTCTACGACGATTCTAAGTTATGTTTAAATACTGATTAAATTTTCCGGAGTAATACGTTTTGTGCCCCCCCCCCCCCCGTTGGCAAACATCTATAGACGGTGCAATTGTATGAATTCAAAAATAATTTTCTTTTATTATCTGTTGCTTACCTAATGTTTCAATATTAATATTATCAGTGTTGGCCAGGTTTAGAAAATCATAATTTTCAAGTTCTATCACTTCGAAGAAATCCACAGCTGTAAACGTTATCACGACCTGGGTTAGAAAAAGAGCTATTAAGTAGTTCTTTCAGATGAGTATTTTTTCTTGAAAAATAATTCCCCCCTTTTGAAAATATTTTTCCCTAGGAGTTATGTTTGTTTGCGAACAAATTTTTTTTTAAGGGTTTTATTTCCTAAATTAAGGAAAATTAATAATTTTTAAGCGAAAATAAATCAGTTTTTGAGGCAAAAGTATTAAAAGAATAAAATAAAATTGCCTTTTGATATCGAACCTTTAATCCCCCCCCCCCCGCCAAGATCATCCCAAATTATTCTCAATAAAAGTGGTCCCCTGAGTTCTTCCTTGTGGATGGAACCCTGGAGGGGAAGGTTAGATTTCAAGGGAGCGGACCCAAATTTTTAATTGATTACTGTACCTTTAGTGTGAAGAGAATAAATATATCGAGTAGTTCTGCAATTATCCGTTTCCAGATTGGAGGTATTGTATAAATTCGTTGCTCGCCCTTAGAAATAAATATTTTTTTATCTTTATGTAATTTTCAAATCAATTATGGAGGCAAATATAATCTGACTTTTAAGGAAGTCAACCACAGATCAAAACTAAGATTGAGTAAGTTATGAAGCAAATTAAACTGTGTTGAATTAATATCCAATTCATCCGTATTTCTTTCATTATTTTTTCCTACATTTGGATTTGTTGCTGCTACTGAATTCCTGGGGTTCCTAGCTTTCGTTTGATATGCTTAAAGCCATAGTTAAAACATTTTCATTTTTGGAGGTCATTTAGGTAATTAGAGGTCGTTAGAGGTCATTTGAAGGCCAAACACGGGATTTGTTGCTGCTACTGTATTCCTGGGGTGCCTAGCTTTCGTTTGATATGCATAAAGCCATAGTTGTAATATTTTCTATTTGTGGAGGTCATTAGAGGTCATTAAAATTCAATTTGATTTTATTTTAGGAATTTCGATCACTAATTAGGCGTGCACCCAAAAAATTGGAAGATTTGAACCAAAAATGAAGGCAGGGCCCCCCCCCCCCTTCATCAAATGTGCCAACTCCACCATCCCCTTTAATGGACTAATGACCAACCATCAAGGGATCTGGTTGGGTGTTTTAACTAATCTCTGGTTAGCCAACACATTAAATTTGCATTCTGAGAGCTAACGTTTAATTACTATTTGGTGAACCGCATGGTTGTGTAAATTGATGTTTGACTGGACTGATATTATCATTAATACTAACAAAAAACAAAATCCTACAAAAACCGGAAAAATCTGATAAAAATGTTATATTTTTTACCTGTGATTCCCTGGTGTTATTGCTTGATTGACTTGTATTCCTCTCTGTTGGATTAGTACTACTAGACTGAGGTTGGTTTAGTCCTGGTGTGATTGACAAGTTTGCTTGTTGAGATAGAAAAGTATAAAAACCAAGCTGAAAATAAATATTTATATTATTAGAAGGACCATTTATTGATGCTCCTTCAACTTAGCTACTCTCAGATATTGTGATAAAAAGCAATCGAAGCAAAACCGACTAATCAACAAAGACGTAATTTCAAGTAACCCTCAATTTATAGAGTGGCATGTTCGACTCACAATAGGATCCTTAAAAGCTTTGTCCGATCAAGTATAAGGTAGAATTCCTGTTTTAGTTTACGAAAACAGAGTATTTTTATTTGTGGTTTCTCTGGAAAATGACTTAAATATTGTTTGATTCAGAAAAAATGGAGAAATATTCCTAATTTAACACCTTCATCCAGAATAATGACGGTATCATTATTGAGCAGACTAAGGTTTCAAGTGTACCGTTGTGAATCGTACATACCCCTTTTTTATGGAGGGTAACTTAAAATTACCACGAAAGTCCCTTTAACCAGCTTTAATTTCCAAATTTATGGTTTCTTTGTATCTGTGAACATAATTTTAATTGTTGCAACGTTGCTTTTTAAAATTAGTTTTGATAAAATAAATTCAGAGAAGACTCGACTGTATTGAAACTTCAGTCAAACATTTAGAGTTTATAATTTGACGTTAACATTTAATGCACGATTCCTTAAAAAGGTTTGTATATGATTTACCTGAAGAGCTTGAGCTTGATGCGCCTGCTGTAACCATTCTTGGACCTCAGCAGCATACGCAGCTCCTAAATATTTAAAATATCTGTAATCTGACTTCATATCCTGCTCCTGGGTAATTAGAACCGGCCACCGTAGCCCACTAAAAAATAATTTTTTAAATTAAGGAGGAAAATGCAAAAAAAAATCGATATGTCAAAAAAAATATGAACACCCCGTAGCCAACGAATAATTAATTTTTTGAAATTTTTTTTTCATCAATGTGTTGATAATAATATGAATAATATTTTCTTTTTGTTTTCCTCCGATATTTTTTCTCAAAACTTGCCACTTTTTGCATTCAACAAAAAAAATAAATAAAAAAACCCCAATTTTTGACACCCTGTTTTGAAATAAGAAACTTGAGAAAATTTTTTTTTGTGTATTGAGGGGTCATTGGGAGTATATATTAAAAAAATGAGCTATTTATGTCCAACGAGGCCGGATATAAAAATCGGAGCCGACGGAAAGAGATATCGAAAATCTGACTTCATGGCCTGCTCCAAGGCAATTTTATGAGTAAACATATAAAAATACCACAGGCCGCTATCAATATTTACAGATATTACAAAATGCCTTACTTGATACGGGTTCTTTAACCATTATGTAAGAGGATCCCGGACTGAGATTCCAAAAATATGAGGATCCAAATCCTAGTGGCTGAATTTCATCCAAAACAATGCTTATATGGAATTTCAACGTTGGAGAAATTATTAAAACCTTCATGATCATTAAATAGTGATCCAAGTATATGTATAATAATTTACTGAAAAAATTTGGATTTTTGTCAAAAAAGAAAAAAAGAAAATTTTACGAAGGATCCAGGATCCATTTCCGTATCAAAATGATATGAACACAGCACAGGGAGAGGGGGGGGGGGGAATTAAATTTTTTTTCAATGTCTACCCCTGCTATATCAATTTAATATTACCTGGTCTCCTGGCTGCAGCACCACCCTCCATTAAATATTTCTGAAAGTTTAGAAAATAATAATAAATGATTATAAATCAGTAATTACAATCAATTAATAGTTCATGATCTAACAAATACATATCAAACAACTGAAAAAAAATCATAAATTTTGATCATTGAAAAACTAGAGGAAACATTTCATAGGGTATTCTCAATACTGAGATAATTATGAACTGAGAACAATGCGTTAATAACTTGATAGTCCATTTAGACAATTTGAAATACCGTTAAAGTTTAGTTTGTTTTCCACAGCATCCAAAAGATTGGAAGCTAATTTTTGGTGTAACGAAATTATTACAAGTTTATTTATTTTGAGAAACGAAAAGGTAAGTATTTGATATGCTACTTCCACATTATTATTTGTTGCTTATTTCAAGTATTTTCTTACTGTTTCCTGTACGATTTCTACCACGTAATCTTTTGACCAGTTAAAGGGACTGTAAACGTAATTTTAAGTGACATTCCACTTAGAGGGTGGTAGAAGCGATTCACAACGGTACCCTATAAAGCTTTGTCTGATCAAATATGAATTATAATTAGATATCCATTTTTTAGTTTTGAAAACTGATTATTTTAAATTTTGATTTCTCAAGTGACTTCTGAAATAATTCTGCAGGATAGCCATGGAGAAATTATCATAACTTAACACCTTTAAAACTACAAAAACTACGTTATCTTCCACATTATTGTTAAGATGAAAGTTTTAAGTGTTCCGTTGTGAATCGGTTATGTTTCTCTTTAATAAATAGAAAGTCACTTTAAAATTATGCCTAAAGTCCTTTTCAAAGTATTAAAAGCTTGCAAAAAATGCTAACTTTTTCACTGCTTTGCCTATTCAAATGAAGAAGTATTAAAAAATGCTAATTACAAACACTAAAATATGATTAAATGGCTAGCGGGTCCTCTTGCTGAGTTTCATCAAAGGATAAAGGATCTGACTCTTGTATTGGAGCTCCATCTTCATCAAGCTTCATTCCTGAGCATTCATTAAATAAGTATAGGAAAAATATATATTAAAAATACATGTCTACGTAATTTTTATGCTTTCATGAAAAATATCAACATAAGGATATTAATTTTATTTAAAAATATCCCTCCAAAAATAAACAAGTAAGCTGAAAACTGAAGTCCATCTCTTACCCCCCCCCCCCTCTCCCTACAGGCAGGTGGACACTGAGCATTTCTTGGAAATATTTGCCTCAAACCAGGGTAAAAGCGTTTCATAAAAATTGTCCAAAAAATCATAGATTTATTTTAAAGTTTATTTTGGGAATAAATTCCCCCCCCCTCTCCCTTTCTTTTTCATTCTTTTTACACAAATTTCATGAATTTGCTCCTTAAAATAATTCATTTCCCACTATTCACCAGGGGGGGGGGGGGGGGTTGTTTTCAATCCTAACACAAAAAAACATTCCTTTGTACAAAGCTTGTTTTTATATAACCGTAGCGGGATTACCGAGTTCAATGAAAATTGTGAATATAAAAACAGCTTTAAAAAAAGGACTATTTTAAGGTGGATTAACGTTTTCTTCATCTTTTTAAATTTTATAACCTTGCATTGATGGTATGAACATAGTTGGTCTCCTAGACCGGATCATTGGGTTGAAGGATCTAGGTCGGAACTGGGTTGCAGCTCCAGTAGGGAATCTCCATGGAAGAACTGGTCTAGATTTGGGTAGAATACAGTTCCGGGGAGAGAAACTAGGCCTCGGTAGGGGTTGATGGTTCCGTGGTTGAATATACTGCTGCGGCGTGTTTAAAGGAAGACGATGATTTGATGAACCCCGGATAAGGTTCTCTCTAGGTAGGGGTTGCTGAGGCAGAGGCATACAAGGCATTGGAGTTCCTAAACTCTGATGCCCACCAACAGTATTCAATATCTGAACAAACACACACTAAGACTACATTAATTTTACGCTATTTAAAGATTGACAACAGGGTATTTGGTAAGCCTTTGTCAATGCTTTGGATCCGTTCCATCTTTACTTGGACTCGGGACCGGGTCCAGAATCCGTCTAGTAAAGAGAATCTGTGTCCAGAATACGTCTAGTAAAGAAAATCGAGTCCAGAATACGTCTAGTAAGAAGAGAATCTGTGTCCAGAATATGTCTAGTAAAAAGAGAATCCGGGTCCAGCATCCGTCTAGTGAGAAGAGAATCTGTGTCCAAAATCCGTCTAGTAAAAATAGAACCTGTGCCCAGAATACGTCTAATAAAAAGAGAATCTGTGTCCAGAATCCGTCTGGTAAAAAGAGAATCTGTGCCCAGAATCCGTTTAGTAAAAAGATAATTCGGGTCCTAAATTTGCCTAGTAAGATCCGGTTACAAACAAAAGGATCCGAGTCCGGAATCCGTCTAATAAAAAGAAAATCCGGATCCAAATTCTATCTGGGTCCAGATTTATCCATTGTTTTTAAAAAGAAAATGTTAATTCAGAATTTGTTTTGCAAAAAGAAATATCCCGGTTCAGAATCTGTATTGTATATGTAATACAAAGCTGTGGGTGTAAAAATCCGTCTTGGAAAACGATAATCCGGGTCCAGATTCTGTCGATTAAAAGCAAAATTCCGGGTCCAGAATCTATCAATTAAAAACAAGCTTACGGGTCCAGAATCTGTCAATTAAAAACAAGCTTACGGGTCCAGAATCCGTCAATTAAAAACAAGGTTGCGGGTCCTGAATCTGTCAAGTAAAAACAAGGATACGGGTCCAGAATCTGTCTGAATAAAAATCCAGCAAGACGCTAAGTTCTATCCTTGATTCATCCCCCGGGTTGAAGCTAACCTGATAGTTATGGTTGTTAATGACTATCTGAGTTGGGTTTCCTGGTAGAATAGTCCCAGGTGGTATCTGAGCAATGTAAATTGTCTTGCTGCTACCATCCGCCTCACGAATTAGTGCCTAAACATCGCAATTTTAAAACTATTAAATCGAATTCTATATAAACCCCATTACAAATTTAAGTTGAACTGTAAGGTACTCCTATTGAAAAAGAAAATAAGAGATAAATGAACAATAAAAGTTGAACTGTGAGGTACTCCTAATGAAAAAGAAAAGAAATTCCAATTTCTTTATTTCAAGAATCCTGTTGATCATCAAGTGATGTTTGATCTTCCAAAATTTTTATTAAAGCGAACTAAGGAAGCTATTGGAAAGCAATTTTTACCCGTTTAATTAAAAAATAAAGTAAATAAATATTGACCTGGACAGCACCCTGTGGAATTCCAGGATTACTGGTGGGAGGAACTGGTACCTGCGGCAAACCTGGTCCAACCTAACAGAGATCGGTAATATTACTTGAAATATAAGGTGATAACTGCTGGTAGGGGTATTTAACTTTCCCCTTTTTCCCCCCTCTCCCTTTTTTTAGACGAGAAAAAAGCGTTCCGACTGAATACACGTTTTTATTCATATTTATTAATGGCATCACGAATGGGGTGTGGGGGGGGGGGGTTCTTCTTGAAAAATAATAATCTTTTAATTGCATTATATCTTCACAGTAGGTTTAATAAGATTAGGAATTGAAGAAAAAAGTTGTTAATATTTCCGATCTAGTTTCCTTCAATGCTTCTTCAGATCTCCAGAACGGGATCAGATTGGACATGAAGTGCGTCGCATGATCGTTGATTATGTGATCTTCAGTATCCGTCTTCAAAATCACAATTTATTAAAAGATTAATCAACTCAGAATTTAAAAATAGAATTGAAATTTTAAATTTCAAGTAGAATAACTAAAATGTGAAATGAAAAGTCATAAGAAAATACATTTTATTTTTCAATAAAAAAAATTCATTTGCCTTTTCTTTGATGATTGAAGACTTCTAAAAGGGTTAAAAAACTGTTTATTTTCCTTCTTAATATATCTATGGAAGCAGACAGAGCAGGGATAGGGTCGATGGAACCAAGCATGAGAATCAACCATACTTATAGGCACCTCCTCATTACATCTTAAAAGAAATATTAATAAGTCTTCATAACCGAAATGATAAAAATCAATTTGATTAATAAATAACTGTCACATAGGCAGTTAATATGATTTCGATGTAAATAAAGCGGTAAGTGCATAGTTTCCAACTTTATCTAGTCAGTCAGGCAGTTAACTTAGGGCTATGATTTTTTACTACAATAAGTCTTATGACTGTTCATGAAAAGGAGCATATTTAAAGTCTTTAAAGGGACTGTAAAGGAAAAATGAAAGGGGGTATAGAATGAAACCTGAGAATTTCAGGCGTTGAACGATACATATAAGACATCTATCTAATGTTCCTGTCTCGAGAAATTGATATAAAACTGTGACAAGATTATACGAAAATTCATAAATATAAAATTTTGTATAAAAGTAGTAGGTTTAAACAGATCATATTCAGCAAATATTTGAAAAAAATCCGCACAAACCGTACATTTAAGAAAAATGTAACCATTTTTGAAAATAAAACACACATCAAAATTCAATTGTTCATGTCTGAGGGTTTAAATTTTTTCGGCAGGAGAAGTCTTTATATTGCTTTTTGATCTATCTTTAAAAAAGTATCTTAATTCATATTTATACAAGTAAATAAGGATGATAAATGAGAGGAGAAACAAGTAAATTAGGATGAGAATGAGAGGAGAAACAAGTTAATTTGGATGAGCATGAGAGGAGAAACAAGTAAATTATGATGAGAATGAGAGGAGAAACAAGTTAATTTGGATGAGCATGAGAGGAGAAACAAGTAAACTAGGATGAGAATGAGAGGAGAAACAAGTAAATTAGGATGAGAATGAGAGGAGAAACAAGTAAATTAGGATGAGAATGAGAGGAGAAACAAGTAAATAAGGATGATAAATGAGAGGAGAAACAAGTAAATAAGGATGATAAATGAGAGGAGAAACAAGTAAATAAGGATGAGAATGAGAGGAGAAACAAGTAAATTAGGATGAGAATGAGAGGAGAAACATGATAAATGAGAGGAGAAACAAGTAAATAAGGATGATAAATGAGAGGAGAAACAAGTAAATAAGGATGATAAATGAGAGGAGAAACAAGTAAATTAGGATGAGAATAAGAGCATAAACAAGTAAATTAGGATGAGGAGAAACAAGTAAATTAGGATGAGAATGAGAGGAGAAACAAGTAAATAAGGATGAGAATGAGAGGAGAAACAAGTAAATTAGGGTGAGAATGAGAGAAGAAATAAGAAAATTAGGATGAGAATGAGAAGAGAAACAAGTAGATTAGGATGAGAATGAGAAGAGAAACAAGTAAATTAGGATGAGAATAAAAGGAGATACAAGTAAATTTGGATGAGAATGAGAGGAGAAACAAGTAAATTAGGATGAGAATGAGAGGAGAAACAAGTAAATTAGGATGATAATGAGAGGAGAAACAAGTAAATCAGGATGAGAATGAGAAGTAAATTAGGATGAGAATGAGAAGAGAAACAAGTAAATTAGGATGAGAATGAGAAGAGAAACAGGATAAATACACATTTAAAATCTAAAAATCTAAAATTATGGCATCTAGTCTTTTACTTCTCTTCATTGGGATGGGTTTGTTTGTTTAAGCTTTTTAGAAAACTCTTTATATAGCAAAAACCAAAACTATGAATGAATTTTAATTGTCAATTGAAACAACAATTATTAACATAATATTATTTAGAATGCAGAAAACAAGCAAAACCCACTTCTTTTTGACAAGATTTTTTTTGGAAAATTTTCATGCAAATTTGCTGAAATGAGTCAAAAAAAGGGGGGAAATTGTGTATTTCCAGGCTAAAAATCTGTACAATCCGTACAATTAAAAAAAAATCCGTACAATTTGAAAAAAAAATCCGTACAGTCCGTACAATTTAAGGGCTAAAACAAAACAAAAACGTACAATCAATACATTCAGGCCAACCACAGAAGCCTGAGAATCTCAGGTTTGCTCCTAATACATTTTTTTTTTAATTTGCACTTTTCATAGATAGAATATGTAATCTATTAAAAATGCAAAACAAAAATTTAAAAAATTATAAAAGGAGCAAACCTGAGATTCTCAGGCTCCTGTGGTTGCGTATTGTTGAATATGATCTGTTTAATACTACAACTTTTATACAAATTTTTCCTTTACAGTCCCTTTAAACAAAATTTACATTTGATTTTAGACCTGTAAATCTTAATATCTGAGATATCTTTAAAATGGATTTGCGAAAAATTTCTAAGTGACATTTTCCGAAAATTGAGATTATAACTCAGGAAGACGGCATATTAACATATTCTGAAAAAAAAGTTCAGATGTTTTAACTAGAAACCTGATGGTCCATTTTCAGCAGTGTGGAAGGTAAAAACGGCATTTCAGAGCTAAATGTATCTTTGAAGACCTCCCATTTTTTGGCACTATACCTGTTAAAGGAGCACTTTTTTAGGCTAAAAAGTTTAAGATACGAAAGAATCTTAAATTTTTGAGCTCCGATCTTGGTCTGATAAATATTTAAGTTCCGATCTTGGTCTAATAAATCTTTAAGTTCCGATCTTGGTCTAAAAAATATTTAAGTTCTGATCTTGGTCTGATAAATCTTTAAGTTCCGATCTTGGTCTGATATATCTTTAAGTTCCGATCTTGGTCTAATAAATATTTAAGCTCCGAACTTGGTCTGATAAATCTTTAAGTTCCGATCTTGGCTGATAAATATTTAAGTCCCGATCTTGGTCTGATAAATATTTAAGTTCAGATCTTGGTCTGATAAATTTATAAGTTCAGATCTTGGTCTGATAAGTTTATAAGCTCCGATCTTGGTCTGATAAATATTTAAGTTCCGATCTTGGTCTGATAAATTTATAAGCTCCGATCTTGGTCTGATAAATATTTAAGTTCCGATCTTGGTCTAATAAATCTTTAAGTTCCGATCTTGGTCTAATAAATCTTTAAGTTCCGATCTTGGTCTGATAAATCTTTAAGTTCCGATCTTGGTCTAATAAATATTTAAGCTCCGATCTTGGTCTGATAAATCTTTAAGTTCCGATCTTGGTCTGATAAATCTTTAAGTTCCGATCTTGGTCTGATAAATATTTAAGCTCCGATCTTGGTCTGATAAATATTTAAGTTCCGATCTTGGTCTGATAAATATTTAAGCTCCGATGTTGGTCTAATAAATATTTAAGCTCCGAACTTGGTCTAATAAATATTTAAACTCCGATCTTGGTCTAATAAATTTATAAGTTCAGATCTTGGTCTGATAAGTTTATAAGCTCCGATCTTGGTCTAATAAATCTTTAAGTTCCGATCTTGGTCTGATAAATCTTTAAGTTCCGATCTTGGTCTAATAAATATTTAAGCTCCGATCTTGGTCTAATAAAATTACTTTGATCAATAAACTCAGGACTTACTTGGGGCAAGTCCTAGTTTCCTCCGGAATCTCAACTTCTTCGATCCGTACATCAACATCGATCTCATGAGACATTATCAGAACATCATCCTATGGTGTATAAATATAAATATATTGAACATACGTCTCACATCATATTAGATCGTTGATAGCTCTAAATTGAGATTTTCGGGACTAATCAAAAAATTTAAAAAGAAAGTAACAATTAAAAAAATTCCATAACACTAATATAAAAATTTGTGCAGAAATTACTAGGGTTTTCGATACATATTTGGCGTTAAAGCTTGGAGATAATCCAATATGATATGGAACGCTCTCTAGGAACACTAATTCCGAGGATCTAATTTTTATTTGTCGTCTTATTTTCGAAGATTTGGGCGGTAAAGAATTTAAACTTTATTCTAATTTGGGAATTTTTTCTCGTCTTCTCGATTTCATCCTGTATCCAAATCTTTTTATTTTATAATTTTAAGCTCATATTTCTTTCCCTAATTCAGAGATTGAAATTATAAAAAATCCAGCTCTGAACAAAAAGTCTCAAGATATTTGAGAGAAAATACATTTTTTAGTCTGGGTCAAGAATGTTAAAATTGAACTTACATCAATTGTATCGTGCGTTGATAAATATTTACAGTATTGTACATGCTCCGCAAACTTGAGACTCTCATTCGTCTCTAATCTTAGATCACAGTGAGGGCACACCAGTCCTGAAATAAATTAAATATAAATGAATCGGCTGAAGTTGTCCGTTTAGATCCTACGCCACCCCACTCAGAGATCCTATATCTAGGTTCTCATCGTTGCTGTTCTTTTATCCTCCTCTCTCTTGACCTCCAGGATGGCACCGTTAGTCTTTATACTTTTGTGATCTTTGTCTTGTCCATGTTCTTTCATCTCTTTTATGTCTTATCTCTAGCAGTGTTCTTGTTTCAGATATGTGCCAAGAAGAAGATCCTAAGGCCTTCCTGTGTTACTATCATATTATCTTCTTATTCCTGGTTCCTCTGGATCCTCGTACTCTCTCTCTCTTTCTCCTGTTGCTCGTCCTCGAGCTCCTCCTGCTCGAGCTAGACCAGGCGGCTCTTCTCCTTGCTTCCCGTGTTCCTATCCTAGAAGCGGCCAGGCGACCTCTGCCTGGACTGAACTAGGAACTCTCTTGACCGAAGCCGATACCACAAATGTGTTACTTGCGCTAGAAATTGTTCATTAGCTTGATACAAGACAAACTCCTGTTTCAGCTTTGCCTTTATCAATTTCGAGAAATTGTATTAAAAAAGTTTACCTAGAGAAAATAAACTTCTAAATACAATTGGTTCATCAAGATTCTTCTTCTGAGTGTAGAAAAGTCGTCTAAAACAATTTGACATTCAAAAGAAACATTATTTTTATTTGTAGAAATTTATCCTCAATTCTCACTTTTTAGAGTCCCTTCATCAAAATCTGGATTATTACGTCGCAAAAACGGATTTAGGCAAAGTTTAAAATAACACATAATAAATAATTTTTATAAAGTCTATAGAACCAATACAAACTATAAAAACAGCAAAAATTTTTGTGACTTAAAATGTAAGAAAAATTAGTTGATAGTTTTGCATTCACTCTGTTCTTTTTGAATGCCTGCCTTATATTTGCTCTGGATGATTTTAAATGTACTCGGGATGGTTTCATACTTCGTAAAAATGGATGCTCCTCCTAAACCAGATTTTGGTCAGTCAATATATATTTCAAACATATTAAGGAGAATCAGGTGGTGATATTATATGATACTATAGTAATTTCTTAGAACAAATGTTAAGGTTTAAAATATTTTTAAAAACTAGTTTTATCTTAATGTAAACTTATTAGTATTAATCATAAGAATCATGCATATTGTAATGCATAGAAGAGTACAACATTCTCCGAGTAATTGTATTAAAAAAGTGCTGACTATAAACCTTGATATCTATGCGAAGCTTTTTAAGTTTAAAAGCCGAGTTCCTAAATATAATTGCGTATTTTCATAAAGTTAAGAACAGTTCTAAGACGAGATCTGATATGATGCTGCTAACCCAACGCGCCTGGACATGATATTCATCGAGGTACCTTTTCATTTTAGTAAAAGCCAGTTGACTTGAACTTTTGCGTTTTCTTATTTAACGTAAGGAGATTTTTAGTGGCTTTGAATTTGTCACCCTTAATCTTAAATAAATGTCAATCTTAAATTTTCTTATTATATATGCTTAATTTTTGTAATTTGGAAATTTTCTACAATCAATCAATCAATTTATTTTAATTCGACGGACCAATTAGATACAGGATGGTGCTTTTTAAAGGGATTAACAATAAAAAGTCACGACTTCTAATTGAATTTTCAAATATTTTGAGCTAATTAAACTGGTTGAAAATACGCAATTTCCTTTCGAATTCTTTTCTTTGAAACTCCTCCTCATCACCAGTATCAGTATCGAAAGTATGGTCGAGATTCTAAATAATAAAAATATTTTAAAATTTTTTAAAAAAGTTTCCTTAATTTTGATTTATATTTTTAACTAGCAATAGTAACTATAAATTAATCGAGAATTTTGTTAAAGAACTGATTTTTTTTTCTTGATTTTTAAAATTTACCATTTGCTGGGGTTATATGCCGATATAACCAGAAACATAAGTAAGGAAACTATTGTAAAAAGAAAGAATTGAAACAAAACATTTGTTTTAAGGATCTAAGGTCAATCTTAGAGGGAACATTGTCAGCTTAAATTTCAAATTTTTGGCTTTAAAATCTATAAAACTAAGAAGATAGACGAATCAGAGAATCATTAAAACTCATCTGAGGTTATGATGAAAAATAAGTCACCTTTTTAGTAAACATCATTTGTTTTGAGTTAGTTTGAGAGCTGGAGCTAGGTTGGGATCTATGCTTTCGATTTACCGGTAAATTGGAGAACTTGCGAGACATCAAGTTCAAACAATCCTGCTGCTCAGATTTTGAGGCTAAGACTCTATCCTCGAGAACCTGGAGAGAGAAAGAGGATTGGTTAACAGGTTTTGAGACCGAACTTCTATATTTGAGAACCTGGGGAGAGGAGGATTGCTCATCAGGTTTGGAGGCCGAGACTCTATCCTCGAGAACCTGGAGAGAGGAGGATCGCTCATTAGGTTTGGAGGCAGAGACTCTATCCTCGAGAACCTGGAGAGAGGAGGATGATCGTCGACTAGAGTTTGAGCATGGAGGAGATATCGACAGGTTTGATTTAGCTAAAACCTCGCAGTCGGATTCAGAATCTAAAATTAGACATTCCTAACACTAAAGCTTAGGATATATTATTCCCTAATGCAATTGGGACAAATAAAAAATGGGTGTATATTTTTTTATACATTATTCCCCCCCCCCCTCCCTCTTTTTGAAATTGATGGAAAATCGTAACGAAATCTGAATCAGTTAAAGTATTTTTTAATTTCTTTCTTTACCTGATATTTGAATTTCTTCATATTTCCTCTTTTTAATCTTTTTCCTTTCCTCCCATACTTTCCTCCTTTTTTTCCTCTCCTCATTACTTCGTTGAAATATCTCCATTATTTCCGAATCACTGCACGAACTATATGTGTCATCATATTTGGCTGATCCTAATCTTGTTTCCGGGTTATCTAGAGAAACTGGCGCATTACTTCCGGTTCTTGTTTCCGGGTTATCTAGAGAAACTGGCGCATTACTTTTGGTTCTTGTTTCCGAGTTATCTGGAGAAACCGGTTCTTCACTTCCGGAAATCTGTTCTACACTATTGTCACTGTCCGCATCATATAAAGGGTTTAACTCCGTTTTATTTAATGGTCTAAACATAAGCCTTCTGTTAATAAAATAATATCAAAAGATATAAGGAGCAATTTAATAAAATATTATTCATATAAGAACTAGAACTATTTTAATCAATTGTTGCCAAGATTCTGTGGACCTCCTCCACTTTATTTAATAAAATATTATTTATATAAGAACTAGAACTATTTTGATCAATTGTTGCCAAGATTCTGTGGACCTCCTCCGCTTTATTTAGTGTGCAACTCTGTTAATAAAATATTATTCATATAAGAACTAGAACTATTTTGATCAATTGTTGCCAAGATTCTGTGGACCTACTCCACTTTATTTAATAAAATATTATTTATATAAGAACTAGAACTATTTTAATCAATTGTTGCCAAGATTCTGTGGACCTCCTCTCTTAATTTTATATTTAAATTGATATTAACCTTCTTATAATTACATTCGACTCAATCAATTTTTTTACTCCTGATCCAATTGCCCTAAGGAAAAAACATTCAAATAAAAAATATCCTTTAATTAAAAAAAATTTGATACGTTCAAAAATAGAAATAAACCCTTGGCTTTGATTTCTCCCTAGCAGAACTTACGAGTAGAAATACTTAAAGCTTTTAACAAATTGTCCATCTAATCCATATTTTTGTTGGAATTTCAAATTTTGAAGAAAATTACGACAATTAATACTCTCTACTCTCTAAAAAAACTAGTTAATAGGCATGTCATTAGCCATGTAAGATTTCGTGTTGGTGCCAAATATTTGATGCTACAATGATTGGGACTAATTAACCAATTGAAAAAAGCCTATGCTCCTAAATGATGGGCTAAGACTCTCTTATACAGGAATGAAAATATCCTTAATCTGACCTGTGTTTTGCGATGTTAATTAGCTTGACTTCAACCTGTTTAATGGGATAGCCCCAGTTCGAGGCCATTGCTCTGCAAAATACGGATTGCTTTAACAAAGCAAAAAAACATATTGTTACAATACACAAAGAATGAAAGCAAGACAAAGAAAAAATGTAACTTAAAAAATGACATTTTTAAATGTTACATCTATCAACAGTAAAGCTATTACAATTTCATTTTCTAACTAAACAAACAAGGTTTTATTTACAGTAATTAATAATAAAATCATTGCAGGATTTTTACTTTATATAAATAATAAAACTAATCAATAAATTAAGTTTCGTGAAAATTCAGACAGAAATAATGTTGTAAAATATATAAGCTCGTAGGAGATTGAATCCCAAATTAAGAAAATGGCACCTTGGCGGGATATCAATATGTCTGGTTTGTTGGCTATAACTTACATATTTAAAAATGCATGCCTATAAGGTTGTGCAATGTGCAAATTCATTTATGTAAAATTAAGACCAAAGTGAAGTTTATCAAAAAAAATGCCGAGTTTTTTTCTTTTAAGGAAAGTTACAATTTTTATGTGAAATGACTTAATCTTTGATAGATTTGAACTAAAATATTCCGAAGTATTAAGAATTGAAATCATATCACCCTCCCCACCCACTTCTTTATCATAACAAATCTGATATTTAGAATAATGAAGAATCTGATATTCAGAATAAGGAGAAATTATTAGTACGCAACAATAAAAATGAAGTTTACATACTTTGAAATTTCACCAAAAGCGATTGGATCACTAAAAGATAAAAATGTCAAGTTGAAAAAATATCTCTTCCAGATAATTCATTAAACCAAAAGAAATTGTTCACGCGTAATTCACTAATGTTTTAACCAAAGATAAGATATCAGGCATTTGACTTAGTTGACTCAAAGTTTAAGATGTCTCCCCAGATTTATTTTCTGAATCTTTTTCGTCCTTTTCTTCTTTGGTTTCTTCTTCACCTAGGTTGGATTCTTTAATTTTAGAATCTTCCTCGTTTACAACTGAAACATGTTCCGGTTCCACAGGATCTGAACTTTTCAGTTCATCATCTTCTTCTTCTTCCGACTCTCCCTCATCATCTTTACTACGATCAGGGTTGTCTTCCCCTTCAGATTGTTCTTCTTTACCATCCTGTTCCTCTTTGTCATCTTTTTCTTCATTGTAAAGCTCATCATCATCGTCTTCCTTGTTACCTTTGGATTCTTTACCCTTTCTTTTCTTGTATTTACGCTTGAATCTTTTATGAGGAGGTACTTTTGCCTTCTTTCCTTTCCTGTTATGCGTTGCTCGATGCCTTTCCATATTATGTAGGAGATGAAACTTCCAACCACATATATCGCATTCATACGGTTTAGCCATATTGTTGTGCACCGGCAAATGTCGGTCTAGATGGGCCTTAGCGGCAAACTTTCGGTCACACTGAGGACATTGGATCAGCTGAGGGGGATTATGGTCAGCTGAGATAAAATCTAATTCCTCTTGATTATGGAACTTGAGAACATGAGCTCGTAGCGTTGAAGGATCTGAGAATGCTGCGTGGCATTCAATACACTTGTTGGGTTTCTCAATGCTGTGAGTCCACATGTGTTTCTTCAAACTGTATCTTTGCAGAAATCTCCATCCACACACCTCACAGGCATAGGGTTTAATACCTTCATAAAAAAGATAAAGTTATAACAGAAAATTACAATGTTATTAAGAGAGTTTCAAAAAGCTTTATAGTATTAACTTATCAACAAACAAAGCGGAAAGCTATTTTCTACTGGTGTAAAAATCTATTTTTTTAATATTTCAGCGAAAAGTCTACCAGAATCCTGTGGTTTATAAAAATATTGCATAAAAGTATTTAGTTTCAAAAAGCTGTTCCACAGTCCACACTGTTGTGGACGTTTTAAATCAGCAATGAAAATAATGAGTTTAAATCTCGTATTTAATTAACAAAATAAATTGTTTTGAGAGAAAAAGTATTTAATTATCACCTGAATGAATCTTCATGTGTTTCTTTAAAAGACTCATTTTGTTGAACGACTTAAAGCACTTATTGCATCTGAACTCTGAGTCTAGTTGAGTGAACCAAGCTCCTTGTGGAGCTGGGATCTCCTCCTCCTCCCCGTCTTCTCTACTGAGGTCCAGATCCTCCCGACCAGCACCTCCTTTAACTACAGTTCCTCCGCCTCCAAATACTATTGCGTGTTCTAGATCTTGTAACGCGGCATCCTATAACATTAAATTGGATTGAAATGTCCAAAAAAAAAATTTTTAAATAAAATTAATTGAAACACGCTCAAATCAACATGCAAAGTACAAACATAAAACATTTATGAACCTGTTAGGGAATGAAAATAAAATGACAAAAATATTTTGAAATTATTCAAGTGTCCTTTACTATTCTAAAAAGTTTGAAATGATCCATTAACTCATTTTTTTAGTTTTGAATTTATCCTAAGCTTCCAAGTCACCCTCTTTAAAGTATAATGTATAAAATATAAAAAGATCAGTTAAGTAACATCATTATTCCTTACATTATGACCATGTGAGGCCCTACAGGGCCACGGCTTAAACCTGTCTTAACCGTTTTGACGTTGATAGATCCAAACAAACCAACAGACAGACAAGAAAAGATTTCACCTGTACATCCTCCCAACTCGAGTTATTTCTGTCATGAGACGCAATGTGCTGTTCTAGCGTAGATCTACGCATACGCAACATTAATTATATTCTAAAATTATCTGATAAACAAAATCCTTCAAATCATAGGAACAACCGTCATCGTTGACTGATAAACAAAAACCATTTTACATCAGATGATAAAAAGACATTAGGAAAAAATCACAAAATAAATAAGAATAAAATTAAAAATTCCTTCGGGAGAATGATTTTCCACAGTGATTGCACATAAGCTTCGGTAAAACCTAAAAATATGACATAAATTGCTAAATATTTGATCTTCAACGATTTAAGATCTTATTAATTGTATTTTTTACCTTAGCTGTTGATTCATTATTAGAGTTTGAGGGTAGCAAAGTATATTCGTACTTTTGCAGTTTCTTCCGTTCTTTTCTAAATAAATAAATTCTGTGTCATCTTGTTTGATATCAAGTATATAAAAACTGGACTCCGGGCATTGAAAATTGTCCTAGTTACAGCAAGGACCAAAAGATTTATTGCAAAGTTATAATATTAACAAAGATTATTATTCTAGAATTCTCTGAGCAAATTTCATTTTCCTGTATTAGGATCCGAATTTGTTTATTCCAGAGCGAACAAGCATTCTGCCATTATGTGATTGATTGATTTATATTTGCATAAAGTAAACCATGCGACCTTCAACTCTTTTTCAAATCTATATTTATGAATGAGAACTACCTAAAGAGATGCTTGTTAGCATCTATTTGTTCCCTGGTGACCAATCGGTTATCCAGGTCAGGGAACAGTCGAACATATCCTCGATCCTCAGGAGGTATATCCACCCCACACACCTATACAGTACACATACATTTATACCACGTAGATACTTTACCGCTTTTTGTTTTGTTTTCAAAAACGATCGTTTCGTTTTCGGAAAAAACGATAGTTTTTAAAAAAGACCCACTCGTTCTGAACTTTTGGGAAACGAACAGCGATCGTTTTTGAAAACGATCGTTTTATTAAAACGATTTGCGACCGTTTTTTATACGATTGTTTTTAAAAAAACGATGGTTTTTGAAAATAAATTTTATTGACAATTATGTTAACGATCGTTAACGAAGGGTCGTCGTTAACGATCGTTAACGAAGGGTCGGCGTTAACGATCGTTAACGAAGGGTTGTCGTTAACGATAGTTAACGAAACGACGAACTTTATCAAAACGGTAGTTTTTGGAAAAAAAATTACATGCAACTTTATTGAATGTCGTCTTACATGAAGTTTAACAGTTGTGGGGGAGTTAAAACTCCTTGATATTTTCTTAAAAACTACTCAATGATAAGTACAGATGCCCTTCAGGTCGGTTTCCTCTCTTCGTTAACGATCGTTAACGGAAGGGGAGTCGTTAACGATCGTTAACGGAGGGTCATCGTTAAAGATCGTTAACGAAACGACGAATGTTAAAAAAACGATCGTTTATGAAAACGAGCGTTTTGAAAAACGATCGTTTTAAAAACGACCATTTTTAAAAAACGAACTTTTTTAAAAACGATCGCTTCGTTTTCGAATTTTCGTCGTCGTTTTCATAACGAAACGATCGTTTTTCTGAAAAATGAAAACGTTAACATCCCTAGGTATATCCACCCCACACACCTGAACAGTACACATACATTTATACCACGTAGATACTTTATCCTATATTCAGGAGGTATATCCACCCCACACACCTATACAGTACACATACATTTATACCACGTAGATAGTTTATCCTATATTCAGGAGGTGTATCCACCCCACACACCTATACAGTACACATCCATTTATACCACGTAGATACTTTATCCTATATTCAGGAGGTATATCCACCCCACACACCTGTACAGTACACATACCTTTAAACCACGTAGATAGTTTATCCTATATTCAGGAGGTAAATCCACCCCACACACCTATACAGTACACATACATTTATACCACGTAGATACTTTCTCATATATTCAGGAGGAATATCCACCCCACACACCTGTACAGTACACATACATTTATACCACGTAGATACTTTACCCTATATTCAGGAGGAATATCCACCCCACACACCTATACAGTACACATACATTTATACCACATAGATACTTTATCCTATATTCAGGAGGTGTATCCACCCCACACACCTGTACAGTACACATACTGCTGTATCCTCTCCCCCGTCAATTCCATATGCATCCTCTCATGTATGTATCCTCTCCTGTAACCTACCTCTCTTCAATTCTGCCTGTATCCTCTCGCTATTCAATTCTGTCCGTATCCTATCCCTCTTCAAGTCTGCCTGTATCCTATACCTCTTCAATTCTGTCCGTATCCTATCCCTCTTCAATTCTGTCCGTATCCTACCCCTCTTCAAGTCTGCCTGTATCCAATCCCTCTTCATGTGTAAAATATGAGATCCATGTACAAAATTGATAGGAGGGAGAGGTGTCCATTAATCGTTCTCTTACAAATCACCCAATTGTGTCTGTATCCTATCCCTCTTTATTTCTGTCCGTATCATACCCCTCTTCAAGTCTGCCTGTATCCTATCCCTCTTCATGTGTAAAATATGAGATCCATGTACAAAATTGATAGAAGGGAGAGGTGTCCATTAATCGTTTTCTTACAAATTACCCAATTTTGTCTGTATCCTATCCCTTGTCAGCCCTGTCTGTATCTTCTTCCTCTTTAATTCGGTCTGTATTTCATCCCTCCACAATTCTTAATGCATTCTATCCCTGTCTTCAATTCTGTCTGTATCCTCCTTTTCCAAAAAAACTGCTTTAAATTAAATCTTGGAACACATCGACTTAGTATATCCAGACATAAACCGAGCATAGAGTATATAAATTTTTGTGAAAAAATACTTTAACTTGAAAGGGGGTAATTTCTCTAAATTTATCAGTAAGATCAATTGAAAAAATTTTATTTTAGAAGGACTGTAGTCCTTTGAACGTTAGCCAAAATGAACATTAGTCCAAACGAACGTTAGTCCAATCAATCATTAGTCCAATTTATAGGAAACCGCAGCAAATATCTTACTCGTAATTTTATCTTTTTACTCCCGACTGATCACCTTAATATCTATGCTCACATCCAACCATTCTATAGAGATCTCAGGTCTGACTGTCTTTGGTGACATGTTACAATTTCATATCTCTTTCTGAAAGATAATAAAACTAAATAAACATAATGAAATAAATGCAATGTTTGGAAAGAAAAATAGTAGAGCAGATAATGCTACGCGGCCTCTTGTGCTTCTATTGGTTTGGTTTGGAAGAAGAAAGCAGAAAGGAGTGTTCCTTAATGTAATAGGCTTCCATCGAGACATTTCAGATTTTGAAAAACAATACTCTGTAATAAAAAGACACATTAACGAGAAAAAAATAATATCAAATCAAGTAAATATTTGGACAATGACCGTTGATATATTCATAAATGCTCTCCTTCTAAATGCTGTTCATTGAGACCGGTGTCCGCAAAACCTACGAAAATACAATTTAAAGGGAGTAATGAAAGGGGGCAAGCATACAATGAAAAATAATCGCTTTTGATCGGTACTAATCTTACTTTTATCTGTTGTGTCTATAATGAGAAATTCGTTAAAACCGACTAATACTGAAGAACGTACAGCTTCCATACAAATTTGCAAGTTGCAATACATGACTCGAATCGTAAAATAATCAATTTAATTCCAAACAAATCATTCCGATATTACAACCTATAGTCATCAATTATTTTTTGACGCATTCGAATTTAGTTAATATTTCATACTATATTTTATTCGTTTTGCTTACAATGCAATGCCAAAATAGTTTTAAGTCGTTTAAGTGTATTGTATTTAAAACAAATGACAAATATTATGAAATATTGACTATAGTATATATGAATGTGTCGAATTATAAATGAATTATAAATTATGCCAGGAAGAATAATTAAATTTTATAAATACTACCTGCAATCCCTGCATATAATTGGAGTGTGGACATATGATTCTAAACCCGGGGGCAAGTAATCATGCAAGTCTCGTTATCCGATACAAATCGAACTGATACCAAACTAGGCCTAAAAACAGAGTGTGAATAATTCCCTGATATGTTGAATTTTTTTACTAAAAATTGTCAAAAATGTAGCTTTCTTGTATTAAGTCTGCTGACAGCTTATGGCGAAGAATTAAATTGTTTCTCATTATAAAATAAAAACTGTGGATTAGGAAGGCGACATTTTATGAATCTTAGTTAATGTGAAGAATGTAGATACAATCATAAATTTCTACCATTAGTTAGTAGAAACTAGAAAGCAGTTGAGGTGTCAACACCTCCTCTCTTTGAGAGAAAGCATGCAAAATGCTTGCAGAATATATTCATGGGACTAGGGCCGTAACCCTTATATAACCTGTTTACTGTCAACAAGAATGGGTTCACACCCTTTGCTATTGGAAGATGTCAAAGTCTACTACAGACAACGAGTATGGGTTCACACCCTTGCTGAATCAATATGTATTTATAAGTTCAATGAATGCATTCCTTAAAATGTTTTGATTATTTGAGTGCTGACTAATTATCTACTTCAATGAATGTATATTTAGTTGAGATTTCAATATGCATACTTTGTTTCAACAAAAACGATCAAACAAAAATATCAAACATTATTTTCAATTGGCTCATAATAAATTTTCTTCTGTGTTTTATTTTAAGCTGAACCATCATACATTATTATTTTGTATTTTGTGTTTGAAAATAAATACTAAACAAATAAAAAAATTATTAACTTAAGTGATACCATTTATTTTTCCAAAGTGGTGAAAAAAGAAGATATTTTTGAGATAAGTTTAAAGCATTTTTAGAGAACAACACACTAAAAAAAGTCAATCAGAGAGGCATTTGTAAATAATAAAAGCTTAATTAACAGGAATATGAAGTTCAAATAACCCATCAATTAGTGATGGGAAAATTTCAAAAAAAAAATTTTTCTTAGCATTTGCTTTCCTTACATTCTGAAGACAATAGGTTCAAGATGATAGTTTTTTTTTGGTTTATTTTCCTCATGTTTTCTCTCCGGGAAATATATTGCATAGTATAACAAAAGCAAATTTTCACTCTTAGATTTTGAAAGTATTGGAACAATAACAAATTTTTGTAGTGCATTTTAAAAATTCCGAAAATCCAATATAAAGGGTTTAAAACGCACCAAGCTTTTGCCCAGTAATACTATTAAAAATTATAACATCAACTAATAATAAACTTTAGAATCCTAAAGCAAAAACCTATATCTTCCGAATTTTATTTCATTAAACCTATCTTGAGTATATCTTTTCATTTTCTAAAGAATTATCCATAAGTCTTTAGCTAAAAGGCCAAACTGCCAATAAATTTGAAATTTAAGAACGACGAAGATCTTAGACATTAATGAATAAATCAAACGGATATGACTTGTGGATTTGAATTTATACACACCTGGATTTGGTTGAATTTGATTTGTAGGTATTGGATGTCATGTAAGGGGCCATGTTGAAACCGGAGCTGTGAATGGGATCTTCCGGGAGAACTAGAAGTTCTGGTTTCAGTGTAGATATGGTTCCAGTAGGGGTTGGTGATGTTGATGGCTCTGATGATTGAACCAGGTAAGTAGGCAGATTTTTCTTAGCAGAACGAGTTCGACGAAAAGATCTGAGAAGTTTGGTGGTGGAAATAGATTGAGCTGACGAACTGGTGCGTGCTAATGAGATGCTACAAGTGACTGCAAGAGCATCCGTTTTTGTTTGAACAGTGGAGATTGGGATGTTAGTTGGTACAGCAGTAGCATCATGGTCAGATTTCTCGGGGACTGTCATCTCAACAACCGTGTTTCTAGTATCCCTGGGGTCGGCAGTGAAAAGGGTTGAATCATTTGGTTTCTCTCCATGAATATTCAACATTTCTTCAAATATTTCTGACCAAGTGGTTGTGGACTTACTCTCTTCTCCACACAAAGAAATAGAGGCCCTTTAATATTATTTCAGGTTCATTAGTTGTAACAAAATATACATTTATTAACAAGGATTAGGTGGAGTTTCCACTCAAAAATTACTAAAATTTTGTTAAAGTATGATATTTTGTTTTCAAAGTAGTAAACGGGCATAAAATAATTATATTTTCAAAAGAGTCCCGACAATAAAAAAATACTCTCTAAAAATATATTTTGTTGTGGTGTATTAGATGGGTTAGTATGGAGCTGGCAAAGAGTCGAAAATCAAACTGATTATCAATCTGAAACTCAGATTGATAATTGTTTAATTTATGCACACCTCCCCATTTCTTAATTAAATCAAGAGACTATAATAAAGCTTACTTTAAGTACTGTTTCTCCGATCCTACTTCTCCTGTAATATATTATTACTAATATTTAATCTTTCTTGTAATAAAATAAAATAAAAAATATTGTTATTAACATTTAACTTTATGTAATTAACCAATATAAAAAAATATTATTAATATTTAAACTTTATTGTAATTAAATAAAATAAAAATGTTATTATTAATGTCAAAATTTTGTTCTAAAAACAAAATAAATATCAATATTTAAACTATCTTTCAGTTCTTTAATTCAATCCTGTAAAAAATTCTAATAAAAAAATATATCAAAAATCAAGTTTTTAATTGAACTTAGTTTTAGAGCTTAAAGAAATCTCATGTAAAATAATTATGCTCTGGTGATATTGCTTCAAACGCAAAAAAATTATTTATACATTTGATATCAATAATACCCTTTTCTAATCACTCAATATAAACAACATTCAAAATGTTACCTTGTGTTTCCGAGTCGTTTATTGGGATCCCATCTGGTGGCAAGGAAGGTGTTGGGGATGTATTCAGTTCTTTGGGATTGAGTGAGACAGCACTCCCAGATTTAGAGGAAGGTGAACTATGAGGCATTTCTGAAATTTCTTTCGATCCTTGGAAGAGATTTTGAAATTGTTCACCTTTGATTCTACGTCCTTCATCTTGTAAATTTCTGATTGAAACATGTCTGGGAAAATTCTTAGCTTGAGGTATACTTGAGTTCTTGCTTGGAAACCATTCAGCGTCATTCAAGTTGACCAAAGTATGATCATTGTCGGAGATAGGTTCCAATACCGGACGAGTAGATTGTTCTTTATCCATAATTGCAGAGACAGTATGAATAGAGAAATCAGTTCCAGGTTCCAGAGTATATTGGGCATTATCCTCATTTACCATACTGCATTCTGGTAGACAATCAAATACTACAGGAAGATCATAGCAAAATTCCTCAAGATTTCGGCATGCTTCACTCAGGTTCAGACTTTGATTGGACATTTGATATTTGATTAGATTACTTCTATTTTGATTAGACTGAGGACTTTGTACATCAATATTATTCTCTTTATTCAGGTTTTCAGAATGGTTCTGGTTCAGGTTTTGAGGTATCAACTGCACTAAAACCTTATTAATATTCTCCGTTTTCTTAATTTTTTCAGCTTTAACATTCTTAAAGGGTAGATATCTTGATTTAGATGATAAACTGGGTCTCCCTACACCACGTCTCTGCAACATATCTCCTCTTTTTCCCATTCCATCATTCCTAATCCTAGCCCGGATTTTCTGATATTTTACACACTTTAGGATCTCAACTGTTCTCGTGGCTTTCCCTTTAAAAGTATCTTATTAGGTATTTGTACAAAAAAGTGTACTTCATTGTGCAGACAATGATCAGAACTAAGGCTGAGCAGCACTGAATGATTTTATTATTTCTGCATATTACAAACAAAGTTATGGGGGATATCTAAATGATCTTTCACAAGTAGATCAACTTTTTATGCTACCAATATTTGAATCACTTTAAGCAAAACCCCTACCCACTCTACCTTCCTCCATCCATCACATTAATGTAAATCTAGAATTTGACAATATTTGAGGAAAAAATGTTATAAAGGAAGTTCTTAAACGAGATGAAATAATCTTGTATTATGAATTATATATGTATTAGTTTAATTACATTTTTATCCTCATAAGACTAATATTATATCATATTTGTGAGGTTCCATGAGCTAATACCCAAGAAGCTATATTTTTGAAAATTATTGTGAAATACACTATATTAAGTTGGAACAATTGACATCATGAAGGGTTGCAAATAAGTTTTATATTTCACTCATGCTCGATCGTCCTGACTATTTCCGTTTTCATTTTTCCAATGTTACAATGGTAAGATGTTAAATACCCTTTTAAAGGTAAAAATTGGTTCTTTATTTGTAAATAATGCATGTGGTGCGATTGTTTTCTTAGTTGTTTAGTGTTTTCTAATTTATATTGCATTTGCTTGTTTTTTAAGTTTATGCTATATAAAGATTTAGCATGTTGAAAGTGCCCTGACTTTATTAAATGGAGAGAAGGTAGAGAATAGTAGTGGGGTTGTCTCAGTATACTGAACAAAAGCGTGGAATCATTTACACTTGCTGGATTTTATACCTTAAATCTTCCAAAAAGAGGAGAGAAAATCCGTTATCTAGTAAGAACCAGTTCAAGAAATGAAATGATGAAGATCTTTGTCTTTTATTCATGAATCAAGATTTATTGGTTTGTTTTCATTGCTATGGAGTGCTAAAACCTAACATAAAGTTTGTGACACTAATATCTCAATGATTTCTTTCATGCTCTGACTGTGTAATAATTATTTCTATTCTTATACGGTCTGAGCGATAAAGAATAAATATTTTACACCCCCAGTGTAAGAATAAGCATTCTTATACGCTAGGAAGCGAACAATATTGGAAAATTTTCTCCTGAACTGTATAATAATGGAAATTTTTATTTACTACTATGGAACCACAGATATGATCTAATATTTAGTACGTTGATCAAATAAGTTTTACCTTGAAAGCATTCAGGAACCTTAGTTTCAATCTGAGGTATATCAAGGTGGAGCAAACCCTTCCTTACTCCAATCCTGTGCAAATATAGGCAAATAAAAAGATTTTCTATTTAAACAGTTAATGAAGAAAATTTAGATAAACAATGTTAAAATACAAGTTCTTTTTACCTTGTTTTTGGGCTCCGAGTTGGTTTTCTTAAAATATTGGCTTTCTTAATATTTAATTACCTAGCCTTTTAGGGCGCTTCGTGCCCATCTTCTATTTTAATTGTGATCATGTTCCTTTTGTGTATATCATAAAACAAAACAAAAAAAGTTCGTGGATTTAACAAAATATTTTGTGGATTTCAAAATTTTAAAAAATTTAATGAACAAATTTTGATGGAGACAAATATATGAAATTTTGATCATTCACAAACCTTCCCAGGGGCCACGTGGGGTCCCACACAAAATTTGGGCCTGATCGGTTCAGCAACTTTGAGGTTTATTGGATACAAACAAAAAGACAAACAAACAGACAGAAAGACAGGCTCAATTTGTATAAAGAAGAAAAATATAGGTATATTTGTAAGACTTGTAATTTGCAAATAAAAGGGCACTATGAAAAAATACAAAACAGGGTATTACAAAAAATACATTGAACATAACAAAATAAACACTCCTTCCAGATAATCGTTTGATTCATTGTATCAGAAAGTTCTAAAATTTATTACAGAGTCTCTACTCTCAAAGCTTGAGTAATTCACCATTCCAAAAATTTGTTCAACATAATTTTCTTCTTAAATGGGCTGTAAGTTTAAAATCAAGTGACCCTCCATGCAAAGATTCACAATTGTACCCCTGAAACCTGTGCCTGATGAATAATGTGGAAATATTGTCATTTTCTTAGTTCTAACATAATTCCAGGATTTCTATGCATTTTTCTGCAGAAGAAAATGTGCAGGTCACTTTTAAAGAGAAATTAATATTTAAAAATAATCAGTTATCAAAATTGTAAACATTGATGTCTAATTCACACTTGATCAGACAAAGCTATCTAGGGTACCCCAGTGAATCAGGCATTGTCAGGTTTGCATTGAGAGTCACTTAAAATTATGCTTACAGTTCATTTAAGCTGGCAGACAGGATTAATAAGTAAAGCATTAAAAATACTTTCTTCAAGTGTAATAAGGTTATGATATCACCAAACAAAATTTTGAAAGCCTAATATGCCTTGGGCTTGTAGTCTGAATTCTTGCTTCTAAATCCGGAACAGGGTTAGTGATACTTCTGAAATAAAATGTTATACAACTTGCAAACTGAGTATTTGAGTAATTTGCTTCTATACAAACACAAATTCTTAAAAAATAGCAAAGAACATCCTGGCATACAAAAGTTAAAACATGCCTTATAATCCATTTAAAAAATTGCTTTATAATTTTTAGAACAAATTTTTTATGCCTCATAAATTTCTGAACCATCTATAAGATATATAAATCAATTTTTAATTGAAGGCGATAGTGTTGTGAATAATTGGTGGAGGGTCACTGAAATAAGCAACATCTTTCAGAATATTGATAGAAACAATTAGCCTTTTAAAGAAGTCAGGGGTGTTTAATTTTTCAAAAATTATCACCCCCCTTAGAAAATCGTTTCAAGCTTGAAATTATGTCTAATTCAGTCCCTTTAAGATTAACAGAACAGGCTTTCTATTAAAAGATACCTAGGGTACGAATCGAAAATGTGTTCCTCTGTTGGTGAATACCTCCAATTATTTGATCCTTGATTCAGTTCAGAGGATTGAAATCCAAACCCGGAATGATGATCTTCATATCTTCCATAGGATGCTTGATATGGACGATTATCATTGTTCTCTGGGTATTTTGATTGGATCTCCCCTGAGTTCCATCCAAACCTGGATTGGTTTAATCCTGCCTCAGGATCCCTAACTTCCCATTCAACGTCATATTGATTTCCTTCGTAAGTGCTTTCTTGATTAGAATGAGACAAATTATCAGGAGGATCAATTCCGTTCTGTTCCCTAGACACAGGCATATTGTTAAACTCTTGATTTGAGTCAACTCTTTCGGACCTGAATGGATAACCCGTCACTCTATTGTCACCTAAATGGTTGTCATCAACCAAAGAACCAAAAACAGAGGAATCAGGCATCCCTTCTTGGAAGTATGGTTTACTGGTTGGTCTTAATTCTCTCAGTTGATGGATATTGTTTTCATGAACACCATATCCTGGGATACATTCCAAATTGTAGTCTGAGAAGAGTGGAGAATTGTCTTTCTTCACATGGATAAAAGTTTTTATGAAAATTTACACATGATTGTTGTTAGAAAAAAGTTCAAAAAGCTCAAAAACCCTCAAAAAGGATAATAATTTTGGATTGAAAATCTTTCTAGGATTAAAATATAAACTAGTATTGAAAATCTTGGTTTGAGAAAAATATTTTGTCCATCCCTGTCCGCAAGCTTCACTATCTACTTCAGGTTCCTCTTCTTGCTCTCTGATATGGTCTTCACCTTCTTCCAAGGCAAAACTCTGGTACCTTTTAAAGTTGTTTGATAAGCATATTAGAACAAAAATCACAAGGGATATTATTGATTCAGAACTCTGAAAAAATGCTTAACTGACTTCATGGACAAAACTTTAACCTTTTTTTACTTCGTCACCCTCAGAATCATTATATATACTGATTGGGCCAAAAAGGTCTGTAAATATAGCCGGTCAATGACAAAATTTATCTGGGGAACAATGTCACAAATTATTACTTTTAAAAATGCCCAAATTAAAACAGAAAAGTCAACAAATATTTTGTTAATTGCAAGATGAAAACTGGCGACATAAAAAGCAATAGTAAAAGCTAAATTGCTACCAGAAAAGGAGCGTGAAAACTAAAGAGCCTCTGTAAGTTTAATTTTACAAAATTATTCTTTTCCCAAAAAGATAAAAACCTAACACCAAATGAACTATGGATTGGATATGGACAATTTTCAATAACTAATCGACATGTTAAAGTGATAGGGTAAAATAATGCTTCAACAGGGTTCATTTGTGCATTTTATATTAAAACACCTTCCCCCGCCCCCTCTTTACACACAACAGAAAAAACTTTTTTATTGAGAAAATGAGAAGAAGAAAAAACCTCCATGGTCTTTTTTATTTAAGGTAACTGAGACCCCTAGCTTTATCAGTCCTATTTTGTAAAATTAAAAAAAATATTTCTCCTCCTTAAAGTTTTTAAATAATTTTTTTTCAGATATAATTTCAATGATATTCCAACCTTATAATTGTACCTATTAGAGGATCTGAAATTATCTTGCATTCCACTGAAGAGTGTATCGGAGTCTAATATTTCCTCTAATTTCATATCTCTATAAGACCCAACCTAGGTTATTGATTCATAATTCTGTGCTCAGAAGGAGTTAATAATAGTAAGAAAAACGTTTAAATTTCTCCCCCCCCCTCCTTTGTTTGTACATTAAGGCCGAAATTTCTTAGATATAATAAGCTAATTTAAGACTTTAAACACTTCAAGGGGAAAAGAGTAGTGGAGGGGTGGGGTGGGGGGATTAAGGTCCCCATAAAAAACTTACCCTTGGAACTAAATGTTTTGTTATTTTAGGGTTTGGCTCAGAGGTTGTACTCTTAGAAGTCTTTTGGCAGGTTCTAGGCGAATCCGCAAAAAATGACTTCACTAAAACAAATAAAATGTAAGCTATTGGTGCAAAGATAATGTTGAACACACCGCGTTGTGTCGAACACTATCTTTTTATAATCTTTGAACAACATTTACAAATCCTAACTATCACACATGAACACTAACTTTCAGGCTTTGTTTGTTAATTTCACGTTTGTCTAAGAATTATGCAAGATAAAATTGGTTGAATTACCTTTTTCAATTTTTAAGAATTACTTTTTCAATTACCATTACATTTGTTACTTAAATAAAATAAAAAAATTTAAAGACTAGATGGATATCTAATCAATATAATTTGTTTTTATACCTTGTTTTAAATAAGCAAACTTCTCCTGTCCAGTAGTGGTGCATTAAGAGGATAATAATATTGGGTAGTAAATAAATTTCATTTCACAATTTACCTTTTTGAAAAAAGAATCAAGAAAAAATGTTTTTATTTAATACACCCTGCCTGAAACAGTTGTGGATTAGTTACAACCTAAATACATCAATTATCATAACATAACGTATCAAATTCTATATAATAAAGAAATCAGAAAAGGAATTTTTACTTTTAAAACTTGTTTAGGATTGCTCCTCCGCAGTTGAGGAAGACATACAATTGACGGTTTCCACAAACAAAAGTTTTGTCTTAATATTTGTCTTGTTTTCTGTTAATTGTTTAAAGGGAGTGACTGGCTATGTAAGGTAATTGAACAGAGTATGCAGTGTTGTGGAAAACTTCTTTCGGAAATAAAATGTAAAAAAGTTATACATTAAACTGAACATGTTGAGAAAATAAAACCTTTTCTTATCATCAAATTTTTTTTCATTATTCACAAAGATTCTCTTCAGATTTTATAGAATTATTATTGAAAAGACGACATTTGAAGAATTTGAAGAAATCTGCGAATGAATTCAAAGAAAATAAGACTTTCAATATAATAATGAAAATGAAATAATCGATTTTAGCATTGATTTATTGAAAAATTTATTTTGAGAAATATGTTCCTAACAATCTAATTAGATTACTGTATAATTTTCACTTTATTTTTCGTTGTCAATATTTAATAATTTAAAAAAAACTAATTCTGAAAGCGTATCCACGTATCTGTATACTCAGTTCAACTACCTTACATAGCTGGTCACTACCTTTAAATGACTAAACCAATTGACCCGGCATCAGGCAAAGAAAAAAACTAGAAATTATAAAATTATTTCACATAGATTTCCAAATTTATTTCTGACATTACAATTAAAAATTTATTAAGACCTGAGCACAGGGATCCACTACAAGAACTCCTGGTAGTTTATCCAGGTCTGGTAGAGTACTAGACTTTAACAGATAACTCTTCTCCTGCTTCAATATTAGACAAAAATAAAAAGAATCCATTTGGCTGTTAAAAGTTCAGCATATCCTCTTGACGCCCCCCCCCCCCACCCTAGCTACTGAAGATGTATTATTATCGTCGGAAAAATCAAAAATTTGCATTTCTTGTCTTGGCTCTTAAATTGACTTTCTATTCAAATATAATGACTGTGCCAGTTCATAAATCCATTCTGATCCAGAATTTAATATATGACATTGATGGCTTCAGAAATATTAGTGATATCATTCTGTTATAAAAAGAATATTTAAAGTTTGAAATATTGCATTCCTCAATTTGTTGTCCACCTCCATCATGGCGACCCTTTCTTCCAGTATCTTGAATAAAATAAAATATGAAGAAAATACATTTAATATTTTGTCAAACTCTTAACATTTTTATTTAACACGTATCTTATGAACATTTTATAACAAACATGAATATTCAGAACTTCTGGAATTACAAAATTTAACGATAGAAATTTACTAAAAATTTTCATTTAAACTTTTAAAAGCATTTACTCAAGTTCCTGTCTTGTAATATTACTTCTTGTTGATCTGAACTAGTTTTTAGTTCACATCAACCCAAACATAATATAGTATTATCTATGTTTTGTGGAGATTTTTCATACTTTTCCGGCAATGTTTTTTAAAATTCAAAACCATGCAAAATGCACATTGCACAATCTGCCACTTAAATCTTACAATTTTAGAGGAGAAAATACATACAGATTACAGAGTGACCCAAAAAACAAAGATTAGGATATTTTAGCTCCTTTAATTGTTAGAAAAGACTCGGTATGAAGTTTTTAATTTTAAAAGGGGTCGTTGAGGTAAGTTTTTGTCGTCCGATCCTTCCATTTGGTGCAAATTTATGTCGAATATTCGAAAGTCTTTCAAGTAACTTTAGCTTATCAATATTGCTTAAGAAACAAAAAAATTATTTACATCTATCTGAACCCCCTTAGATTTTTCTTCTGGAGTTTCTGAAATCCAAGTTTTATAAGTAGTCTTATACCCAGAACTCTATGAAAAGAAATCTAAAAAAGAGCAGAAATCCCGGCCCCATTGATGGAACAGCTTTGATGGACCTTGAAAATAGGCGATTTTTTTACATGACATCATATTGGAGCCTCCTTAAGAAATAATTTAAAATATAAACGTTATAGTAATCCAAATAAGTATTCATTTTTATAATTTCTAAGCATTTTTAAGTTTTTTTCTTTCTGCAATATAGATTTGAATAGATTAATAAAAATTATTAATTGTTTAAAGTTAATAGACAGGTTTTAAAAAATTAGACACAATTTATGGGCCAAACAGAAACATCGCACGAAAAATGTTACAAAAATAACTCCTTCTAAAAATTAAAAATAAATAAAGGGCACCTTTTTCAGTAATTTCAAAAGATTGTTGGGACAGAAAAACCTAATCCCTGTTTTTTTGGTCACCCTACCCTGTATGTATGAAATTTAAATCAAACGCATAATTCCTTTGAATGAGTATCCAAAAGAACAGATATATGAAACCAGAAAGTAAGTAAGAAAGTAATCTTCTCACATGCTGAATTTATGTGTGAAAAATATTAATAACGATGAAAATAAAAAATAAAATTTCCCCACAACTGTGACAAGTGCACCCAGTGCCCCCCCCCCCTCGTACACCCTTGTGAGTAAAGTATAATAAAGTATATTAACATTAATTGCTTCCTCACCTTTCATTCTAGAGTGTGTGGAAAGAATATGATTCTTCAGACTCATCTGACCAATAGCATTGTAATTACAAAATGGACATCCTATATATAACATTGTAGTTACAATATTGAAATCCTAAATATAAACTTGTAATTTCAATATGGACATCCTAAATACTAAATAGTATATATAACATTGTAGTTACATTATGGACATCCTAAATATAGTATTGTAGTTACTATATGGACATACTATATAAAGAATTGCAGTTACATTATGGACATTCTAAATACAGCAATGTATTTACAATATGGACATCCTAAATATTGTAGTTACAATATGGACATCCTAAATACAGTATTGTATTTACATTATAGACATCCTAAATATAGCATTGTAGTTACAATATGGACATCCTAAATATAGTATTGTAGTTACAATATGGACATCTTAGATATAGTATTAAAGTTACATCATGGACATCTTAAATACAGCATTGTAGTTACAATATGGACATCCTAAATACAGTATTGTAGTTACATTATGGACATTCTTAATATAGCATTGTAGTTTCAATATGGACATCCTAAATATGGTATTGTAGTTACAATATGGACAACCTAAATATAGTATTGTAGTTACAATATGGGCATCCTTAATATAGTATTGTAGTTACAATATGGAAATCCTAAATATAATATTGTAGTTACAATATGGACACCCTAAATATAGTATTTTAGTTACAATATGGACATCGTAAATATAGAATTGTGGTTACAAAATGGACATCCTAGATATAGTATTGTAGTTACAATATGGGCATCCTAAATATTGTAGTTACAATATGGACATCCTAAATATTGTAGTTACAATATGGACATGCTAAATATAGTATTGTAGATACAATATGGGCATCCTAAATAGTGTAGTTACAATATGGACATCCTAAATATAGTATTGTAGTTACAATATGGGCATCCTAAATATTGTAGTTACAATATGAACATCCTAAATATAGTATTGTAGTTACAATTTGGGCATCCTAAATATTGTAGTTACAATATGGACATCCTAAATATAGTATTGTAGTTACAATATGGGCATCCTAAATATTGTAGTTACAATATGAACATCCTAAATATAGTATTGTAGTTACAATTTGGGCATCCTAAATATTGTAGTTACAATATGGACATCCTAAATATAGTATTTTAGTTACAATATAGACATCCTAAAAATAGTATTGTAGTTACAATATGGACATCCTAAATATAGTATTGTAGTTACAAAATAGACATCCTAAAAATAGTATTGTGGTTAAAATATGGACATCTTAGATATATAGTATTGTAGTTACAATAAGAACATCCTAAATGTATAGCATTGTTGTTATAATACTGATATATATTCTCAGTGCTTTTCTTTTAAATTTTGTGAAGAGATAAGTATTTTCTTCACACAACACCCTCCCCCCTCTCACCCTTTGAATGTGATAATATGTGCAGCTTCATATCATATTCATTTTTGGTTTTGAAAGTGCAGAGGTCACAGCTGAAATCCCTTTTAAAACAGTTCAGCTGGGCATTTCTACAATAACTAAGTAATAGAAACCCAGTGCATTTTAAATCCCATAATAACATGTTTAATTAAGATCAGAACATTTTATTTTAAAGCATAAGAAATCCGTTTTAAGCTGAGATCAGAGTTCAAGGCATTTGGTATATTTTAATTTGTTCTTCGACTTAATGGTCATTTTAATAAGTTATTTACAGCAGAACTTACTAACTTCCTAAAAATACTTGACGGGTCGCATCGCGCACCCCAAGCCAGTGTTTGTAATGTCAATTTAGCGCTTTCAACTTAACAAGTCAAAACGTATACAGCAGTACATTCATTTTTCAGTGAAATTAATCGGTTAATAATCCGGGAATTTCCTAGAGAACGATTTTTGGACCCCCCCCCTATAAATTTTGTACATGGATCTCATATGTAACACATGGATATAATTGGTGATGTGGCCGTAGCCCCCTAGTCTGTCCTAGTTGCGGCGCTCGGCCCCCTAGTCTGTCCTAGCCCCAGCGTTCGGATCCTAGCCTGTCCTAGCCGCAGTGCTCGGAAATAGTAAAAAATATAAAATAATTATTTTGCTGATCATTAATGATCATGTACAAAATAGATATGAGGGGGGTGAGGGGGAAGGCAAAAATCGTTCTTTAGGACAAACCAAATAATCCAATATGTATTCATTATAAAATACCAATTGGTTCACACCAACTCATTCATTTCAGCATGACCTGGTAAGTTTTTATACTTAAAACAAACAAATAAAAAATAAGCATAAATAAACACCTCCGGGTTTACCTCTTCTCCATTATGCACTCGAATATGTCAAGATCTGTTAAGACTAAGTATAATCATGTTAAGTGTTTGATTTGATTTCATTTGAAGGATCCTATTTTGTGAAAAAAAAATGTTTAAACCCTAGCAGTAGTTGACCTCCCAACTATTCCCTTCTGGCGTGAAATGGTTCTTTATGTCGTTGAATATGTGAAAGATTTATGATTGGAAAAGATTATTGGTGGCCGTGTAAGTTGCGACTCTTCCTTGAAAGTTCTTCTGGATGCTCAGTATTTGATTTAAATCAAATCTTCCTGGAATTATCTTTTCTGGTCGAACGATTTTGAGCACCCTTACTTTCAGTCATCAAGAAAAATCCAATTCCTCTTGGACAATTTCAATTACGAATTACTAATCCTCAGGATAAATGCTTTTCAGAGATATCCTACTTCACTAAGTGGATGTGGACGCGTAGAGGAACCCCATCGAGAACATCGCAGTGGAGCAGAGAGCCACCGAAAATCAAAATATCAAGAAGTTCATGCATCATCTATTTATATCCTGAATTTTTTATCCTTTGTGAACTTATTTTTCGACTTAAGAAACTTCTGTTTTTGCCTATAGCTACTTACCTTATCCTTTGAAATTGTGTCGGCATTTTAATAGTTCAAGTCAGTCAATCGTCATATGCAAGTTTTCATTTTTCGACTTTTAGGCTTATTTTTCCAGTTTTGATGAAATTAAGATTTATTCGTCAATTTTGACAATGGACGAACTTGAATTTTCAAAATGCCGGCACGGGTATCTAAGGATAAGGGAATAAGCCAGACAAATATGGAAAAATTAAGTCAAAAAATGAAAACTAACAACGTGTAGCAACTGTAGAGCGTGAATTGATGAAATTTTTCAGGCGAGTTCGTCGATTTTGACGATGGACGAACTTAAATTCTCCAAATGCCGACACTGTTTTCAAAGTATACGGGAAGTAGCTGGACAAAGACAAAAAAAATAAGTCTCCAAGTCGAAAAATGACAACTTACAGCGTATACCGACTTTTAAGTGTGAGTAAATGACAATTTTCAGACGAATTCGTCGATTTTGACGATCTTAAAATCTCAAAATGCCGGCCCTGTATTCAAAGGATATGGTAGGTAGCTAGAAAAAAAACTGACAAATTATGTCTCTAAGTCGAAAAATGACAACTTACAGCGGATACCGTCTTTTGAGTGTGAATAGATTAAAATGTTCCAAAGAATTTGTCGATTATGACGATAACAGAAAAATTAAGTCTCTAAGTCGAAAAATTACAACTTACAGCGTATATTGACTTTTAAGTGTGAATAGATTAAAATTTTCCAAAGAATTCGTCGATTTTGACGATGAAACAACTTGAAATCTCAAATTCCGGCCCTTTATTCAAAGGATATGGTGTGTATAGTTGGACAAAAACAGAAAAATTAAGGCTCAAAGTAGAAAAAGGATGAGGTAAGGGTAATTTCCTAGTATACGATTTTTGGACCCCCCCCCCTCCTATCAATTTTGTACATGGGTGTGACAGGAAGTTCCATATAGATGCTTTAGCCTTGAGGAACCTTGACCAATCCGCTCTTCTTGAAGCAGAGCCCCCGTCATAGTATTCATAGTATTGGGCTCCGTGAGTCGTTGGTTATCTTAGTTTTCTCCGGACCCACCGGAGCCAGAGCTGCGTTAAACAATATTTTCCAAATAACAAAGAAGGAAGGGTTGGTTGGTATTTTACCTTGTTTTTGATTAGTTAACGTTAAATTTTTTGCAGAGCAATTATCCGAATACTGAATGGGACAGTAGACGTTGTTTCAAGTGATCCTTCCTATATAGATGTGGGGGTAACATGTCCGATTCACATCCGTACCCTTTAAACCTTTGTTTGATCAAGGATAAATAAAACTATCTTATTTTTCTAGCTGAAAATTGATTATTTCGAATTGTGGTTTCTCTGCTAAAGTGACTGATAGAATTACGCAGAAGAAACAATGAAGAAAATTACGGGAATTCAGCACATTTCCAGATATACATATATACAGATATACAGATATACATATATACAGATATACATATATACCAATGTACAGATATATAGATATACAGGTATACAGATATACAGATATACAAATATACAGATATACATATATACATATATACAGATATAAAGATATACAGATATACAGATATAAAGATATACAGATATACAAATATACAGATATACACATATACATATATACAGATATAAAGATATACAGATATACAGATATACAGATATACAGATATACAGATATACACCTTTTCTCGTTATTTTTTCTTCTGTTTTTTTCGACGTTTTTTTCTCCTATCTTTCTTAATATTTTCTCATAGATTCACTCGGAGAAAATATTTGGAGAATTTTACTCAAACTTCTTATAAAGTTTTCTTCGAACATTTTTCTTCGTTCTTTTTTACTCCAACTTATCTCCTGAATTTCACCAAATGTCTCCCCAATTGGAGAATAAACTCCAGTGTTTCCCCAAATTTACTAGGCATAAAATGTACGAGAATTTAACCCCAAAAATTCCACTGCATTTTTCTGATATTTTTTCTTCTAGTTTTTTCGACGTTTTTTTCTCCTATCTTTCTTAATATTTTCTCTGGATTTACTAGGAGCAAATGTTTGGAGAATTTTACTCACACTTTGCATAATTTTTATCTTCGAACATTTTTCTTCGTTCTTTTTTACTCCTACTATTCTCCTGAATTTCCCGAAATGTCTCCCCAATTGGAGAATAAACTCCAGTGTTTCCCCAAATTTACTGGGCATAAAATGTACGAGAATTTAACCCCCAAAGTTTCACTGCCTTTTTCCGTTCTTTTTTCTTCTAGTTTTTTTCTAGGTTTTTTTCTCTTAGTTATATAGTTCCATTACTGCCTCAAGGAGAAAAAGTAAGTTGTATTCTGGTTTAAAATCGGTGAATATTTTCCCGAGAATTAATTCTCGAACTTTTTCTCAAAAATAATATGATATTTCCTATTGTTAATCACAACCAAATTTTTTCCATATGGAGAATTCTGGAGAAAATGTTCACCAAAAAAAGAAATTTTACTTTTTTATACTTTTTGTGTAAGAAAAAATGGGGCATGACAAATGTTTAAATTAAGTAATACAAATTTCTACTAAAATACTTTATTGATTACATGTGATATTATAGAAAAGCATAACATGAAAAAAATTTGCAAAACATCTAAGAAAAAACCAAAATATATTATTTTTTTGACCATTATTTCTCAGGCCGTCAGAAAAAAACGTGATTTGGCCATTTTTTAATTTGAGTAATAACATTTAAGCTGAATCCTCGATTTTAAACTTAAAATAAGGTTTATATCATTTTGAAAATCCCAAATGCTTGTTCTAGAAGACAAAGTTGTAAAAAATCGCGTTATTTGAAATTTCGTCAATTTATTCGCAAATTTAGCGGCAAAATTGAAATTTTTTTGCTAAGTACTAACAACTCAAGACCACCACCTTGGCAACTTGATAAATTGATAAATTTTCAAACAATCCAATTTTTAATTAATGTCTTTTAGAACAGTACTTGGGATTTCCAAAATGATATAAAACATCAATTTAAAAACTAAGGATTTGGCAAGAATGTTCACTCTGAAAAACAAAATGTCCAAATATGACCAAGTCACGTTTTTTTTTCTGGCGGCACGGGAATTAATGGCCAAAAAAATTAAAATATTTTGGATTTTTCTTAGTTTCATATTTATCTATTCTGAAGAAAAACAGCAACTCTAAACAATTTTAAAAATGTCATTTANGGGGGGGGGGGGGGGGGGTGAAGCCATCAGGATGATGAGAAGGGGGGCGGGAAATAAGGAAAGAAGGCTAAGAGTGAGGTGGAGTAGAAAGTTAGAAAGTCTGAAGAAAAAATTATGAGAAAAATATTTATTTCTCTTCCTCGGCTTCATCACTTTCTGTTTTATCCTCCTCTGCTGATGTTGTTCTCTGTTTCTTGCTGTTCACCGTGATGTTGCACTCCTCATCTGAGTCCAGGGGACAGGGCATTCTGACCGGTGTGTACTAAATAAATAATAAACATAATTAAATTTCATTCATCGTTTAAACATGTTGAAATTGGTTTAATCTTAACAATCCTTCTATTTTGAGAGAAGAGACACACCTGACTCTTACTAGCCTTAGCCTCAAGCTTCAGGACCTCCATAATGCCAGTCTTTATCTTACAGGTTAATGCTCCTGGGTGCACTAGCCTTGTAGCACCTAAAATAGTGTTTTAAGTAAAGGGATTGTAGATGTAATTTTAAGTGCCCACCATTTAAAGAGTGATAAAATTGATTTCTAATTAATTCTTGATCAGTCAAAGGTTTAAATAATAAATATAAATAATCTCTTTCAGTAAAATTATTATTTAATAACACCCAATCATTTTATATAAAAATCTTTTATTTTTTTCAATACTTACTTTTGATCAATTTGGGGATATTCTGGTATGTCAGAAGGGCTACTTTTCCCCTGATTTCATAAATTGAAAAACAAGACTGAAATATTTTTTTCAAATTTTTATCATTTTTTTGCAAATCTAAAAAAGCTAAAAATATAAAAGTGGATTATGCATTTGCCGTTAAAGAAAATATGAATTTAAACGGAAGAAGAAAAATGTTTTTTTGATCTTTAAGCGAACAACTTAATTAACTAAACTTAATTAAGGTCAAGAGTTCTTTTTTTACTTTGGATCTAACTTTAAAGAGTTCCATATTTATTTTTATCAACTTTGCCTGATTCCTCTGTATGAAATCGAAGACCATAATTCTCTACTTCCAAGTCTTCGCATTATGGAACGAATTGTTCCTTGAATTGTGTCCATCCCCTCTGATGATACTATTTCTACCTGTAAAAATACTATGTTTCCTACCCAACTTTTCTAACACAATTTTATTAGCATCCAAGTTAAAACATTTAACGCCAAGAACTACTGGTCTTAGGACTTTTAAAAAATTGACAAAGATTCTGAGAAGTTTGTTTAGATCAATAAATATTTATAAACAAAATTGATTTATAGTTACAAAGAAAAGTTCATAAAACTTACAACCTAGTTTACACAAACTGATTTACACAGACAATGAAAATAATGAAGATTTACCGCTCGTTGCATGAAGTTTGCTTGGTTCAGTTTAGAGTTTAATGAGTCCAGGTCTTCTAACGACCTCATTTTCTTTAGAAAGGTTTCCTCATCAAAGGTACCATGGATTATCTAAATTATTTAAGGTTTATGCACCTATCTGAAGACTGAATAAATTTAAATTTCCATATTTTGGGGGCCGTGTACGGTGTAGGTAGGACGTAGGTTAATAACTATTCAAATAATTATTGTATAAATCTGACCTTTTTCGCTAGATGTTGGTCGATTTTTCTTTCCAACCGATTCACTGTTTGGAATAATTCATCCAACTTTTGACCTAAAATAATTTTTGTATTACTAAAATTATCAAATTCAAAGGAACAGAGTATTTGCGATATCTATGAAACGTCATGGTGAAAACTTATGATATTTTAAACTTAGATTATTTGATCTAACATAACTCATTTCCTTTTTTAGATCAATGAAAGATTCTCTTAACAGGTCTATATTATCATGCATGCATGATATATCCATTAATTTCTCTTAAAAATTGATTATTTTTAATCATTGTTTCTGTATAAAGTTACTTGCAGATTTCTGCTTCATGAACAATGGAGGAAAAAGTTACAATTTGAAAATAGAAAAATATCTCAAATTATTGGCCTGTGAAAGGGTTAAAGGGAGTGACCGGCAAGGTATGGTAGTTGAATTAAGAATGTAGTATTGTGGAGAACTTTCAAATCTTCACAGATTGTTAATTTTTAAGAAATGAGTTCGTGAATCGGTTTTTAAAAAATTACTCAACAACGGCGACGAAAAGTCAAAATTCTACAGTAAACTAATTAGTTGTTTAGAAACAGGTTGAGAAAATAAACCTTTACTGTTATCATCGAAAATAAGTCATCTTATTCAGTTATTTGTTTCTGTAATGTCTCATTGTTCACAAACATTTCCTGTAGATTTCCTGGAAATTTTAGCGAAAAGACAACATTCGAAGAGTTTGTAGAAATCTGGGAACAAATTCAAAAAGAATAAAAAAATTCAATATAATGATGAAAAAGAAATAATTGATTTTGAGAAAATTTCTATTAAGAAATATGTTCCTCAACATGTAATTAATTTACTGTAGAACTATTTTTACATTTTTTGACGTCGTTATTTAATAATTACTTCTATACATTGCCGGTCACTTCCTTTAAAGGGTTCCCTTGTGGTGATTTAGGTTAAATTAAATGAAAGGTCAATCAATTTACACCATGGCAGTTCCTGTAATTGCAATCTTACTTTGAGAGTTATTTGAAGGTGACGCTGCCACCTGATTAGCTAGGTCAACTGAATCTGTTTCATCAAGACTGATGCAGGAACCCTTTCTTTGCGATATCATTTTTCTTCTCTTTGCCCATTGCCATGAAGCCTGATATTGGCGCCTTTTCAGCTTTCTAAACTCTGTTATATTCATGATTTATCTATAGAGAGAAAATATGATTGATGTCCTGATATGTAAAAAAAGTTTTTCAGATTTAAAGAACTTTAAGCGTGATTTCAAGCCACCCAATTCATGCAAAGATGGCAATGCCTGATTCACAGCGCTATCCTTGAGAGTTAAGTTTAATTTAGATAAACTCTCCATCGATTAAGAAATGCGCAAGTCACTCGTGCAGTGAAGCCCCAAAAGTAGAAATAAACATTTAAACAAACAAAAAACTTCGATATCTAATTCATACTTGATCAGGCAAAGCTTTTAAGGGTACCGTTGTGAATCGGGCAGTGTCATCTTTGCATGGAGGGTCACTTGGAAGCTTTTAAGGGTATCGTTGTGAATCGGGCATTGACACACTTGCAAAGAGGGTCACTTGTCAATACGCTTACAGTCCCTTTGATTAAGCAAAACAAAACGCAGTTTCTATTGTTTTTAAATGATGATACAAATTAAAAATTTTAAAATTTTGATATTTTAATTTTTTAGAGATATCTGATAATGATTAAAAACCACTTCTCCTCTCCTTGCCATCTACTCTTCCCCCTAATTGTATACATCTTAAATATTTTCACACTATTCACCGGTGCTTTATCTCATAGTCCTGCAAACTGGGAGAACTGTTCAATTCAACTGAGTGATCGCCAGGCCAAAACTAAATATACGGTGAACGCCGAACGGTCGGACTATGTAATGCATACAGCTAGCAGTGCATCCCCTTACAGTTGTCCGCCTCCACCCCTTATATGATGTGGCCTTTTCAAAAATTTAAATTTTTTTACAAAATTAAATACCTCTAAAACACAAATTTTTTAAATTTTTAAACTTGATTTATCCGATTTTCATTATTTTAAACGAAAAACTATAAAGCACTATTATACATTACTCATACATTAATAATGTCCTGTCTAAGGAAAAATTGAAAAACAAGAGATTTCAGAATACAAGAAAATTCAGAAAACAAGTGAATTCAGAATACAAGATAATTCAGGATACAAGAGAATTAAAAAAACAAGAGAATTAAGAATACAAGAAAATTCAGAAAAAAAGAGAATTCAGAATACAAGAGAATTCAGGATACAAGAGAATTCAGAAAACAAGAGAATACAGAATAGAAGAGAATTCAGAATAAAAGAGAATTAAGAATACAAGAGAATTCAGAATAAAACAGAATTAAGAGTACAAGAGAATTCAGAAAACAAGAGAATTCAGCATACAAAAAAAAAGAATTTAGAAAACAAGAGAATTAAGAATACAAGAGAATTCAGAAAACAAGAGAATTCAGAAAACAAGAGAATTCAGAATACAGGAGAAATCAGAAAACAAGAGAATCCATAAAACAAGAGAATTCAGAATACAAGAGAATTCAGGAAACAAGAGAATTCAGAAAACAAGAGAGTTTAGAAAACAAGAATATTCAGAAAACAAGAAAATTCATAAAACAAGAGAATTCAAAATACAAAAGAATTCAGAACACAAGAGAATTCAGGAAACAAGAGAATTCAAAATACAAGAAAATTTAGAAAACAAGAGAATTTAGAATACAAGAGAATTCAGAATACAAGAGAATTCAGAAAACAAGAGAATTCAGGAAACAAGAGAATTTAGACTACAAGAGAGTTCAGAATAGTAGAGAATTCAGAATAATAGAGAATTCAGAAACCAAGAGAATTCAGAATAACAGAGAATTCAGAATAACAGAGAATTCAGAATACAAGAGAAATCAGCAAACAAGATAATTCAGAAAACAAGAGAATTTAGAATACAGGAGAATTCAGAAAAACAAGAGAATTCAGAATACAGGAAAATTCAGAAAACAAGATAATTAAGGAAAAAAGAGAATTAAGAAAACAAGAGAATTCAGAAAACAAGAAAATTCAGAAACCAAAAAAATTTAGGAAACAAGAGAATTCAGAAAAAGGAGCATTGAAATAACAAGAGAATTTAGATAACAAGAAAATCCAGAAAACAAAAGAATTTAGGAAACAAGAGAATTCAAGAACTAAGAGAACTAAGTTTACAATGGAATTAAGAAAACAAGAGAATTAAAAAATCAAAAATCAACTTTAAGGAACTGCAGTAGACTCTAAAAAGTGACTTTCCGACATTTTAGCAAAAATAATGGATGAAATAAAGAAAATTAAAATCGTTTTTTGATTAATATTTAGAAATTTTATTTCCATTTTTTTCAGAGGATTTTCAAAAATGTAAATTTTAGATGAGTAGATCAAACAATAAAAAAGTAATGGATTGTCCTGTACTCCCTTTACCCTACCATATGCTGTCCTGTACTCCCTTTACCCTACCATATGCTGTCCTGTACTCCCTTTACCCTACCATATGCTTTAAAAAATAGATTAAATATGATTAAATATGATCACTTTCCGCCACTAAATACAGATAAAAAACGGTATTTTTCTATAATAAACATCTTAATTAAGAACAATGTTTTCATACAGGATTTTACTTTGGTTTTCAAAACCAACAACGGTTATTGACTGTTATTTAGGTTTGGTTTAAGAGCACTGCGATGTAGTTAAAGCAATAGTTCAGATTTAATATAATTTTAAAATATATTATCATGTGGGATTGTCTCTTTTGTTGATTTGATAATTTAACTTTTTTAAATATGCTCAATATTTAGTTATAGAACTGAAAGGATACATTTAAGAAAAATTTATTTTATCTGCAAACATGTTTAAATAATAATGTTTTCCTGTCTATTTAATCTTTTCACTTTAATATTTACTAATTCAAGATTTGGAGGACAACTCGTTTAACTGACTCCAGAATAGAAAATTTAACGGAAAATAGGTTGAGTTGACCGATCATGCCACTTATTCACCCACTATCTTATTCACTGGTCTTATTCACCCTCTATCTCACGTTCCCCTCGCCTCCCTACCATACCTAAGATTTGTCCAGTTGTGAGAAACGCACTCCTCCCCCCCTTTCCAGACTCTAGATATAGGATATTGCAGGCGGGTCTCAGATTCATATTTCTAACCGGGTCACAAACGGACTTAAATCGGACTCATTAGAAATAGCTTTTACACGATCTTAAATGCCGATAATATCGTAACAATATATCACCTAAATTGAAATCACTCGCTAACTCTCCCCCCAATATTCCCAANACAGATGCAAACTCCCCCCTCCATGCTTCCTAACACCCATAAAACCCCCTGCTGCCCAGTCCAAACAATTCAACAATTTTGAAGCTTTAGACAGGGTGATAATTACACCAGAGGGAGGGAGGGGTTCTCACCCCACCCCATTTTATCTTCCATACAGATCTGTGAGCTAGGTCACACATTTTTCTCCGATTTTTTTGGTGATTTTATTCTCGAGAAATTTATCTACCTTTTAGCCCTAAATTCTTGGGACCAGTTCCCGAGAAAAACTATAAGAAAACTCCTTCCTATTTGGTTGGATTATTTCTCCAAAATAAAACTGGTATTCATGGGGTAAAAATTCAGGAAATATTTTTCCCCAAATACACCCCAAATTACTGAAAAATATTGGGACTAATTCCCGAGAAAAACCAGATGAACATCTCTTTCTTTTTTGTAGAATTTTTTCTTAAGATTTTCAAGAGATTTGTCAGAGAAAACATTTTCGAGATTTTTCTCCCAATTTTTTTACAAACAGTGAAACCTTAATAACGAATACATCGAAAGAATTCATCAAATGTTGTATTCTTCACTTTCTGATAATGGAATGTTGCAGATATTTAGTTTTTTAATTAAATGATTATATGGAACTCTTTAAAACTGTTTCCGCATATTCATGGCTATTTATTTTATTTTCGCAAATACTGAAATTAACGTAATATACAGGGTGTCCCAATAAACATGGGAATTCAGTGACGAATTCGATATCGTCTTTTCAAATAATTCTTTGATTTAGTATAGTGATAAAGCTGAAATCTGTAAGCGTTTCGTCTGCTATGTTCACATTTTGTTTGTTTATGTTTTAACTGCAACGGGTGTATACTTAGTAAAACAATAAAATTGCAGTATACAGAGTAAACTTGTCCGTCTTCACTGTTCATCTTGCGGAGACATTATAGACACATCTTTGCAGTCTTTTACCCTTTTCATAAAGTAAACTGTAGCAGACATAATAATATTATGGCTTTTGAAATTAGGTATTACAATGCTAATTCATAACAAAGACGATATCGAATTCGTCACTGAATTCCCATGTTTTTTGGACACCCTGTAGTATAAAACACGAGAAAAATTGTCAAGACGACATTTGATAAATTCTTCTGATGTATTCGTTATTGAGGGTTTCACTGTAAAAAAAAACTTAAACCAACCCACGAGAAAATCATATGGTTATATTTTTTTCTCATTTTGAGGGCAACATATTTTCTTATTTTTCTCGCAACAAAAATTTGGACTCCAGAATATCACCAGCTTTATTGAAAAATTAGATTCTCCAAAATAATTTCTCCAGAAATTTATAATATAAAAGTGGAAACTAAAATACGAGAATTTGTTCCCCAAAAATTCACCAATTTTGGGACTCAACATCGGAGAAATATCAGGGAAATTCTGGGGAATAGGTCCTCAGATGGTTCCATGGAAAAAAGTTCCTAGCTATTTTCTGGGCCGAGCGCTGCGGCTAGGACAAGCTAGGGGGCCGAGCGCTGCGGCCACATGTCTGGGCCGACCAACGAAAAATGGCCATCCGACCTACGAAAAGTGTCCATCCGACCTACGAAAAATGCCCATCCGACCTACGAAATTAAATGCCCATCCAACCTACGAAAACTGCCCATCCGACCTACGAAAAAGGCCCAACACGTTAGTAGGCCTAACGTGTCCAAGCGACAGCTTAAAGTAGGTCGGATGCACCAATATGCTGTTTTTAACGTGCCCATCCGACCTACAGTGCATCGGACCCACCACAGCAGTTAAAACCGTGTGCTTGTAGGTCGGATGGGCGTATGTCCAAAAATACACCATCGTAATTTGGGAATTCTTACACGATTATATTGAATGTCGTCTTTATCTTGCCGGCAGTTTTAAAGTAACAAACCAAATATTTCCGAATAAATAGAGAGTCATTGCGTTGAAAGGGAGTGAGTTGTATTTTAGAATTAGGTTTGTCTCATCATTACATCCTATGTTTATGATATAATTATTAACGAGGAAAAGGTTTCATATTTGTAGATTAATGAATTAATATTCCAGAAAAATGGCGAGTTTAGAAATGGAGTTGGAGCAGGGAGAGGAGAGTTTGGGAGATGATATTTTAAATCTATCCAGTGGTGATATTCAGTCTAGGACTAGGCTACTGGAAAATGAGGTTCGTGATAAATAAATGCACAAGAATTAATTTTTAGACAAGAACCTATATACGTCTGGATTTCAATTTTCGGTATATTCTAAATAAGCATTCGGAGAAATTCAGGACTCCCTGCCCACCCCTTGATATGTTTAAAAATTACCCCCCTCGTCAATTTCCCGTTAACGTCCCTGAAATCTTTCCATAATACATCGACGCCCCTACCCCTGAAACAAAATAGTAATGCTCTGATTCAATCTTATTAAGTTCAGGCGTATCAATGATCGAAATCTATAAGAAAAAAATTGGTCGTCCTAGAGAACGGTTTTTGGAACCTCCGTTCCCCCCCCCCCCCCCCCCCCCTATCAATTTTGTACATGACCACTTATTTTTCGGAAAAATTATCATTTATTTTTTATTATTTTAGGGCAAGGTTAGGTTAAGACAATTTATTGGCCGAGCGCTGCGGTTAGGACATGCTAGGCGGATGGGCGTTGCGGCCACATGACCAATTATATCCATGTGTTAAACATGACAGATATCTATATACTAAATTGTTAAGATGGCGGGGGCTAAAATCGTTTTCTAGGAAATTACCCTCTAATTAAAAAGTGGGGCATGTCCGATATACTACGGTACCCTTTAATATGGAAACTTATAAGAGAAACAACAATTGAAAATTATCATTTATCAAATTTGTAAATATGGATTTCCAATTCATATTTGATCAGACAAAACTTTTATGCAGATAGGCACCGTTGTGAATCAGATATGCTTCTGTACAATTACTGTACGAAATCAAATTACATGAACGTCTAAAAATGAAAATTAAAGTTGTATCGTATTTTAGCTGATATCTATCTAGGTACGGATAATGCGCAGTGAGCTGGGACGGATTCAGCATGAGCTGCAAGCTCAGCAGGAAACTATCAAGGAGAACGAGAAGAAGATCAAACAGAACAAGACTCTGCCCTACCTTGTCTCCAATATCATTGAGGTTCTCGATATCAACCCCGAGGAGGAGGAGGAGATCGAGGGTAGGGATTCGATTTTATCTTCTATATTATTATTAATCCTCGTATCTAACAGNTTTTCGTACAGAGGGACTCATAAAACTGTAACCAATTTTTTTGTACAGAGGGACTCATATAAAACTGTAACCAATTTTTTTCGTACAGAGGGACTCATAAAACTGTAACCAATTTTTTTGTACAGAGGGACTCATATAAAACTGTAACCAATTTTTTTCGTACAGAGGGACTCATAAAACTGTAACCAATTTTTTTGTACAGAGGGACTCATATAAAACTGTAACCAATTTTTTTTGTACAGAGGGACTCGTATAAAACTGTAACCAATTTTTGTGTACAGAGGGACTCATATGAAACTGTGGAATAGGAAGACGACTGGTATAATGAATTCAAGTAGCCCAATGAACATGAAATGCATCAACTGTGTATTGTATTGTATTGTAAGACCCAAGTTGAAACGTTTTGCTTTATAAAAACATAAAATTATAATGTTTAAATATCGTCTTTATATTCCAAAGCTTTTAAGTACTTTTTTTATGCTAACACTTCAATGACTTAAGATATCAGTCATTTTTTAAATTAACGAGATTTGTTTCTTAAAAACGAAAAGATTTTTTATATATTTTATTTGACTACCGACTCTTTCTTCCGGATCCTTAACATTATTTCTCTGCAGTGATTGAGACGATCACATCTGTTGATTGAGACGATCACATCCGTGTATTTTTCTTCATTTTCCAAATAAATATATTTGATTTATTCAGGAGCTAACGTTGATTTGGATTCCCAGAGAAAGGGTAAAAGTGTTGTTATCAAGACTACAACTCGACAGACTTACTTCCTACCCGTAGCTGGATTAGTGGAACCGGAGAAACTGAAACCCGGAGATCTGGTCGGGGTAAACAAGGATTCCTATCTCATCCTGGATACTCTACCCAGCGAGTATGATTCCAGAGTAAAGGCTATGGAGGTGGATACCCGTCCCACTGAGCAGTACTCTGATATTGGTGGATTAGATAAACAAATCCAGGAACTAGTTGAAGCAGTTGTATTACCTATGACTCACAAGGAGAAGTTTAAGAACCTGGGAATTAAACCCCCAAAGGGTGTTCTCATGTACGGACCCCCTGGAACCGGAAAAACCTTGATGGCCCGAGCCTGTGCTGCGCAAACCCAATCCTGTTTCCTTAAGCTGGCAGGACCGCAGCTCGTTCAGATGTTTATCGGAGACGGAGCTAAACTTGTCAGAGACGCTTTTGCTCTGGCTAAAGAGAAATCTCCAGCAATTATATTTATCGATGAGTTGGATGCTATTGGAACCAAGAGGTTCGACAGTGAGAAGGCTGGAGACAGGGAGGTTCAGAGAACTATGTTGGAGCTTCTCAACCAGCTAGACGGTTTCTCTTCTTCCGTAAGTTTAATAACAATCAAAAGATCAAATTTTATACCCTTTAATCCTTCGTCTAAACAAAAAAGAGCAAGATATCTTTATATTAGAAAATTGATTAATGCCAATATATTGGTTTCTCCTTCATAATACCTTGCGGGTTGCTACAGCAGAGAAAAAGAAAGAAATTGGCAAAATTTTTGTATAGAAAACGATGATATCTTCTTCATCGTTGCTCAGATAAAGATTTAAAGTGTAGAGTTATGAATTGAGCATGGAACTCCTGAAATGGGTTGTCACATAAAATAACATCAACATTCCCTTTAATAAAGATTTGCCAGGGATAGGATTTTAATGATCATATTATTTTTGTTTGTAAAAACCCTGCTTTTTACAAAGTGTGTGGGGGCGCGGGGCTTGAAAGCTTCCTTTTTTCTTCCAAGATCCGAAAACTTTTTTAATGTACTCCCGATGTTTAGGATGATATTAAAGTGATAGCTGCTACCAACAGGATTGATATCCTTGATCCAGCTCTGCTCAGGTCTGGACGTTTAGACAGGAAGATTGAGTTCCCAGCTCCGACAGAAGAGGCTAGAGCCAGGATTATGCAAATCCATGCTAGGTCAGTTTTTATAATAATAACATTAATATTTTAGGGTATATTCATGTTTACAGTTTTAGGGTACTGTACATGAATATATCCTGAATCTGTACATGAGTAAATCCTGAAACTGTACAAGAATATATCCTGAAACTGTACATGAATATATTCTGAAACTGTACATGATTATATCCTGAAACTGTACATGAATATATTCTGAAACTGTACATGAATATATCCTGAAACTGTGCATGAATATATCCTGAAACTGTACATGAATATATCCTGAAACTGTACATGAATATATATTCTGAATCTGTATATGAATATATCCTGAAACTGTACATGAATCTATCATGAAACTGTACATGAATATATCCTGAAACTGTACATGAATAAATCCTGAAACTGTACATGAATATATCCTGAAACTGAACATGAATATATCTTGAAACTATACATGAATATATCCTAAAACTGTACAGGAAGATGAATGTTGACCCCGATGTGAACTATGAGGAGCTGGCGCGTTCTACAGATGATTTTAATGGTGCTCAGTGCAAGGCTGTTTGTGTTGAAGCAGGTTTGTCGCATCTTTATTTTAGGTTTATTGAACAAAATATTTTTACTAATATTTATCCTATAAAATAGGACCTATTTAACTGTGGAAAAGGAATACATCTGGTATTGAATAGTTTCAATGAACATAATTGATGTTTAGGGGTGTATATTAGTTTTGAGACTTATATTTTTGCCCTCCCCCCCCCCTTCAGAATTATATTTTTTCCACCAAATCCACAACTTAAAAAACGGGTATATTTTACAGGTTTATGAAGCCCGCGCAAACTTCGAAGAAGTTTGCTGCGGCAGGGGTGGCAGAGGCCCCCTTGCAAAGAAATTTCTTGGATTTTAGGTTTATATTGGAGCGTTTTGGTGTCCTAAAAAGGTTAACTTCAAGGTCCCCCTTGAGTTGTTTTTAAGACTATCTACTGATTTTTGGGGGTTTTTTTGTGTTTTTTTTGTGGCTTTTCCCCTTCCCTTTTGCCCGCTTTTCCCTTCCCTATTCCCAATTTTCCTCTTCCTCTTCTGTTGATGGCAATTTTCCTGTTTAAATGGATGCATTTTAAGAAATATAAAATGTATAATTTTTTTTCCGGGCCAAATTTTTCAACTTTGATGGTATAGAAACCTTTCCCGAGGGGTCATGTGACTGTGGGTTGCCATAAATAAAAATTTGGTCTGATCGGTTCAACGTTTTAACGTTTATTGGACACAAACTGACAAACAAACAAGCAGAGCATAAATATAGAAATAAGGTTCTCTAGAATCTGCAGCATATAAATATTTAAATGATAAATTGATCCGACCTCAGTACATTATGTTCATTTTAGTTTGGTTTTCATCCAATGAGGTTAAGATAAAAAAGTAAAAATCTCACCCTTTTCAAAAGGAACACAATTTTTCAAAGATAACTCCAAATTTTATGATACAGCACCCCTCCTCCCATGCAAGGCAAACCATAATTCGGTTTGTTATCGTACTCTTACAGTATTCACAATCTCTAATACAAACTTTCTTAGTAAAATAAAAACATAACCGTAGATAAATTCAGTATATTAAACCATAACATTAGTTCAATTCCTTTATTTATTTTACATGATAGAAATAGGGAGTTTTCGTAAATACGCATAAGTAAACAAAGGATATATATTGGAATGAAAAAAGAATGAAAGAGTATGAAAAGGGGATGAAAGAGTATGAAAGGGAAGAAAAGGAAATGTAGTGGGGAAAAGGGAAGGGTAGGAAAGAGCAGAGAATGGAAAAAAGGGAAAGAGAAGGGAAGCGGATAGGAAAGGAAAGGAAAGGAAAGGAAAGGAAAGGGATTCCAATTCATAGGAAACTTTTTACAAAACATGTAACAATTTAACAACTTTTTATCCACCAAAATCATTTATTTTCCCGTTTGTGATAATTTTGCTCAAAAAAAATTGCTACTCTGCGTTCAACTTATGAACTAACTAACGATATTTATAAGAATTATAATAATATATAAAGCGGAAGGAAAGTAATGAAAATGATTTTCAATGAAGTATACATATTCTGGACTGAAAAATAAATTCGTCTTAAACTTTTTTGTCACCCAAAATACTCAAGATTGCAGTAACTTAAAATAAAAGATTATTTTCATTTCGTTTCTATATCCATGTTTATTTAAACACACTCTACAAAATGCACATTAAATGGATTTTAAGTGCGCAATTAATATTATAATTATTATCTAGGTATGATTGCATTGAGGAGAGAGTCCAACCTCGTTACTCACGAGGATTTCCTAGATGCCGTTATTGAAGTACAGGCTAAGAAGAAGGCTAACCTCAACTACTACGCCTAAAATGTTATGTACTGTATCTATAAAATGATAAATAAATCTGCTGTGAAATGTATTTTATAAAAATCAGCTGATGTTGTGTTTTGGAGAGTGGCCAATACAGGCTTTATGGCGTAGATACTTACCCCCAGTTACAGACATAGTGTCTTACACTTCCTAGTTTTTAATGCAGTAAAGCTGTTTTAGTTTTATAACATTTTCTCTATAAAGTTAGGGTTTTCTTTAATATTCACTACTTATTACCGTCATACTTCGTTTTAAGAAATAATTTTACAAGTTGATACAGTTGATACAGTTGATACATTTGATACATGATACATTTGATACACGATACATTTGATACAGTGGATAGTTAACCGAAAAAGTGAACTTAAAGACAAAAAATATTCTACGACTGAACAGTAATGTTACATCGTCTAAACGTAACATACCCCCACTGAACTGCTGATCTACTAACTTTCCGACCTTCGCCAGCTGTTTATTTTTGTATTATTTGAGGGATAGGTTAAGACAATTTCTGGGCCGAGCGCTGATAAAATGATCCATTACAAAATTGAATTTTATAATGTATCATTCTTAGCGTATTTTGCGTTACCCACCTTGCTTAAAAATTCTTAATTTCAATGTTGAAATTTTTTAGAAATTGGCCATTGGTTTTCGGGAGAAATTTCTGATTTTATTCTTAAGAACTTACTTTCTCATACATAAAATATATATTTGATTTGTAAAACATTGATTTAATAAGTAGAGAGAGAAGCTCTTAAAATCCATTTTCCAAAGGTTGAATTTGGGTTTCTGTGCAAAAGTAATTGCTAGTAAATAATGATTCAAAGATGAGACATGAGTGAGAAGTCTTGAAGTAATCAAGGACATGAGACAGAGACTTATATAGAAATTTGTCCGGGGGGGCTTTAGCGTTGAGGCCTGGAACCCTCGGGAAAGAGGGGCGGATACAGGATTTAAGTGAGGGGGGTGCTAGATTTATTTCTGAACAAAAAATCCAAATACAGGAACCAATTAAGACGCGCCGCCGGTGAAATTTTTTAAGATAGATATTTTTTTCTGATTTGCACTAGGTTTTCTTTCCTATTTAACTGTGGAAAAGGAATACATCTGGTATTGAATAGTTTCAATGAACATAATTGATGTTTAGGGGTGTANGGGCTGAGCCTCAATTCCCTGCCCTCTCCCTGTATAAGCCTCTAAATTGTTAGACTTTTTGCACATTGCGCAAATTGTTTATAGGTTTGTATGTAATATTTTTGGTAACCTTCCTTCTTTTGTAATATTTTTAAATCTGCAATTAATCATCATTGAAATTGGGTTCACGGATATTCTTGTTTAATGTCCTATATGCGTTCTAATTATCTCAGTTTGTCTGTGCCTCTGCTTTGTATCTAAGTGTATTAGAGTACAAACTACAAATCAATATCCTAGTAGAGAGACTAGACCGGAGAAACCTGTTCTTATTTCAGATCACACTCAGTCTTGAACCATGTTGGGATCCAGGTTCAATTATTCTCCTCTACACTCTGGGTTGAGAAACCTTAGTTATGCCGGAGGAAAAGTGCCTCCGACCACACAGAACGTGATAAATGGGCAATGGGTTGAGTCTAGTACAGATAAATGGATTGATTTATTAAACCCAGCAACTAATAAACTAGTTACAAGGTAATAAAATGAAAAAGGTTAAATTCCAACAACAAGTTGTTACGTAGTAAAGGGAACTAGGGATCTTAATATCTATATTTAACTTCGTAACATTCTACTAATTCAAAATCTTATTTCACCTTCACTACTTCCACCCCTCATATAACAGCTGTGTCACGTAGAGAATTCTACTGTTTTCTGATTCTCGTTGTAATATATTTAGGGTCCCCTTACTAACAATATATTTATGACCCCCAGTCCCCTTACTAATAATATATTTATGACCCCCCAGTACCCTTACTAACAATATATTTATGACCCCCCAGTACCCTTACTAACAATATATTTATGACTCCCAGTACCCTTACTAACAATATATTTATGACTCCCAGTACCCTTACTAACAATATATTTATGACTCCCAGTACCCTTACTAACAATATATTTATGACTCCCAGTACCCTTACTAACAATATATTTATGACCCCCAGTCCTCTTACTAACAATATATTTATGACCCCCATTCCTCTTACTAACAATATGCTTATGACCCCCAGTCCTCTTACTAACAATATATTTATGACCCCCAGTCCTTATACTAACAATATATTTATGACCCCCAGTCCTCTTACTAACAATATATGCTTATGACCCCAAGTCCTCTTACTAACAATATGCTTATGACCCCCAGTCCTCTTACTAACAATATATTTATGACCCCCAGTCCTCTTACTAACAATATATTTATGACCCCCAGTCCCCTTACTGACAATACATTTATGACCCCCAGTCCACTAATAATATATTTAGGGTCCCCCAGTACACTGACTAATAATATATTAAGGGTCCCCCAGTCCACTAACTAATATATTGAGGGTCCCCCAGTCTACTAACTAATAATATATTTAGGGTTCCCCAGTCCACTAACTAATAATATATTTAGGGTCCCCCAGTCCACAACTAATAATATATTTAGGGTCCCCCAGTCCCCTAACTAATAATATATTTAGGGTCCCCCAGTCCACTAACTTATAATATATTTAGGGTCCCCCAGTCCACTAACTAATGATATATTTAGGGTCCCCCAGTCCACTAACTTATAATATATTTAGGGTCCCCCAGTCCACTAATGATGAGATGAATGCAGCTGTAGCCTCCGCTAAGGAAGCCTATGCTACATGGAGCAAAACCACTCCCCTTTACAGACAACAGATCTTTTTCAAGTAAGCATTTTATTTCAGAACAATCTTAGAAATAAAAAATATTTAAAAAAATGTTTTTCTAATCACATATATTAAACATTTTATTTCTCGAACTTGTTAGGGAGGTACGAATCCTACGTGACAAAATCATGTTATGTTCAGTAAAGTTATAATCATTCTTCTCATCTTCTGTTCGCTCTTTTTATGCTGTATTCTGTTCTTGGCAATTTTTAAGAAAAAAGATTTGTCTGTAAAAACTAGACGAAGCAACAAAATAACTGTTAAGGTATCAGCAGCTGATCAAGGAGAACATCAAGGATGTGGCGAGGTTGATCACCATTGAGCAGGGTAAAACCCTGCCAGATGCTGAGGGTGATGTTATGAGAGGTTTACAGGTGGAATACACAACTAGACAAATAGATTATCAAGAACAATAGGTAGTAATGTGATTTTGAAAATAATAGGCATGAGGTAATTGTGGAGGACATCAGATAATGTAGTATATAAAAAGAATAATAAAAATAACACAACACTGCACTAACATCATTGAAAACCTATGCACTTAATTCCAAATTTATCACCATTATTGAATATATTGAATATTTTGTCCAACACTGAAAACTGAAGTGTCACATTTAACTTAATTACTGCTGTACTGAATATATATTTATCATATGCATTCTCAAACTGCCACCTAGTGTACTTTAATCTGTTTGTAGCCAGATTTTATTGGAGATGTGGTTTTTAAAAATCATTTAAAAGATGAATCTCAAATATTGTTTCACTTGAATGTAACCAAACGTTTAAGTTAAACTCATTCTACCCCAGAAATGCCGAAAATAACCTATCTCTTAAATTATTATTGAATTGAACACTCTAAATAACAGTTTTCCTTTGAGCTACAGTATATTCCATATATATGAATTCAATAAAAGAAGTTTCGTTTAGTCGTTTTCCAAAATTGTACAAGTTAACATAAAAATTTGCATACAAAAAAAGTATTATGTGCAAATTTTGGCGTTAAAGATTGGAGATAATCCAATTTGTACATTTGTATATCCTAATCTGATAATGTTAAGGTGGTGGAGCACTTGTGTGCGAACACTAACCTGATGTTAGGAGAGAACCTGGTTGGGATCAGTAAGGATATGGATCTCATGAGCTACAGAACTCCCCTCGGCGTCTGTGCAGGGATTGCACCCTTCAACTTCCCAGCTATGATTCCTTTATGGATGTTCCCGACAGGTTAGACAGGAGTCCAGTTGTTAGTCCACTTTATCACTTATGGTCAATTCTGTTATAGCAATGTAAGTATCGTGCTTAGCTTTAACGTGCTATAAAGTTTCATGTTTTTTATTTAAATAAAAAGTTCGGAACAAAATGTAACCTAAACGTCTTGAACCTTCTCGATAAAGAGAAAATTTCTGTCCGAAAACTTTAGAGCATTGCAAACCAAAATAATAAACTTATCAAAAGTAAATATGAAACCACTGACCAGAATCACTTTTTAGTTTTCTTACTTTTATCATAACGTTAATTTCAGCAGATTACTGTAAGATAAAAAGAAATACTGTTTTCTTTTTTAATAGCTTTGTTGACGATTATAGTTTTTCTCATCTTAAAAAAGCCTAATAAATATGTCGTCTTTTTGTCTAGGAGTAATTTGTGGTAACACCTACGTAATCAAGCCAAGTGAACGAGACCCTACTGCCTGTATGGCCCTGGTTGAACTATTTAAAGAAGCAGGATGTCCTGACGGCGTTGTTAATGTAATCCATGGTCAACATGAAACTGTAAACTTTATCTGTGATCATCCAGATATTAGGTAAACCAGGATTGGATCAATTTAACTTTTGATTGCTTTTACAATCTATAGGCTAAAAATGGTCCAGTGGGATGCTATACAAAACATATTTGCCCCTTAGGTACATTTTTATATTAATAAGATACATTTTAATATCAATAATTCCATAAATAATTTTTTACATTATAATCTCTTTTTCTCCCTTTTACTTTTTATCGTCATACAGTTAACTTCCTCTTAATTCAAATTTATCTGGTTTTTATGTTTTTATAAACCCTAATGTGATTATTTTTTTAAATAATGATGCGCATTTCAGGGCAATTTCATTCGTTGGTGGGGATGCAGCTGGTCGACATATTTACAATCGTGGATCTAACAACGGGAAGAGAGTTCAGTCTAATATGGGAGCCAAGAACCATGGAGTTATTATGCCAGACGCAAACAAGGAGTATACTATAAACCAGTTGGTCGGAGCAGCATTTGGTGCGGCCGGTCAGCGTTGCATGGCGCTCACAACAGCCGTGGTGGTCGGGGAGGCTAAAGAATGGATCCCAGAGGTCGCTGCTAGAGCTTCAAAACTTGTAGTTACCGCAGGTTGGATAAAAATATTAATTAAAAATTCTTGATTTTCAAAATATATCTCTGTGTAGGTCACGAACCACACTCTGATCTTGGTCCGGTTATCTCCCCTGAATCCAAGCAGAGAATTCACAACCTGATCCAATCTGCTGTTGACCAGGGAGCTGAACTACTCCTGGACGGACGTGGTCTCGTGGTTCCAGAATATCCTGACGGAAACTTTGTTGGACCAACTGTAATCTCTAATATGACGATAGATATGGATGCTTATAAACAGGAAATATTCGGCCCTGTCCTCTGCGTTATTTATGTGAATACTCTAGACGAAGCTATTGAGTTAATAAACAAGAATCCCTACGGAAACGGAACTGCTATTTTTACCAAAAATGGAGCAACTGCTCGTAAATTTACATCGGAAATAGACGTGGGTCAGGTGAGAACAACATTTTTTATTAACATTTTCAATTTTTCAGAGAATTAGTAAATTATTAAACAAAAATGCAAGATCGCTAAGATAAACCCTAGCTTTCAACGTTAAAATAACGGTGCTAAGTTGAATAGGCTCTAATAATTTGAACTCGTTTTCTCCAACATCTGCTTTCTATCAACAAAAGGGGATAGAACTCACTGCAATCATTACAGTCAAAAATTATCTTGTTTTAACAAATAAGTTTATCTCTATCCTATTTACAGATTGGAGTAAATGTTCCCATCCCCGTCCCTCTCCCTGTCATGTCCTTCAGTGGATCCAGAGGTTCCTTCCTCGGAGATTCACATTTCTACGGAAAGCAGGGTCTGCATTTCTATACTCAGACTAAAACAGTCACTTCACTCTGGAGGGAAGTGGATTCTTCCGACTCTAACAGCGCCACTGCAATGCCAGTGCAAAAATAAACGGTAAAATTTGATAGCATTAAAGCTATTGAGGGTGGGATAGCAAACTAGATCTAGAGGGCGTGATGGCAAACAAGACGGAAAGATAAAGATAGAAAATCTGTAAGGATATAGGGATATCAGATTATGTGGAGTGAGGGATCTAGCAAATAAGAATGAAGGGAAGGAGTTGGGGTTATCAAATAAGGAGGTAGGGATACTAAATAAGGCTGGAGGGATACCAAATAAGGATGGAGGTATACCAAATGAGGAAGTAGGAATTTCAAATAATGAGTAAGTAGTATCAAATAAGGACGTAGGGATATCCAATAAGGAGGAAACAATTCCAAATAAAGAGGATAGAATACCAAAAAAAGAGGGAGGAAATACCAAATAAGGAGGAAAGATTTCCGAATAAATGGGGAGGAATAACAAATAAGGAGGAAAGAATTCCAAATAAATGGGGAGGAATACCAAATAAGGAGGAAAGAATTCCAAATAAATGGGGAGAAATACCAAATAAGGAGGAAAGAATTCCAAATAAATGGGGAGGAATACCAAATAAGGAGGAAAGAATTCCAAATAAATGGGGAGGAATACCAAATAAAGAGGGAGGAATACCAAATAAAGAGGGAGGAATACCAAATAAGGAGGAAAGAATTCCAAATTTTGGGGATGAATACCAAATAAGGAGTGAGGAACATCAAATAAGGAGGGAAGAATACCAAATAAAGAGGGAGGAACATCAAATAAGGAGGGAAGGATACCAAAAAAGAGGGAAAAATAACAAATCAGATGGGATTATATACACATATGGGTATTAAATAAATTACGCAGAACCAAAAATTTATGTTGATTTTGTAGTTTCAAGTTTTTCATATTTCTGTAATCAATCTATTTTCATATTTCTGTAATCAATCTATTTTCATATTTCTTTAATCAATTTATTTTCTTATATCTGTAATCAATCTATTTTCTTATTTCTGTTAACCATTTATTTTTATATTTCTGTAATCAATCTATTTTCATATTTCTGTAATCAATCTTTTTTCATATTTTTGTAATCAATCTATTTTCATGATTCAGTAATCAATCTATTTTCTTATTTCTGTAATCAATCTATTTTCATCGAATTTTGATTAGTTTGCGGAGGAAGTGAATAAATTATGTTTAGAAAGTTTCAATCATGAATTTTCAATTTTGAACCACGCCTAAGAATAGTTAAAATGGTATTGTGTTGCTTCTACGCCAATTTTTAAATGTAAATTGGGCAATATTACACAAGTATGATAAAAGAACGCAAGATTCAAATTTTTTACTTTTCATCTTTTGATTAAGATATCACATGTTTGATAATCGTGTAGGTTGAGGATATTATGTTCATGTATGAACCATATAATTTTCATTTCTCCTGGTTAAATACGACCACACACGTGCAGAACAGATTTCATGCACACATTAAACATTCAATTCTTTTGCAAGTTAGCTTCATTTCTGAAACTTTAAACGTTGATCTCTATTCAGTCATCCGCGATCATTTTCTTTTAAAAATGTATGTTTTGAGTGTTAATGTCTAAACATTTTCTTAGTTCCTTTAAATGAAAAAAAATGTGTTTTGTTCCAATTTTAGGTTTTGTGATATAAAGGTATTTATTTCTAATTTTGTTTTATTGTTTAGATCTGTTTTTGCAGGATGAAGGAAAGCTGATGCTGATAATTATTAATGGTGCACTTTTTATTCAATAAATATGTTTATTTTTTAATTAAAATTCCGAGTAATTTTATTTTAGAACACTATTATGGATTAGGACAGTTCAGTTCATATGTTTTAAAATATGTTTTCGAAATTAGAATTAAACTTTTAAAAGTTTGATAATGAAGGTATGTTATTAAAAAACAGGGGTTAAAAAATCCTACAATTTTAGATTTTTCAAAATTTAAAATACTTTTTTTAGAATGAACTCTTATTCATAGTGCTAAGGAAATTCAGTTCTTGCCAGAAAACTCTGGAATTGGAATACGACTTTTAAACTTATGATATTATTTTCAGTTGTCGAATAAGAATGGGGCATAGTAATTGTGCAGTGTAAACACACCCGTTTTACTTAATTAGTGTTTTAATAATTGTCTAGTAAAACTATTTGCTTATTCACAACATCGAATTCACTTAAGTATTGCTAAAAAGTCGTCTTCCTATTTCGGAGTTTTCTGGTTATCACGGTATCAAAGGTGCAGACTCATTAGGTTGCAAAGATATAGAGATTTAAAAATTGGAGTTTGTGCTAAAGACCTAATTACTTACTTATTGCTCATGTTGTATTTTTTTTTGACAATTGTGCAATTTGCAGGGTGCACTGCTTGTTCGTATCCAATAAACGTATGTACCAATCTACGCCGGAATAAAGTTTGGGACCCCACCCAGCAAAATTTTTACCGAAAAATCGGCGAAAAATTAAATTTGAAATAAGTGCAATTTTATGTGTTCTTTAGTTTCTGTTTTTACACTTTTTTATCTAATCTTGGAAAACATCTCAACTAATGTGAGAAAATTTCGCTTTCCTTGTTATATTTGACACTTGTGACGTCGTGTATAATTTGTTAATTTCTCTGTTGCCACCTATTGTACAGGGTGTCCCAAAAAACATGGGAATTCAGTGACGAATTCGATATCGTCTTTGTTATGAATTAGCATTGTAATACCTAATTTCAAAAGCCATAATATTATTATGCATGCTAGAGTTTAATTTATGAAAACGGTAAAAGTGTTTAAAGATGTGTGATAAATATATTCGCAAGATGAACAGTAAAAACGGACAAGTTTACTCTGTTTGTATACTGCAATACTAAAGTACAACCGTATGCACTATGCAGTCAAAACATAAACAAACAAAATGTAAACATAGCAGACGAAACTCTTACAGATTACAGCTTTCTCAGTAGGTATCACTTTACTAAATCAAAGAATTATTTGAAAAGACGATATCAAATTCGTCACTGAATTCCCATGTTTATTGGGACACCCTGTACTTGATAATCTATTTGGTTCCACCTAGAAGATTTACATTTTGCAAAAGTGGTTTAACTAAATAGATTATCAAGTACAATAGGTGGCAACAGAGAAATGGACCAATTTTACACGACGTCACATGTGTCAAATATAACAAGGAACACGAAATTTTCTCACATTAGTTGACATGTTTTCCAAGATTAAATAAAAAAAGTGTAAAACAGAAAACAAAGAACAGAAAAACAAAATCAATAATTTTGTAGGACACAAAAACTGAATCGACCCTTTTGACATCAGAATACAGCTGTCCTGAGAGTGTACAAATTCTACGTTGCCAACTATTGTACAAGAATATATTTGGGTTTTTAACTAAAAGAATATGTTTATACGATCATATTTTGAAACCCTAGTTAATTTTCATCTTATATCTATTAATTAATATTAATTTAATAAAAAAATTCAATATGCTAAAGCAATAATTCACAAGTGTCCGGCAAGGTCTCAGAACTAAGTCGGTCACTTATCTGACTCCAACACCTGCAACCGGTTTTTTCACCCATGGCTAAACCAGGATTCGATTTATCTTACTCATTAATCTATGTATCTTTGAAACCCATTAGTTTCTTTTCACCGAGATCGGTTAAGAAAGTACAAGGTTACACCCGTCATAGATCTGAGACTCATACATACAGCTCTTTACAGATTAAATTTGGTCTTCGACTGTAAATATAATCTTTATTATCTTCATTATAGATGGTAGGTTAATGAGTTGGTTAATGACTAAGAAAAACTAGGCGTATACCCCAACATAATGCATTTATGACCTCGGAGTTTTGTAAATACAGTCGTAACTCATCCTTTGTGGATAACCCTGTACCTAAATGTACTTGTGCCCTTGTATCCTTGTACGTCAACTAGTCCTCTTTCTTTACGTTCACTTGTCCCTTGTATCCTTGTCTGCTAGTCATATTTTCTCTTTGTCCGTTGTATCCTTGTACGTCAACTAGTCCTCTTTCTTTATGTTCCCTTGTCCCTTGTATCCTTTTCTACTAGTCATCTTTTCTCTTTGTCCGTTGTATCCTGTCTCCTAGTACTTTTTCTCTCTGTTCCTTGAATCCTTATCTTCTAGTCCAATTTTCTTTATGTGCTCTTGTATTCTTGTCTGCTTGTAATCTTTTCTTTTTGTCCTTTTGTCCCTTGTTTCCTTGTCTACAAGTCATCTTTTCTCTTAGTTCCTTGTATAGTTCTCTTTTCTCTCTGTACCTTGTATCCTTGTCTATCAGTCCTCTTTTCTCTTTGTGCTCTGGTATTCTTGCCTATATTTTTCTTCTTTTTTTCCTCTTGTCCCTTGTTTCCTTGTCTACTAGTCATCTTTTCTCTCTTCGTCTCTTTTATACTTGCCAATAAGTCCTCTTTTCTCTTTGTACTCTGGCATTCTTGTCTATTTTTCCTCTTTTCTCCTTGTGCTCTGATTTTCTTGTCTTCTAGTCAGCTTTTCTCTTTCACCTCTTGTCCCTTGTTTCCTTGTCCACTTGTCATCTTTTCTCTTTATCTCTCTTTCCCTTGTATCATTGTTTAATAGTCATCTTTGTCCCCTTGTCCCCCTTGTCCCCTGCTAGATTCTTCGGACAAGAGAAACAGGTTGAGATTCTTCAACGATATCTTGGAGAAATCCTGATAATTAATTGTAAAACCGTCCTCATCCATTCACAAGACGAACAGGGGGAATCAATCTCTGGTATAATTTAATGTTGTTTTAAATGTCACGACAACGACGCCAAATTTGTAAAATCTCGCAGATTTTATAATTTAACATAAAAATTCAATATTTTAAAAGGAACGCTTTTGAATCTGGACCGATTGACACCCCCCCCCCCTGTACTATGGAATGTATCCGATACAGCATTTAAACCTGTTTCTTTTATCTTGGTGACTCTCATAACCTGATCTAGCTATTAGGTCAATCATTTTACATAAACAAGAAAATTGGGGTACTCCTTAGCTAGTCAAATATAAATGGCATTTTTTCTGTGTAATATTCAGTTTTATAAGCAAATATCCATATTCTCGTTCTAAATCTATAGACTTTGATTTCTGATAATCAAAATTCTTTCATGTATCAATATGCAATACCTTATCTGCATATATAAATTTTAGAAACCCAGCTTTTCTTGGAAATCTAAATTTTTTATACTTAGGTGGACCCAATCTAAGAAAAATTTTGTGTTTTCACAGAGTTTATGAAACAAATTTTGAGGAACACGATCTAGGGGTTCCTGATTCACACAACCACCAATTACCACTTCATGAATGGAATATTTGAACATTTAAGTTTAAAATGATTGAATCTTGAGTGTACCATGGTAATGCAATTAATACATTGATTTCCTGTCATTCTAATATAACATAATAACGAAGGAGACGTTCATTTTTTCGGATTGTACCACTGTTAAATCCTTGTAACTCATAGTTTTCCTAATACACATGAAGATTAAAAACGCGTGTGGGTTGCCTAAGACTTCACATTTTTTAACAACTCTTTAGGAAAAGAAGTTGTAATTGAAAATAGGCAAGGTTTCGGCACTACGACATTTGCTCTATTTCCATATGCTCTATATCCATTTGCTCTAGTTCCATTTGCTATATCACGTCATTTCCTCATTCGTAATCGAAAACAGGCAAGGTTTCAAAATGTGCAATGGTTGTAAATAATATTCCTCTGCTTACCATTTAGTTTTCATCTTTGTTGTAACTTAAAGGAAGTTAATTATACAGGAAGTATCGTGTGCACTTAACGCAGCCTTCAGTTTATCAGGACATTCGTTTACACACTTTTCATAGAAAAACTAAATATCCAATTTTATATTTTTTAGCCTTAAATTTTAATCTGTTGGAGAAATGCATAATTGACAACTGAATCTCAATCTCTTTTAAAATTTAGACATTTATTTCGTTTAACAGTTTATCCTTAAACACACATTATTGTTACTTTATTGCGATATTATTTCATTAACATATTTCGCATTTTTTATCTGTTGAAATGAATTTATTTATAAGAAAAAAGAAAACATTGCTTAACTTGAACATTAAAATGTAAATCAAAGATTATTTAAAGATCTCAATCTCACAATTGTAACTTTATAACTAAATTTGTAATATCTGAACTCAGAAAGAAAATATATTGAAAGAATGTACTATTAATTGCCTAGAACTCCGATGAGCCCAATGAAAGATATAAACTATCTAACTATTAATAATCCAAGAAGTTGGGTTTAATATCTACAGTAGGATATGAACTAATAATAATAATAATAATCTATTAACTCTCAAACTTGGATTAAACCTACACAGTAAGTTAAGAATTAATAAATTATTAATCCTAGAACTTGGATTAAAACCTTAATCTGATCATCAATATGGAAAAGTATGAAAAGTGTTAAATTCTAATAATTTCTCCATTGTTTCCGAAGCGAGAAATGTTCAAGTCACTTTTGTGGAGAAATCACAATTAAATGAAAATCAGTTTTCAAAAACAATTTATCCTTTATCCGACTAAGCAATTGTAAGGGTAACGTTGTAAATCGGATATGCCAATCTATTAATGGAGGGTCAGTTAAGATTATATTTTATTCCCTTTAAGTTCAAAAGAACTTGGATTCAACTTACTGTAAAATCTTGATTAACTAATCCTGATCCCGGCGGTGTACTAGGATATTTCCCGAGCTCTCCGTCCCATTCATGCTTCAAGAGAATACGGTTTAGAAGCTCCGTACTTAGCTGACAATACGGACCAGTTGATCTGAACCATCTCAAGTGATAATGATCCAAGCATGTTGTAGGCATTTTTCAAAATATTATAGTTTCAGTGAGATACAGTTTTCGTACTTTACAAGGGGATCGGGGCAGAATGAAAACTGCATTTTTTTCCACAAACCAGTGCATTTGCCTTGAACTTATGCAATTAGAAATTAAACATATTTAAAACTATAGATAAAAATAAAAAAAGTTTTACAAATTTCTGTCTCTCTTCTAAGCTAGGTTGTAACTTAATGTCTTAAGGTTTTAAATTTAACTAAAAAGCTAGAATTTTAATAATCTTGTAAATGGTATATAACCTAACATATGATAAGGAAAAGAAACAGTGTGAACATTTATGGATGTATGCATCTTACACTTATTAGGAATGCACAATGCACATTGCACATTGCACATTGCACATTGCACATTGCACATTGCCTGGATTACTTTAACTTTAGAAACAAGTTTTAAAGTTATGGAAACCATTCATTACAAATTATGAAAAAATAATTTGTAATGAATGCCTTTTTAAAAGGAACTTAATCCGACACTTGTTAACTTAACCTAATATTTCCTTAATACGTGACCCTAAAAACTGACTTATATACCTACCTCAAGCTTTAATTTTGTAATCCATGTATCTTTGCAATAAAATCTGAAAGTGCAAACCTTTGATATTTCGAAATTTGACTATTCGAATTTTTAGCTTGAAATATTAGGATGCAAATATATAATTGGATTATTATATTTGAGTGTAAGAAATGTAATCATTTCCTATGCATTTGGAAAAATAGCACTTGAAGAATCGTCACTTCGGATATCTTCCTTAATAAATATTTCTGAAAAAAATACAAATCTTGTGGAATAGCTGTTAAAGTAAACATTTGTCATCTAATTTTATCATGCGTATCTATATAGCAATATTTAATCGCGGATTTTCAAATGGCCTTTTATTGGACGAATATTTCTGCATTTTGACAACCTTGCAGTTTTTGCTTAATTTTGATTGATTACCGTTTTTGTCGATTTTCCAGAAGCGGGAAAATATTTAAACTGCGGTTATTATGATGAAACCGAGAATTAAAAAGGGGGAGGGGGTGGTTAAAGGGGGGGGGTTGGAACTGGTGCATGAGAGTCATCAGAGAGGTGGTTGACAGTATAACATAGTGCAGTTTTAAAGGGAGTAACGACAGCTTAACCGTACTCGTTTTATAAAGAGCTGTTTATGGTAGCATTCTTGATCGAACTAAGATTAATACAGATTCTGAATTTTGCTTCAAATTGTTTTAAAAACTAAAATTAAGGGAGAATCTATGGGGCACTTTTTTAAAATGATCAAATCCACCTTGCACCAGATCTAAAGTTGTCTTTTGGTGCATTTTATTTTAAAAAATTTAATTTTAAATCACTAATATAAGTCAGAAGAATACAATTAAATCCAAAATATTCGTCTGGAAAAATTGAGCTCAGAAACGTTATATTCGTAAAAATCCCTAGTAAATTAAGCAAATTTAGGCAAAAACCTGGATTTGTGGATATTTATGGAAAATTTCAAGTTGAAATGATGAAATGTTGGAAAACCTGAATTTAAAGCTGTCTTTGAAATGAACCTTGTTCTAAATGATGTCGTCATTAATATCTCATCCATTTTAAATAACTCGTATCTGTATAAATCTATGTTTCTTTGTCGATCATAACTAATAAACCCCTTGACCGATTTGCCTCGGTATAACTATGGGCAGGTTCTTATATTGGTTTATAAATTCTAAGTTGAATGAGTTAACTTTTATAAAGAAAGTTTAGTTTACGGACACAGCTGGGTTTCCATGCAAGTACAGGGTGTCCCACGAAACATGACATTTTATAAATAGCTATTTTTAGTTAAACAAATCTTTTGATTAATTATATTTTACTTTGAAATCAATTTTGATATAACATGACTCCCATATATAATGTTTTTATTGATCTCTGGTATCAAACACCTGAACAAATTATGGAAAAAGACATTCTAAACTATTCACCAACTGTCATGTTTCGTGGGACACCCTGTACATAGATAGTAATATAATGCATTGTATGAAAATATCTTCATGTTTGGTCTATACAAGTGCAGTAAACCGATGCATGTAGAATGCATATAAGTATATAGGTGTATAAATCAGGTGTCAGCCTAATCTTACCAATCTAACAATTCATCACGATAAAAGTATTTAAAGGCCCAAGTAGGTTTCGGAGGTAGGGTTGAAAAATAAACCACAATGTTGAGAAAGTGTAAACATGCTTTCTTGAATTTGAAGGGCTACAATCAGGGAACAAGAATATAGGGAATGAATGGAAATGGCGCTGGTCTGGCATGAGAAAGCCAGTCGCACTGCTTTGCAAACGGGTTCCTTATCACACACGCACACTCTTTTGATATATATACATATACAAAACGTATACAATAAATATACAAAACAAATACATAATACGTATACAATACATATACAGTTCATAAACAATACATATACAGGACATAAACTGTACATAATCAATATAATAAAATCCAATACAATTCACTAGTATAATACAATTCATATTTAAATACAATACACGTATTAAACTCTCAAACAGAGTGCAGGAATTCATTCATTGAAAATTTGCAACGGTTTATGCAATAAATAGAAAATCTGAAATTGTAAGGTAACTCATAGTTTTCCTAATACACATGAAGATTAAAANGGGGGGGGGGTCATTCATTGTTTAGTTGTATTCATTCATTCGAATTTATGTAAATTATACCCTGTCATTCACTCACGTCTTATGTACTTATATGAATTTCAATAACTCTGCCTTATTATGAGATTTCGATAATTTTCATTGTTTAATCTCCGTCATAGATATGAACAACCAATCTTCTTTTAAATGTATAAGGAAGTTTTTTGTGTCAACTTCTGTATTTCTGAAAATTAAACCGCAAAACCGTTAATTTTATAATTTTTACCAACTGTTAACGTTGAATTTAGTTAGCGAATATTTAGTAAATCTTCCAAAAACTTTAAATCGTTAACGAACGCGAACACTTTACTTACGAACGGAAAAACCGTCAACTGAACTGCAGCTAAAAACAAACAGCAACTTAATTAGCCTGTGCGGCTCGTTTCGTTTATTTTCTCACCGTCAACGAACGGAATAGAAAAAGATCGAAAGTGCCCAGCCCTAATTCTAATAATATATATCTAATATTACTAAATAAAGCAGTCGAACTAGGTGAACGACATATAGAGTTTTTATTTTTCCTGGATTACTCAATTTAAATCGTACATTTCGTATATAATCAAGTGAACATTTAAATTTTCAATTTTTCAGATCTTAAACCCCTGATGAGATTTCGTAAACTTGAATTTTCCGGTTAAACCCCCCGAACCCTCCCCTCCCTCCAGTCCTTATTTAGAAGCAGCAATAATTAAGGATCGTTAGTCTGCCCTGTCGAGAATAGTACCCGGAGCTTGAGGAGCCGGGTAAACCCAAGGAGTATGAAATAGAAGGGAGATATAACAGAAATATTTGTCTGATGTACAATTACCGAATATATAATAACCAATTCTGAATATTTCTTATACAAATAGAGTACCAGTCTGCAAAGCATGTACAATCGTATGGTAGGGCGGGCCGCGTCAGGTATATCTCCCTTCTATACCATACTCCTTGGGCATACCTTACTTTCCTTCATATCATCTATAGAAGGTGCAAAGAATACATTGAATATATATATTTGTATTCTCCATAATTATCAAATATCCACAGTTGAGGGATATCTTGAAACTTCTCCAATTGTGATTTTGCAGAATATCCGGATATCCTGAAATTATGGGATATCCTGATAATATTGAATACCCTGATAATTTAGGATATCATGATAATATGGGATATCTTGATTATATAGGATATCATGATAATATAGGATATCCGGATAATCTTGGATATCCGGATAATGTGGGATATCCGGATATCCTGATAATATGGGATATCCGGATATTCTGATAATATGGGATATCCAGATATCCTGATAATATAGGATATCCTGATTATATAGGATCCCTGATTATATAGGATATCCTGATTATAAAGGATATTCTGATAATATATGATATCATGATAATATAGGATATTCAGATGATATAGGATATCCTGATAACATAGGATATCCTGATAATATTGGATATCCTGATTATTTAGGATATCCTGATTATATAGGATATCCTGATAATATAGGATATCCTGATTATATAGGATATCCTGATTATATATGACATCCTGATAATATAGGATATCTGGATAATCTTGGATATTCTGATAATATGGGATATCCGGATATCCTGATAACATAGGATATCCTGATAATATAGGATATCCTGATAATATAGGATATCTGGAAAATCTTGGATATCCTGATAATATGGGATATCCGTATATCCTGATAATATAGGATATCCTGATAATATAGGATATCCGGATAATCTTGGATATCCTGATAATATGGGATATCCGTATATCCTGATAATATAGGATATCCTGATAATATAGGATATTAAGATAATTTAACTTTTAAGTCATAAACATCACATTTTCAAACATGTATTGACGGGGCAATAAAAAGTTTTACGATTTAGAAATTATCTAATAAACCTTCCGAGGATTTTAAAACCATGAAATATTTATGTTAAGCAAAAATTGACTCTTGTTTTCAGAAAAAAATGTTTAGAAGGAAAGAAATTAATATTACCATCTTGATCTCTTTCCTATCCATAATTTCTCCAGGCTTAAGCAGAGACTCCAGGTTCAGTTTCTTTCAACCTTTTAGTTTAGGATCAGATAACATCAATCAGATGCCTGCAATACCAACCAAATATCATACAAATATGAAACTGAGTATAAATGACGCTTCGCGCCCCTCTTTTTTCTTTTCACAGCATAAAACTTCATGAAATATCATAGAAATTTTGCCAAATATAAATATATTCATTTATCGTCCAGCTCAAATATATATATTTATAATATATATATGGTCTAGCTCTTTATATATATTTTAAAGAATTTTGACTACTGAGAATCGTCATGAGACGTAAAACATTAAGTTTAGTATAATTCTTTTTAAATAAAAGTTTAAAAACTGAAATATATATATATATATATATATAAATAATCTAGCTGGAACTACAAGGATGGAGGTAGAGACTTCGAATACTTTGTATGGAAACTAAATTATCAAACATTATATTTTCAATTGGCTCATAATAAATTTTCTTTTGTGTTTTATTTTAAGCTGAACCGTCATGCATTATCATTTTGTATTTTGTGTTTGAAAATAAATACTATATATATATAAATTATCCATAATTACGTAACATTTTTATTCTTCATTTCTTTTCAATAAATTCATGGTTCCCTAGAGCTTAATACTTTTCTTTTCTTTGCAAAATAAATAAATTACCATTAAAATACAAATCATTGCTAAAGATATTCTATCTTTAATTCTTTACGTTTAAAGATATTTAGTTTGCCATCACGGTCTTATCCTAGCTTTGTAATTGACCTATTAGAAGAATATCTTCATAGTTTTTTTCAGGTCACAATCTGGAGTTATTAATGCTGCAGCAGAGAAAATGAAACAGCAGTTTAAATTCTTGATCTCCGATATAACAGGTTCTATTCATGATTTAGTTTAAAACCATCCNTATTATAATACATATGATATAATATACATATTAACATATATAATAATTTCACTCTTAGAGGAAAAAGATGCTCCTTTATTCAATCTTCATATTACTAATCTTTAGGAAAAGCTATTCTGCAATAATAATTTTGTTGTCATATCCCCTTTCATGTAGTACGACTTAAGGAGTTACAACGAAATGTCGCAAAAATTTTCTATTTTGATGAAAACAGTCGTCTTTACACATGTTTTTTTAAAAGCAGACTTATCAGTAGGGAATGATTTTATTGGGAGGGGTGCAACTGGGGAGTTGTAGGGGCAGTGCGTCCCCCAGGATTCTAGGGGGGGGGGGTACTTAACCCAAATAAACCCCCCTATATACGCCCCTGTTATTACCCAATTCTTAAAAGCCGCAAACAAATATACATAAATACACTATAAACAAATAAAATATATCAACAAATTTTTTTAAAATATATTAAGGGAAATGTTTTTGCACTTATATTTCGTCAAACCTGAAACTTCAAATCAACCACCTATCGGTTTCAACTTTCAGAGGTGAATGAACTTTAGATCAAAAGAAAAAATGTCGAATTTTAAATATTTAGATAAAATAAACCCAGCTGTGAAGGCAGTGCGGGATGATCTTGTAGCCACGAATTTCCGCCAGCAGAGTTATGGTTGGGCTCTAATGCTTGGAGGATATGGAGATTGTATTGCTGATGTCGTTCAAAACAATCGAGTCTGGCCACAAGGAATCATTCTTTTTATAGTCTTGATCTTTTTGCTAATTAGCTTTTCTTGTAATCTTGTTTTACTCTTCCTTTCTTGTAATTTTGATCTCTTTGCAACTTTGATTGATTTGTAATCTTGTTCTTCTGGAAACCTTGTTTGGCTTACAATCTTGATTTTCTATTTTCTTTTTTATCTAGATATTTTTAAATTTTGTAATCTTATTCTTCTTGTAATCTTGTTGTGGCCCAACCAACACACTTTAAATTGATTTTTTATTTGAATTTTCATATTCTTTTCTTAACCTTGATTTTCTTATTATTTAATTAGCATGAAAATCGTTGAGAAGAGTAGTGTTAAGTATTTATATTGTGAGAAATTAAAAAAGTTTAAGATCAGACAACCATGACTTGTTATACTTGGTTTCACTTCCTAGTCAAACATTTTATAAAAATAGGAAAATACAAATCATAATTAGTCATAATAAATAGGATTCATTAATTGACAAATTGCACTTTTTTGGATTTTAAGTTCTGTATAGAAGTTAAAAAGTGAGATCGAGAAAAGAATGATAAATAAATTAGATATGTTGACCATGCCCGATGTTGTTTATACATATGGATACAATCTTGGATACGGGTTCGGTTTCGCTGGTCCATATCTACTTCCAAGCTATCTTGCAGATACTTCATTTGGTAAATATAGAAGTCTTTCACTAATTTTCAATATGCAAGATTAAAAACATTTAGAAAAAAAAATTTGTATTATAATTCTGTAAAAATCATATTTTCTTAGGTTGCACTGATTCTGATTTTACCACTGTTGTAAACAGCTACGGGTTCTCACAAGGATTAAACCCTAACACAAATATAGGACAGGTAAATATTATTTAATAAAAATATGATTGGAATAATTTAGAATTTAACGGGAAAGAGTTCGTTCACGTTTTTCTGAACGTGTTAATCAGTATTTTAAAAAGTGTTTAAGAAATTGTAATTTTTAGTGACCCTAGCATTTAAAGGTTTTCATTAACAATCCACAAAGGTACACCATTTAATTTTTCTGTTAAACATTGATGCAGTTTTTAAATAATAAAAATCAACCTTTTTTCGGGGCAACATTTTCAACTTCGACTAGCAAAAAACCTTTCCAGGGGTCATGTAAATTCCCTTTCAAATTTTGGGCTCGATTGGTTCAGCCGTTTTTACGTTTATTGGTTACAAACAATCGGACAAGCAAAGTATATATAGATGTCTTCCAATAACTAAAAGATTTAAAAGATTTCTAAACTACAGTTCACCAAGCGCTTGTTTTTACATTTTCCAACAATTTTAAACAGTTTTATTTGTATTTTCAGATTTACAATTTTGGAGCTGATGCACGACAATCCATTCATTGCCTGCTTCAGCATACTGGAGGATACTCAGATGCTGCTGAGGTTGGATATCTTATTGATGATCTTCTAGAAGCAGGAGTTCAATATATCAATCTTATGAACGCTTGAAGATCTAGACAAGAATTTATTTGAAAATTAAGATATCGACAAAATTCCTCCATTGATGGGTTTGATTGTGATTTTATTTTTACAAATTTCAAACCACATTTAATTTCTTAACCGCGCCTTTTCTCGTGTTTTTCAATCAGAGAAGTGACAAATAAGCCAAAGTGTTCTATAGATTAAAGCCAAGCTTTCTACTTATGCTATCTACAGATAAGCTATCTCACTGAAATTTAAAGGTTGCAAGTTCTAACGCAAAAATCGATGAGATTTTTGCCAATAACTTCTGAAAGAGTTTAGGTGAAAATAAGTTATTTTAAAAATGTACATGTTTAGGGGTACAACATCAACAACAACAATAGCAACAACAACAACAACAACAACAACAAAAACACAAATGAGTTAGAGCGGAAAAATCCGAACCCAACGATTTGTAACACTGAAAAGTCGGCCTGGTCTTGAAAATTAATACAAAATTTCAGAACAGGATGTTTATCTACTTGATCTTTAACCAGAACAAGCTATCTGCAACCAAACTAAACTTCAACCAAGCTATCTTCAAATAATATATCTACAAGCAGTCTAGCTGCGTCCAAGCTATTTTCAACCTAGCTATCTGCAACCAAACTACATTCAACCTAGCTATATGGATTATATACCAGGCCAAACTTTCTTCGATCAAGCTATCAACTTGCATCCAATATATATCTAAACCAGTTTAGCCAAGCTATATTCAAGAATACTAGCAGCAACCAAGCAATCTGCGCGTAGACTAGTTGAAAACAAGAAATCTGCGCGTAGGCTAGTTGCAAACAAGCAATCTGCGCGTAGACTAACTGCAAACAAGCAATCTGCGCGTAGACTAGTTGAAAACAAGTAATCTGCGCGTAGACTAGTTGAAAACAAGTAATCTGCGCGTAGACTAGTTGAAAACAAGCTATCTTCGCTTAGGCGATCTTTGACCAAACTATCTGAATTCTGCACTTAATCTGCAACCAAGCTATCGCACTTAGACTATCTGCAAAATGATTTTTTCTTAAGTGTTAAAGAACTTCATATAGGTTGAGAATCCAATAAGTCAATATAGGAAACCTAACATTGAGCAAGATTTATATGTTTTTAGAATGTGAGAAAATCATGGAGAAATCTGCAAAGGTTTAAACGTTTTATATCCAGGAACTAATATATTTGAGCACAATGAATTTGGATGTTTAAATCTAATTTCCGTTAACAATTGGATAATGGATATCCACGGAGAAACGTTATTATTTGGGAGATCTCGAAATATCCTTGGATATTTTCAACGTAGTTTGAATATCTAATTAGAGTTAGATAAAATTCACCGAGAATTCGAATTTAACAGGAGTTGGGATAGATTTGAATACTATTTTTAAAATAGAATTTATATTGTACATATATATATATATTTATACGTTTTGTTGATTTAAGATTAGAAAAACATAAAATAATTTCAGATTTAATGAATTGATATTCAAGATGCGAGGAATGATCTTCTCCATCGTTATTTCTTCTCTCTCCATGTTGTCTCCAGTGATGTCAGACACCTCACATGGAAAATCTAGGTACAGTTTAAACCACAGATTTAGCAGTAGTCAGAACTTTTCTTTCTCGCAATCAAGTATTAATCAATTATGCAAATCTACGAATTAATTTTGTTCCTTTTCGATATCTAGCGGTGTTCAACATACTGTAGTTAAGGTATCAAACATTGATAGATTTTAAAAGTGCCCCCGTCAGTAGTCCTAGTTTAAGCGTTCAGTAATAACAATTGTCCAAATAACGACCTCTAACAGGACATTCATGACATGCTAGTTTTGGACATAATCACAGTTAAAACGAATTTGACAAGAGCTGTAGGAATTGTGTCGGTTTTGGACATAATCACAGATAAAACAGATTAGACAAAAGCTGTAGGAATTGTGTCGGTTTTGGACATATTCACAGATAAAACAGATTATACAAAAGCAGTAGAAATTGTGTCACAGATAAAACAGATTAGACAAGAGCTGTAGGAGTTGTGTCACAGATAAAACAGATTAGACAAGAGCTGTAGGAATTGTGTCGGTTTTGGATATAATCACACATAAAACAGATTAGACAAGAGCAGTAGGAGTTGTGTCACAGATAAAACAGATTATACATGCGCTATAGGAATTGTGTCGGTTTTGGACATAATCACAGATAAAACAGATTAGACAAGAGCTGTAGGAATTGTGTCGGTTTTGGACATAATCACAGAAAATAAAGATAATTGTGTGCAGTTGCATGGTTCCAGGAACAAAATTTAAAAACTGTATAAAGAGTATGAAGTCTTATCTTTTGTGGTTAACCCTGTGCATCTGAGACAGTAAAGGTGTATTTCAGATTTGACAAGATCAAAAGAAATTGAATCAGTATGAGAAATGATAATAATTAGAAAACATTCAACATGCACATTACACATTTCACAAATATCTTTATAATTTAATACTCTAGGTCAGGATTAAGAGCTTTGGAGGAAGCAGCAGCAAAGATGGAACAACAGTTTCTTTTTCTTCTAACAGATATTTCAGGTTTCATTAGTTTTCTTCTAGCAAATATATCAGGTTTCATTAATTTTTTTCTAGCATATATATTAGGTTTCATAGGTTTCTTCAATCAGATTTATCAGGTTTAATTTTATTATCTGTATTTTATGTAATATCCTGTAGGTTACACAGATTGAACAAGATTTGGGGGGGGGAAATATTCTACTTTCACATATTTTTACATGATAACCTCTTAGTTTCACATATTTTTACATGATAACCTCTTAGTTTCACAGATAACCTCTTAGTTTCACATATTTTTACATAATAACCTCTTAGTTTCACATATTTTTACATGATAACCTCTTAGTTTCACACATTTTTACTTGATACAGCCTCTTAGTTTCACATATTTTTACATGATAACCTCTTAGTTTCACCTATTTTAAATGATAACCTATTAATTTCACATATGTTTACATGATAACCTCTTAATTTCACATATTTTTACATGATAACCTCTTAGTTTCACACATTTTTACATGATAACCTCTTAGTTTCACATATTTTTACATGATAACCTCTTAGTTTCACATATTTTACATGATAACCTCTTAGGTTCACATATTTTTACATGATAACCTCTCAGTTTCAAATATTTGATAACCTCTTAGTTTCACACATTTTTACATGATAACCTCTTAGTTTCACATATTTTTACATGATAACCTCTTAGTTTCACACATTCTTACTTGATAACCTCTTAGTTTCACATATTTTTACATAATAACCTCTTAGTTTCATACATTTTTACATAATGACCTCTTAGTTTCACACATTTTTACATGATAACCTCTTAATTTCACATATTTTTAAATGATAACCTCTTAGTTTCACATATTTTTACATGATAACCTCTTAGTTTCACATATTTTTACATGATAACCTCTTAGTTTCACATATTTTTACATGATAACCTCTTAATTTCATATATTTTTACATGATAACCTCTTAGTTTCACATATTTTTACATGATAACCTCTTAGTTTCACATATTTTTACATGATAACCTCTTAATTTCACATATTTTTACATGATAACCTCTTAATTTCACATATTTTTACATGATAACCTCTTAGTTTCACACATTTTTACATGATAACCTCTTAGTTTCAAATATTTTTACATAATAACCTCTTAGTTTCACACATTTTTACATGATAATCTCTTAGTTTCACATATTTTTACATGATAACCTCTTAGTTTCACACATTTTTACATGATAACCTCTTACGATACAATATTTCTCGGTATCCTTTACTTTAAACCATTCAAAAGGTTTGAACAATTTAAAGTTGTAGTTTTAAATATTTAGATAAAATAAACCCTGCTGTGAAGGCAGTGCGGGATGACCTCGAAGCCACGAATTTCCGCCAGCAGAGTTATGGTTGGGCTCTAATGCTTGGAGGATATGGAGATTGTATTGCTGATGTCGTTCAAAACAATCGAGTCTGGCCACAAGGAATCATTTTTGTCATTTAAATTTTTCATATTTTTAAAAATCATTTTTAATCATTTCACATTCGTGCTTTCCATATAAACTCACGCAACATATTCTTATTTCTCATTGATCCATTGATCTAAATGGGTTCTAAAAAGGTTAAGGTTGAGTAAAAATTACAAATATCTATCATGATAAGCCGATCGTTTATCTAAAATTGCCCAGTTGAGGCAAAGGCAAAATCCATTTCGACTGTTATCGGACAAATACATTCAGCCAATATAATCTAAGGATATTCTTAATCCTATTTGCACTAATAACTACGCCATGTTTAACTAAAATTGATATATTAGATATGTTGACTATGCCCGATGTTGTTTATGCATATGGATTCAATCTTGGATACGGGTTCGGGTTCGCTGGTCCATATCTACTTCCAACCTATCTTGCGGATACTTCATTTGGTGAAATATTATTAGTAAAATATAATTTACCAGGCTTTGATTTTAGCTTTTTAATGTTGCAATATATATATATATATGTGTCAAATGAGCCTTAATCGTGAGAATAAAGCGAAATCAACAAATTCTAAATTTTTTAATATTTTACCAGGAAAATTTAAGTAATTTAAAGTTTTACTTTAAACAAAGTTTTTTTTTTAATGAAACTGAGTTTTTGAAACAATTTTCTAATTTTCTAATCCTTATATCTTTATACATCATAATGACGTAGACCTTAAAGATATAAGGATTAGAATATTTGTGAGTTATTGACTTTTTGTCCTGAAATCAGCTTTAACTAATATATTTGTTTAAACTGCAGGTTGCTCCGATTCTGATTTTTTATCGGTAGTCAACAATCATGGTTTCTCAAGAGGCTTAAATCCCAAAACAAATTTAGTCCAGGTCATTTGTTTTAAAATTAATAATTTGAAACTTGATTTTCATCTGCAGGGATGAAATCATCTAGATGTATCTTTGAATCATTTGAAATGTTAACATTTTAGATTTTGAATTTTGGAATTGATGCACGACAATCCATTCATTGTCTGCTTCAGCATACTGGAGGATACTCAGATGCTGCTGAGGTTGGATATCTTATTGATGATCTTCTAGAAGCAGGAGTTCAATATATCAATCTTAAGAACGCTTGAGAAAAAAATACCATATAAAGATATTTGTGAATTCTAAACCTTATTCTTGGTTCTAGGATATTCTAAACTTTATACTGGATCCAGTAGATTCTAAACCTTATCCTTGGTTCTAAGAGATTCTAAACCTTATCCTTGGTTCCAAAATATTCTAAATCTTATCCTTGGTTCTAGGAGATTCTAAACCTTGTTCTTGGTTCTAGAAGATTCTAAACCTTTTCCTTGGTTCTAGGAGATTTTAAACCTTATCCTTAGTTCTAGAAGATTCTAAACCTTATCCTTGATTTTAGGAGATTCTAAACCTTATCTTTGGTTCTAGGAGATTCTAAACCAAAGATCCTTGGTTCTAGGAGATTCTAAACAATATCATTGGTTCTAGGAGATTCTAAACCTTATCTTTGGTTCTAGGAGATTCTAAACCTTATTCTTGGTTTTATCAGATACTAAACCTTGTCCTTGGTTCTAGGAGATTCTAACTTAATCTTAGTTCTAGGAGATTCTAAACAATATCCTTGGTTCTAGGAGATTCTAAACCCTATCCTTGGTTCTAGGAGATTCTAAACCTTATATCCTTGGTTCTAGGAGATTCTAAACCTTATCCTTGGTTCTAGGAGATTCTAACTTAATCTTAGTTCTAGGAGATTCTAAACAATATCCTTGGTTTTATCAGATTCTAAACCTTATCCTTGGTTCTAGGAGATTCTAAACCTTATATCCTTGGTTCTAGGAGATTCTAAACCTTATCCTTGGTTCTAGAAGATTCTAAACCTTATTCTTGGTTTTAGGAGATTCTAAACCTCTTGGTTCTTGGAGATTCTAAACTTTATCCTTGGTTTTAGGGGATTCTAAACCTTATATCCTTGGTTCTAGGAGATTCTAAACCTTATCCTTGGTTCTAGGAGATTCTAAACCTTATCCTTGGTTCTAGGATATTGTAAACCTTATATCCTTGGTTCTAGAAGATTCTAAACCTTATCCTTGGTTCTAGGAGATTCTAAACCTTATCCTTGGTTTTAGCAGATTCTAAACCTCTTGGTTCTAGGAGATTCTAAACCTCTTGGTTCTAGGAGATTCTAAACCTTATATCCTTGGTTCTAGGAGATTCTAAACCTTATTCTTGGTTCTAGGAGATTCTAAACCTTATCCTTGGTTCTAGGATATTTTAAACCTTATATCCTTGGTTCTAGGAGATTCTAAACCTTATTCTTGGTTTTAGCAGATTCTAAACCTTATCCTTAGTCAATGAAAAATAATAAATTCCTGTGATATTAGTTTAGTTTATCATATAGTATTAAGATCTATAGATTAAGATTAAAATACATAGCTGTAGTAGTCAGTATCGATCAATGTAAAGCTGTACTGTACATATAATTGTCATACATTTTGCGGAACCGTAATAGTTTATTGCGCCCTGAGAGGGTTTGTTTTTGTAATGTTATTGAAAATGTTATATTACACCAATGAAAAAACCCTAGAATAATGTTCTTCTGGCGTCCATGCAACGTTCTGAAAGAGATGCACATTCCCTTATTTTTAAAATAACATTTTGTTATGTAATATTTAAAACTTTATATAAACCATTTGTCTCAGTTTGTCTGTAAATAAAATAAAATAAAATAAAATTGTTTAAACTACTTTATAATCAGAAAAGAAAAAGTATGGTTATGAATGCAGTCTTAAAGGGAGTGTTCGTGAAAAATGAAAGGGGGTATCGGCGAACAATAATTGCTTTTGATCGCTACTAATCTTACTTCTATTTGTTGCGTCTATGAGGAGCAAGTTGTTAAAAACGACTCATACCGAATAACATAGCGTCCAATGTTCATACAAATTCAGAAAGTTTCAATATTCAACTCGTAAAAAAATCAATTTAATTCCAAACAAATCATTCGGATATTACAACCAATAGTCATCGATTATTTTTTGTTAAAATCGTATACAGTTAATATTTCATACTATTTTTTTTATTAATCTGATAGTTACTTTTGAAAACATTTATTCCCGTTTCGAGGATTTTCGATAATGAAAATTACATTTTCATATTTTCCAGGAATGTTTGAAAATCTAGCGCCACCGAAAATTATAAAAAAAAAATCGAAATTATTATGAAATATTAACTATATACGAATGCGTCGAAAAATAATCGATGACTATTGTTTGTAATATCTGAATGATTTGTTTGGAATTTGTGGAACTTTCTGAATTTGTATGGACGCTACGTTCTTCAGTATGACTCGTTTTTAACAATTTTCGCCTGATCGACGCAACAAATAGAAGTAAGATTAGTAGCAACAACAAGTGCTTATTTTTTTACGCCCTTTCATTTTTCGCGAACAATTTTTAGTACAGTTTTCAGTACAGTTTTCAGTACAATTTTTAGTACAGTTTTCAGTACATTTTCCAAATACAGTTTTCAGTACAATTTTTATTACAGTTTTCAATACATTTTCCAAATACAGTTTTTAGTACAGTTTTCAGTACAGTTTTCAGTACATTTTCCTTATACAGTTTTTAGTACAGTTTTCAGTACAGTTTTCAGTACATTTTCCAAATACAGTTTTCAGTACAGTTTTCATTACAGTTTTCACTACAGTTTTCAGCACAGCTTTTAGTACAGTTTTCAAATAAGTTTTCAGTACAGTTTTCAGCACAAATTTTAGTGCAGTTTTCAGTACAGTTTTCAGTACAGTTTTCAGTACAGTTTTCTGTACAGGTTTCACTATACAGTGTTTAGTTCAATTGTTTGTATATAAGTTAGTTTTCTTTAAAGTTTTAAGTTTTTAAAACAGTTTTCTCTGGAATACTGAGCGTTTAACTTTTTTAATAATTTGAAATTATCGACGACATTTTGGACGACGCTCTTTACCATTAAAAAAACTCAGGTGGTAGCATTATAAATGATAAAACTGATTGCAGCAAAGTATTTTGGAACATCCTGCATAGTTCGAATAAACACGAGATAATGATGATAAGTACTTTTTCTATAATACCATTATCAACAGAATACTATCTTCCTCTTCAGACATCAAAATAATATTGTTAACTAACAATTTATCATCGTGCAGACGAGGAGGTGGGGGGAGGAGAGGGAGGAGGAGAGGGAGGAGATAGGGTACAGGGGGGGGGGGGAAGGGTGGAGATATGACATGGTAAAAAGAGTTGGGTATAGGTTGGGGGGGGGGATACTTGGTAAAACAAGAAGATAGGGTAAAGGGGGTTTCATTGGACAAATGATTGAGTCTTTGGCACAAACTCAAATTTTCTAATCCCTATATCTTTGCATTGGGTTGCAAAGATAAATAAATTAGCAAAGAATCAATTTCTTTATTGCATCAAATTAAATATTTTCAAATTGAAGCGGTAACACTATTAAAAATAAACCTTTTTTGTATGTTTTACTTTGTGCATCATCATCATGAATTTATAAAGTAACTACTGAAATACTAAGTATTAGAGAAATTAACATTGGTTTCAGGTTTTTGATAAAATAACTCTGGAATGAAGGCTATTTTTTTAACAAAACTATTGTCAATGCACCATGATTATTAGGTAATGGGTTGCGCCATGATGGTTGGGTAGTGGTTATCCTTGATTAAATTCTTTATCCTTACTTGTCGAATGAAGGTAGAGAGAAAAGGAGAGAAATTAGACGAGGATTAAAGCTTTCTTCTAGTTGAGAGGCCGTGTTGGTCTCCGGTATAGGAGCCTTGTACTGCTCTGCAGCACCCAACCTTCAAGCTCACAGTATATACTAGATCCTCAACTTACTATATCATTTATATATATATGTTGTAACATGCATTACATAGTAATATCTGTGTAGTAATTCACGTTAAAAAAAACGGGAAAATTCCTTTGGTCAAAATCATGTTTTAACCCGACACTACATAGTTTAAATAATCTTTTATACATTTTACAATCCTGATTTTGATTAACTAGTATTCAGGACACAAACTATAATAAATCTATCAAACTCTTTGTTTTCAACTTGTCGAACCATTCTTTACAAACAAGTTATAAAAAGAAAGTGAACGGTAGTATCGGAAGTTTGGAACTTATTTCACTTTTTGCATCATTCATATTAACGCCAAGAATAGTGTGCATCATAATTTGCCTTGATAAAATGTTTAAACAACTTATTAAGTTAATTTTATTCTGATATTACAGGGTCTATTATATTGTCTCATAGTAGAAATTTGATGTACTGCAAAGTACCCCATGGAAAAATTAAATTGAAATCAAAGTTCGTCCATGTCCAGTTTTGTTTCTATTTCTCCCAGAAATTACACCTTTTGGTTTCCTTTGTTCTAGTTTTTATATAAGTAAGCTGCTAAATGCTGTTGTTAATGTCATAATTAAATCTTGTACATCATGAAACTTTCGCAGATTTTCTTGTTTTTTCTAATGATTTTAAGCTTTTTAACTTTCGACCCATCATAAAACTTCAGGGGTCTTTTGATTGAGTTACCACAAAAATGTTTTACTTGGTTGGCTTAGCCGTTATGACGTTTATTGGGTAAAAGCAAACAAACCAATTGAAAAAATACAAACTGAATATATTTTCCTCCGAAGATTTGAGATTGTGTTAAAACAAAATCATCATGTTGGATTTAAATTGTAAAAAAAAAGTATAAATGCTGTTTAATCAAGACATATATATACATATATTTATATATATATATAAACCCTGGCTCTCGAGAGAAGTATATTCTCAACCTTGAAGATAGTCTCCAAGGGTTTAATACAACAAATATATTGCTCGGTTAATCTTACCCTGGAGATATACTCGGATATACTCGGATATACTCGGATATACTCGGATATACTCGGATATACTCGGATATACTCGGATATACTCGGATATACTCGGATATACTCGGATATACTCGGATATACTCGGATATACTCGGATAAACTCGGATATACTCGGATAAAAATATACTCGGATATACTCGGATATACTCGGATATACTCGGATATACTCGGATATACTCGGATATACTCGGATATACTCGGATATAATCGGATATACTCGGATATACTCGGATATACTCGGATAAAAATATAAAAATTCTGATTTTTTTGATAAACTGAAACTGAAATTTTCTACCCTCCCTATATCTTTGCAACCTGATGGTGTAAACCTTTGATTTTTCATAGACTGCTTAGTTTTACAAAGTTCGAAGTTTGTAATATCAAAGAATTACGACATTTGGTTGCAAATAGATAGGGAATTAGAAAATTAGAGTTTGCGTCAAAAATGTATTCCTTTAAAAATAAAATAATTTTGTCTTTAATGTTTCAAAACTATTTTTCTGTAAGATTTTTTTTCTTCATTTTTCAGAAGTAATATCCCCCCCCCTCCTAAAATCAAAGCAGTTGCCCATTTACTAATACATATTCATTCGATCAGCCAGTAAAGAAAACTGTGGAACGATTGCCGTCTGAATTCTTAAAGCTTTTGTAATTTAATACTGATTTATTTTCAAAATTGTGCTCTCAACATTTGCAAAAATATATCAGTTACATCAATTATGACTTAACAAATTAAAAGAAAAAATGTTGTCTTATTCTTTGTGTATATAACAATAATTTTGAAATGTTTACCAAGATAAATAGATCAATACATCAAGTTCACATTGTTATTTATTCTTTTTCTAATAAAGCCCTTCGCTTATATATATATGTTGTATATATGTTAGCAATAGCTGACCAATCGGCTGGACCAAATGGGTTGAAATTTGTTGAGGAAACCTAAGGGTTACATTTGAATTTAAATTTTTTTTTTGCAAAATTCAAACGTTTTTACTTCTAAAATTCGAACGTTTTTTTCCCAAATTCAAACGTTTTTTTCCAAAATTTAAATTTTGGCTATTTAAATTTCTAACGTTTGATAAAAAGCGGATATTTTAGATTTGAGAAAACTGATGAGAGAAGGGTAGAACTGCTGATAAAAAGTTTAGGAAAACCTACTGTGAGGAATGATGGAACGACGGGTTGATGAGAACCCAGTAGGTTCTCTACCCTGTACACCTAAACTAAATAATCCTCCCCAGATATATATAGATTTCCCTCAGCACTGTAGACTCTTTCAACAACATATGAAGGTAATTAATTATATTTACTTGAATTATTTAAGACCTAAAAAGAGCAGAAATGTTTTAAAATGTAATCAGATAAATTTTCATTTTCATATTTATAGTTAAAGAGTTATAATATTTATTTTCAAATACAAAATACAATTTAATAATGTATGATGGTTCAGCTTAAAATAAAACACAAAAGAAAATTTATTATGAGCCAATTGAAAATATAATGTTTGATAATTTTGTTCTGATCGGTATTTGTTGAAACAAAGTATACATATTGAAATATCAACTATATATACATTCATTGTGCATTTACAAGTAGATACTTAGTCAGCACTTAAATAATCAAAACATTTTAATCAATGCATTCATCGAACTTATAAATACATATTGATTCAGCAAAAGACAATGTATTCTTGTTGACTGTAGTAGACTTTGACATCTACCATTAGCAAAGGGTGTGAACCCATACTCGTACAAAACTATGGAAAACGAAGACGACATGAAGCACAGAAATTGTGAAGCGTATTTGACCCATTTTGAGTTGATTTTGAAGCTACTGGCAAAACTATTTCGAAGATAGATTTTGATCTTACAGAATTCATAGTTTGAAATATCTAAGGTCTATGACATTGGGTTGCAAAGATATAGAGATTAGAAAATCATAGTTTGTGGCATAGACTCATTTCTTTTGGTTTATTTCAGATTGTAAATCTACAATTTGAGAAGATCAAGGATTCCGTCCTGGAGTTGTACAGGGATGTGACCAGTAAGAAGTGTGTCTCCAACTACCAGAAGATCGAGATGATCGTCCTTGATTGTGCAGATATTAAGTCTGAGATCGATGAGGCGGACGGGTTGCTGGAGCAGAGCAGGATGGATTTCAAAAAGAAATGGGAATATGAACTATACAGGAACCTATCCCTAATATACTAAATTTAAAACGAGAAATACAGGGAAACAAAATTTCTTAAATTTTATTTTTTTGGTGGAGGTTAGGGAACAAAGGTTTCTCCAGGATACAGTTAGAACAGAAGATGTATCAAGGACAGCTTACCGAGCTGTCAAGCCTCAAGGAGGACCTGAGCAGAATACTCAAGATTGCACAACAATTAGAACCTTATGTCAAGTAAGATATGCTGTGATCTTACAATCGACCCTTCTCCACAAGTTGAGTGAGATTGCTTCAAATTCCATTTCAGGACACAAACCCGTCAATCATACCTTCATCGACAAGCTGACAACATTACAGGACACAAACCCGTCAATCATAGCTTCATCGACAAGCTGACAACATTTCAGGACACAAACCCGTCAATCATAGCTTCATCGACAAGCTGACAACATTTCAGGACACAAACCCGTCAATCATACTTCATCGACAAGCTGACAACATTTCAGGACACAAACCCGTCAATCATATCCTCATCGACAAGCTGACAACATTATTTTCATAATAAATAACCCTCAAGTCTTTACTCCTTCTACAAAAACTATACTTTGAGGGCGCTTCGTGCCCCATTTCTAGAAACAGCTTTACCTGTTAACCGTTTCTCTTCAAGCTGCCATTTTCTATGCAAATCGTAATTCGCAGATTTGTCTGTTGAAAGGAATTGAGTCTTTTCATTTTTATTCTCTGATCTCAAGTAACTAAAACACTGATTTGCAACTAATCCTGATAAGAAGCGAACATGAAAGGTTGTAAAAGGTTTGAAGGATTAAAATGCATGATGTCATAATTTTTCGATTGATTAGAGGAGGGGAAAAGGTCAGAAGAAAGAAAAGAAAGGGTAAGGACAAGTTATCGAAAGAATATGGATAGGGTTTGAGGAAGAATAAAGAAAGGAGAAAAAAATGCAGGGAAAAGGGTAGGAAAAGGATAGGAAAAGATTAGGAAGAAGAAAGGAAAAGGATAGGAAAAGAATAGGAAGAAGATAGGAAAAAGATAGGAAAGGATAGGAAAAGGATAGGAATAGAATAGGAAGAAGATAGGAAAAGGAAAGGAAAAGGATAGGAAAAGGAAAAGGATAGGAAAAGGAAAAGGATAGGAAAAGGATAAGAAAAGAATAGGAAGAAGATAGGAAAAGGAAAGGAAAAGGATAGTAAAAGGATAGGAAAAGGATAGGGAAAAGATAGGAAAAGGATAGGGAAAGGAAAGGAAAAGGATAGGGAAAGAATTTAGGAAAAAGGAAGGAAAAGAATAGAAAAAGGCTAGGAAAAAGTTACAGAAAATTATAGGAAAAGTGAGAAAAAAGGAGAGGGAAAGGGAGAGAAAAGGAGAGGGAAAGGGAGAGAAAAGGAGAGGGAAAGGGAGAGAAAAGGAGAGAGAAAGGGTAAGAAAAGGATAGAAAAAGGTTAGATTTAAAGTGTAAGAAAAAATGTGAGATAAAAAACTTTTGAGAAAGGGAAAGACAAATAATTTATTTAAGTTGGTAACAGAAAATTATTGTTTTCTGGTTTTTGTTTATTCTGATATTTCTATTTACAGGACTGCGCCATCTAAACCAGAGGAAATACCACACTTAGAAACTCAGCAAAGGATGGAGAGTAAACCCAACCCATCCTATAGATCAGAGAGAGTAGAGAGGTCAGTTGGAACGAAGAAAATTCAGAAAGTTTTATAGTAATTTATTTTCTATATTTAGAGGAGAAGAGAAAAGGTTTCAAGACTATAGAGCACAGAAACCTGGGGCTCTTGTAGAGACAAAACCTAGCCAGCAGAACCAACTAGTCATGGAGCAGTATACAAAGAACGAAAATACTCCTCCTAGCTCTAGGCAGCAGAGTAAATCCTTGCCAAGACGGAACAAGGCGGAGTATTTCCAAGGAGATTACGGAGACCAGTTTATCCCTCCCTACGAGGATAAGAACGGGTTTGTGTGGGAGTGTGAACCACCTAAACAAGGAATTATCAGCTCCATCCTAGACAAAGTTTGTTTAAAAAATGATTTATCCTTAGAATGTTTACCCTGGAGAACTGAATCCTTATCCTACAGAAACTGTTCTGAAAATATGAAATGTGAGAAGGATTCGTCCCGAAGATCACAGGAGGACCTGGATTTTGTTCAGAAACCTTACGAACCTCCATGCCTGGGTAAGTCCTCCAGAATAACGCCTGTTAAGACTGGGAACGAGGATATTCCTCCCGGAGTGAAACCTCTCAAATATTCAGACTCTATAGAGGTTCTTAGTGTAATCAGATACAATAACAAAATGAAAACTGGGAACAGTCCTTCTCCAGTTAGTTTTGACAGTGGTTCGGATGGAGACTCAATCTACGGACAACCAAACATTAAAGAGGTTAAACTAGGCCAGGAGAAGATGGAAGTGAGCAGAAAGCATAAAGGACGAGAGATGAGTCGATCCATGTCGATTTCTCATCCTCCAGGAGATGACTCAGATCAAAGGGAGGATGAGATTAAACCTGAGAAAAGATTTTTCTCTTTGGGTCGTTCTCATCACAAGGATGTATTCTCCAAGTACGAGGAGGAGGAAAAGAGAGCTTGCATGGGTTCTACAGATCTAAGAAAACTGCACTGTTCAGAACCATCTATTATCAGGATCCCCCAACCTGTTGAACCTCTTTCAGATCGTCTTCCTAATATTTCATTCCAGGGACAAACAATGGACGATAACAAGAACTTTGAGGAAAAGAGAAATTATCAACAAGACTTTGTAAGCAAGAGACAATTCCAACAAGATTTAGGGGATAATAGACAGTATCAACAGGAATTAGCGGACAAAAGACAGCTTCAACAGGATTTTGTGGAGAAGAGACAGTATCATGAAAATTCAGGAGAAAAAAGACAGTTTCAACAAGATTTAGTTGACACAAGACAATGCCAACAAGATTTAGGAGAAAGAAGACAATATGAACAAGAATCAATTGACAAGAGAAACTACCAACAAGAAGTAGGAGAAAAGAGGCAATATCAACGAGAGTTAGCGGAGAAAAGGCAGTTTCAACAAGATCTGGAATCTCAGAAAAATGTCCAACCTATTAGACAAAGACACCAATCTCAAGCTTCCCAGCTCTCCAATCAGCCTCAAACTCCTTGCTCTCCACTTTTCTCTCAAGACAATCTGGAGAATGAACCGGTATACAGGGAACCATTAAAACTCAATAACAGACATTTAGATTTGATTGGACAACTTATTAGTCCGAACAATAGAGATCAAGCTCATCAGATTCAGCTCCTCAGCCAGCTTTTGCAATCCGATCTCACACGATTTAAAACCTTAAATACAGAGGTGCTTCCAGAGACTCAGCTCAGATCTCAAGGTGAGTATTCAGAGCGAAGTATCACGTACACCAACTCTGCAGGTCCTGCTCCTACCCGAGGATTTATACAATCCGGAGAAAACGAACCTGTTCACGATTCTTATTGTGAGATGAACCGTGATGTTCGAGTAGAGGATCGGAAATACAACGACCTCGAGGAAAGTAGGATTAAGATACCTCAGGAAGATTTGATTCAACAATTACTCCAGGCTGAATTAAACCAGGGAAACTTTAACAAGTCTGATCTCCTGGATCAACTCCTGGGAATCGATCATTCAAGAGATCCTAGATCAAACAAATCGAAAGAACAAGATATTCCGATGAATTCTTTTCAAACAAATAGATCTGAGAATTCTAAAACCTTACCGAGAAACCGAGATTCCTTTGAGGATAAGAGAAGAGTCATCAAAGATAAAGGTTAGTAAATATATCTAAAATATACCAATTCATATTTCTCAAATAAATTGCCATACTATTTTCCAAACAAGAACTATGAAACTAATGAAATAAAAGAAAAAGAAATTCATAATAGAATATTGATGAAATATCAGATACAGAAAGAAGTAACACAAATAATATAATACAGGATGTTTGAGTGGAAAGCAGAATGAGCTAAAGAAGAGGAACAGCTTCGAGGGACACGAGCTGGCGGTAGAGTGTCTGGTCAACGCAGTTCAGGAGTGTAGGAAGGCGGGACACAAGATTAGAAGGAAGGAGGAGTAGAGGGAATAGGAGGAGTAGTGGGACTATAGGAGGAGTAGAGGGACTAGGAGGAGTAGTGGGACTATAGGAGGAGTAGAGGGACTATAGGAGGAGTAGAGGGACTATAGAAGGAGTAGAGGAACTAGGAGGAGTAAAGGGACTAGGGGGGAATAAAGGGACTAGGAGTAGTGGGACTAGGAGAAGTAGTAGGACTATAGGAGGAGTAGAGGGACTAGGAGTAGTGGGACTAGGAGGAGTAAAGGGACTAAGAGTAGTAGTGGGACTAGTAGGAGCAGTGGACTTGGAGAAGTAGTAGGAGTAGTGGTTCTTACGAAATCGTTAATAAAGACAAAAGTAAACCAGTGAATCTTAGTTTTGGGATCGGAGTTTGATTTTATGATGAATTAGAAAAAGTTTAAAATGAACTTAGAAATTCATGTTTTAGATGTTTGAAATATTTTTTATCAATTGTTTATAAAACTTAATGTATGTGTTTCATCTGATTAGTTAAAAATTAATCAAACAATGTTAGAGTATAAGTATAGTTTATGTTGTGTTTAATTAAAGAGATAGTAGACCCAATTTTCAAGTGACCCAACAATTTTTAACAACTGCAGTTCCCTTTAACCTTTGTCTCAGAAAATATGATGGATTTATCTTTTTTTTAAATCTCAAAATATATTATTTAAAATGCGGTATTCTATCAAATTGACTTTGGGCTTTATGCAACAGGAAAGTATGAAAGAAATTGTTCAAATTTTTTACTTTTTCAGAAAGTAAAACGACGATATCTTATTCAGTGTTGATCAGATAAAGGTTTTAAAGGTAATGTTGTGGATATGACATGCCACTCTATAAATGGAGGGTCACTTGAAATTACGTTTACAGTCCCTTTAAAGTTGGAAATTTGTTAAACCAGGAAAGGTTTGGACATGCTCCTAAATTCTGCTTGATTTTTTGACGCAATTATTTTTATTATTATGAATAAAAAGTTTAAAAGGATTTTTTTTAAATTTTATAGTTCCTTTATCTTGACAAGAATCATTATAACTCCAATCTTTCTTTTTTACAATTTATTTTTAAATCTCTTTTAGATCTACGCATTCTAATCTCTTGTAGAAAAGGTAAAAATGCAGTTTGACACATATTTCTGATTGTCTTTCTGCCTATTAGGCGTAATATTAGGCAGTGCCTAATATTACGCATGTTACTAATTGTTTTCCATGCAGAGGTGTCAAATTTCTTCTGACAAGTTATATTGAGGAATGATGATGCAGCTGCGTTGTCATATTGTTCATATTTATATTTTCTTACAGGTTGGAAAAATAAAAGTCACTGCTTAGCGGGGTTTGAAAATTCTGAGGATATCCATTGTCAGAATTCCACATTAATAACGACAAATGGGATAAGAAAGGTTAGGCAATGAGTGGATATTTTCGACAAAAGAATTCTTGATTCTTGTAAGTTCATCTCAGACAGTGCTTCAGAATATGGCCTCATCTACAGCAATCTTTTCCTTGCAGCCGGTAGTGTATAAACCATATAAATCATAGTGCTTGGTGCACAACCTATCAGGATTCTATTTTCTATGATTCCATTTTTCTTGTTTCTGACAAGAGGAAGGGGGAAGAGAAACATAGAGAAACCATTCCTTCTCTGCACTATTATTTTCTTTTTTCCAAATAGGGTGTACTGCCAGTTTATTCCACACAGGGTTCTGTTCAGCCCCAAGAAACTGGAGAGAGTTGTATAAGAACCTGACTGTTCTGAGCTCCCTTGATGCTTACACATAGAACCAGATATAATCGAAAGAATTAACGTCTTTCTGACGAGTTCGGATACTTAATAACAGCTAACAGCAGGCTTGATATTAAGAAGTATATATAAAGATGTCAGTAACAAAATCTGGATCCAGCTAGGTAAAAAACCTCCATTCTCCAAGTTAAAACAGCATTAAAAGATTAATGCAGGTCTTTACCGTTTCTTTCAGTTCCGTTTTTTCTTTTCCGTTTGTGTGCAGGGGTGTAACGATGGATATACACCCCTGGCTAAAGTTTCTCTAGTTTGCCATTTTCTCTCTCACCCTGTATCTCTGAATACTTTTAGAAGCGCCTAGCAAGGCCAAATTGTTGCTTCTCTGAAAGCTGAATCTACACTGAACTCCAATCTTTCAATTCTAAGGAAAATAGATGATTTTTTTATTCAGATAGAGGTTTGCGCAGTATTCCGTACATGTAAAAATGTTGAAGCAAAACTGATGTTTTTAAGTATAAATAGTTTACCAGAACAACATTTAATACTGAATCTTGTTATGCAAATTGATATTAATTGAACAATTGTTAACTTCTACAATAAATAAAAGCAAACTGAAACAACCATGCAATTCATTCCAGCGACCAAGGACTGTATTGAATACACATGAAATTACGCTTACAGGCAAATTCTGACTATTGTTTACAATCTGACAGTGGTAGGCGATTATACAAATACAATAAAGACGACTTTCGATTTCAATCTTGATTTTTATAAACAGCATGGATACACATAATGTAGAAGAAACTGTCAATTAAAAAGCTTCTCTTAGATTACTTGTAAATTTGTAATTCAAAAAAAGCTTGTTAAAATCAAAACTTAAATAAAAGTCGTCCCCATTGTATTTTATATAATTGCCTACCAATGTCAGATTGTGCAGAAGAAAGGTCGGAATCCTCCTGGACAGGTTAGGAAGGCTGTACGCGTAATTTCATGTGACCCTATATGCAAAGATGGCAATGCTCGAGTTAGAACACCACCTTTATCTGATAAATTATAGTGGTGGAATATATTTATATATTTTTTCTTCTTGTGTTAATTCCTCTATGTTTCCTTCGGTAGAAATGCACAAGTTACTTTTGTATAGAGAAACCACGATTGAAAATAATCAGATTTCCAAATTAAAAACATTGATATCTGATTCATACTGATACTTATTAGTTCAAATATAATCGTAATGAGGCCTGTGTCCGAATTTGATGACTTTAACCCGCCTCTCAAATCCCAAAAATACCGGTTTCAATTGAGCGCCAGCTTAAATCCTTGAAAAATGTAATACAATATTAAGTGGAACCAACCATATTTTAGCCGCGGCTCAAATTCTTTAAATTCGGTCTCTGGTAATAAATTCCTTCTCGAGCCTGTCAAAGTTGAAGACGACTTCAAACAATTTCTCTCTTTATAAAAGAAATAAATAGTTTGAATGTTTACAAAATATCCGCATTAACAATTACTGTAAGTAAGAATATATTTAAAGGTAGGCTTAAAAAATTCTAAAATAATATTGACAATTTTTGGAATTTTTAATCTGAAATTCGTAGATTTTCTAAAGAATGTTGCGACCCAAATAAATGATGTACGCAAAATGATTTGCTTAGAAAACGTTTTATAAATGATGGTTCCTTCTTTACTTTAAATCAAACATTTTTAATAAATAAAAAAGGAAGCCTGTACTGTTTCTATATGTATAGTGTACGTACTACGATCTTAACAAAAAGAAGCCTGTACTGTTTCTATATGTATAGTGTACGTACTACGATGTTAACAAAAATGTAAATAAACCTTGTTTATGTAAAATTATATTTCCCCGAAAAGCGCAGTGTCTTTTGGTTTCTTGACCAATTACCATATATACGGACATTCATAAAAAAAAACATTTTTTTCAATATTTTATTATTTTCTCAACAATTATAAAACTAACAGACTAACAAACATGGTTCAACAGATATTTGTACAGTTACTAGCATTCTTTACAGTGCTATAATGCACTGTCATAAACACACTTTACACCGTACAGTCATCAGAAGTCAAAATTTTTGAGTAAATGACTTTAATCAACAGCGTTTGATCTCGATATGCACTGTGACAACTTTTAAAGGGAGTATAGGCTTACGGCAAAAAATAATCCCTTTTGATCACTACTAATCATACTTCTATCTGGAGAAAATTGAAAATATGATTAGAAGCGATCAAAAGCGATTTATATTCCCTTTCATTTTTAGCGAACACTCCCTTTAAATTTAAGAGAAAAATGATTGATTTCCCTGCCTGGTTCAGAGGTATGCACTATAGATTCAAACATAAAAGTTCTGACTTCAAAACGCTTTACATGTACACTGTACAGTGATCAGAACACTTTACATGTACAGGGATCAGAACACTTTACATGTACAGTGATTAGAACACTTTACATGTACAGTGATTAGAACACTTTACATGTACAGTGATTAGAACACTTTACATGTACGCTGTACAGTGATCAGAACACTTTACATGTACAGTGATCAGAACACTTTACATGTACAGTGATCAGAACACTAATTACATGTACAGCGATCAGAACACTTTACTCTGTACAGTGATCGGTACACTTTATAATGTACAGTGTACAGTGATAAATATACTGTACAGTTTGCAGTACAATCTACAATGTACAGTATTAACTGTTGAGCACACAATAATGTACATTGTAAAACAAGGATACAGAGGTTTTATTAGTAGTACAGTACATAAATAGATATTTGTACGAATACGTTTATATTTCAACATTTTACAAGGTTCAACATTAATAATATATAGAATAGATAGAATACATTTCATTAATTATATATCTACATATTTATAATTTTAATCAATTTATTGGGGGGGTCAAATTTATGCTGCAGAAAGTCAAAATAAGATCAAAATAGTTTCGTTTATATTGTTTATTTTTAAATATATAAATATAACATTTTTTTCAGTTTTAAATTTAAAGTGTAGAACTTATTTATTTCAATCTTTCTGAAAATAATATTTAATAATAATTGGTTTTTGGCTAAAATGAGAATATAAAGATTATGCGTTATTCTACCTAGAGGAATCTAGGGCTGGAGTCAATGTGGAATATTATGCAGTAAATAAAACAGCGTTAAAAATATTTATAAAAATCATGTTTACATAAGAGGGTGAACATTTTGAATCTTAAATTAGCGCGCTTTGGAATAGGAAGACGACATAATAGCCATAGTTCTGTGTATTTGATGTTGTTCCACAGCAAAAAAAAACTTATCAAGTTAGGGGTCTGTTTACACTGCAAAATTGCTTTGCTTTGTTAATTGGACTGTTTAAAGTCAAAACTTAAGTCTAAAAGTCGTCTTCAAATTTCAGAGTTTTCTGGTTATCACTTAATTTTCTCCCGGAAGTTAAATCCTCCAATTTAGAAGTTCATTCTGTGGATATCGAGTTAAGTCTCACAAAAACAAAAGTTTTGCCCTCAAAATTTTCTTTTTCTTGAAGTTAAATCTTTTGGTCCAAAAAATATTTCAAATATTTGCCGCAATATTTTTGTCTCCTAGAATATTATGCAGTAAAAATTTGAGTACATAAAACCGATATTAGATATGCGTAGACTAGGTGTACAGTACTTCATCTTATAAATAAGAATTGTACAATGTAATAAAGGCATTTCTAATATCTATAGGTCTAAAATTACCAAATCTTTAATATCTAACGATCGAGAGGTTTTAAGATAAAGATATCCAGGCCCTTGGGTTTCTGGAGTTTACCCACAAGAGATGAGACTTTAGAGACCACTTTACAGAACTTATTGGCTCTTGGTACTACATTTAGGGTTTCCTGCAGCCAGAAACATATCTAGGGTTTCCTGCAGCCAGAAACATATCAAGGGTTTCCTGCAGCCATAAACATATCTAGTGTTTCCTGCAGCCAGAAACATATCTAGGGTTTCCTGCAGCCAGAAACATATCTAGGGTTTCCTGCAGCCAGAAACATATCTAGGGTTACCTGCAGCCAGAAACATATCTAGGGTTACCTGTAGATGGAAACATATTAGTTCTGTTCATTTAACATTCCAATATTAAAGGCAGAAATCCCAGTTCAACTTTAAAATCATTAAAATGAAAGTGTGGCAGCTTGTCATTTAAGTCTCCACCTTTATGGGAGATCTATGTAGAGATAAAGAACTCTAGAGATTTATGTAAGGATTTAGAGATCCAGTGATTTAGATATCTAGAGATCAAAAGATCTTGAGATCAAAAGATCTAGAAATCAAGAGATCTAGAGATCTAGAGGTCTAGAGATCAAGAGATCAAGAGATCAAGAGATCTAGAAATCAAGAGATCTAGAGATCTAGAGGTCTAGAGATCAATAGATCTAGAGATCAAGATATCTAGAGAATAGAAAAAATATTGAAATACAAGACTAGGTTAGTAATGGCACAATGACGGGCGAGGCTACGGGAAGAATTGTAAGTGTCTATTGTTCATTAAAAATATTCTGAAATCTTCAAATCAAATCTTTAATTTGATAAAAGTATAGCCGCAGAAAATCTGGATTGGATAAAAATTCAAATATTTTTATACAGCTTGGCTTTTTTGTATAAATATTTATGATATAAAAACCCTGACCTGCATATCACAAATGATTACGAAACCCGGTTTAGTAAATTTTGGATTTATATCAGACTTAGATATTAAATACGCATCATTTCATCATTCACACATATTAGATTGTAAACCTTGAGATGGCTAGGATACAAGAAAAGCAGGGTAACAGTAAAACCTACTCAATATATATAGAATACATGGTTCAGACCTAGTCAGATTATCGTTCTATTCTTGGTCTCTGGGACAACAAACCAGACGTACGCGATGAAGATGAGCTGGGTCACCATGAAGATGATAAACACGTAGGGTCCAACAGCAAGCTAAGTAAAAATGTTTTTTATTTATTTATAAAGACAAAAATAATCTTGTATGATTTCTCATCAATCTTATCTAAAGTTTGTCCCAAATTCAAACTTTCTAATCCCTATGTCTTTGCAGCCTGATGGTGTTTGTGGGAAAACTCAATTCCTTTAAATTATTTTGATCTTTTCGTTTTGTGAAAAAATTGCTTAAAATTTAGTTTTTCCTTGGATCAACTCAGAGGAATGCGCCGAATGTTTGAAATATATCAGATAGCTTTTTATGCGTTTAAATGTTAATTGATTAAGTATAATTTTCAACTTGAACGTGAACTAAGCTTAAGAAATTAAACGGTCTACTGAAAAATGTGTCAAGATTACTATTTCAAAGATAGATTATACAAATTAGCCATTTTAAGCCGGACTCAGTTTCAGAGTCTAATTATGAACCTTTAAAATTAAGATGTCTTACAGTAAACACCAGTATTAAGAAGTGGAGAAAATGTCATCGTTTCTTAAGGATTTGGAGGATCACTTGAATTTTTCGTTGTGAGTCTATTTAATTTAAAATTTTATTATGTGTTTACTTCTAGTTTTCAACTTGTACCTGTATTGGTGAGAACCCTAGACCGACGAGGAAGTTAGCTGACCAGTTGACCGCTACAGCTATAGACGAAGCAATAGGCCGGCCTGACTGGGAGAAGAGCTCAGTTACAAAGAACCAAGGAATGGATCCAGGTCCTGTAGCAAACCCAACCACAAACAGGATTACAGCAACAATAGCCATATAAGAGATCCAGGGTAAACTTTCCTGTAAATATTATTATTATTGTTTTTATAATTATTTGAAAATCTATTATTTATTTTAAATTTTTATATCCAAATGTTTAAATCTTTTAGCAATTCATCAACATCTCCATATTTACGTTCATTCATTGTAATTTCAGTATAGAAAATGTAACTTCGAATCAATAAGCTCTCTCTCAAATGTATACAATGGCGGTGGGGGGGGGGGTTGTAGTAGGGTAAGTGACTTCAAATATATGTATTTCTGTATTTATAACTTTTCTTGTGCAAATTCAAAATATATTCAGAGTACAATTGCACAATCTTGTGGCAATGCTTTATCTTATCAGTGTTTATATTGTCAAGGGCTTCTGGTAGCTCAGGATTAAATCAAATAAAAGGATTATAAATCCATAGGAGTTGAATTCTTCCAACACATTCTAATTTTTTAATACCTGCACTTTGTAACCTAATAGTGTAAACCTTTGATATTTCAATCTTTGAATATATGATCTAGAAGAATTCTTGAAATATCAAAGGTCTACTCCATCAGGTTGCAGGGATATAAACATAGAGAATAGAATATATATTAGAGGGGAATTTAAACAATCTCTCGGTATGAATTTTTCAGTCCCTTTCAGCCTGAAAGGGAGTTCAAAGTGTACAAATCATGTAAATGTTCACAAATTATATGCAGTAGAGTACATTAATACAGTATGTTCCCAAGACTTTTTATAAATTTAAATTTTGAATTTTTTAAACTGTTAAATAAACTTTATAATGAATTAGGTAAATAAAAAACATCATTTGATTTATAGTTATAACGGAAAATTATCGTTTGTAAAGTGAAAGGCATAGAGTCTATGTGAAATGATCATTGGTCAATTATGAAACCAGCCTATTTCATAATTTGGGTTTCTTTTTACAATAATTTTAGATTTTCTATAAAATGATATTCCAGGGCCCACAAGGTTATATAGCATAAATATGTGAAGTACACCTGCAGTATGGAAACAGTACAACAAAATGTACGTTTTACACTTTTTTCTAGTAAATTCCCCTCTAATATATATTCTATTCTCTATGGATATAAAGAATATAAAATCGAAGCTATAGTGGCAATTGTGTTCTGTTTCTTTTTCTAATATGTTATTTTTATTTCAGACGAATCTCAAAATAATTTACTAAATCTTAGAACTTTATCTACTCAAGTATTGGAAGGATTATAAATGCCTGAAACCTAACTCCCTTGTGTGAAAAATTCCACAAAATATATTAACCACATGATTAACCTTATGTATACTTGGGATTAATTTTCTTTATTAAATCCAAGAAAATGAAAATGTAAGTTTTGAATCCAAAACCCAGGTTGATAAACTTTTTTCAATCTGTATGTTTGTTATAAATTCGAATACTGTCTGGTATAAAAAACGTGAGCGCATGCGTAGAATTTTCGGCCGAGGGAATTAAAAAAGACTTGTTTTTATCATATGGTCCTAATTTAACATTGTAATGGGAACAGTTCCTTTCCCAAACATGTTTTCAATTAGACGCACAAGATAAAGGTTAGATTATGGAGGATTTATATCAAAATAAATAGATATTTCTTAGAATGTTTTTATGATAAAAAAGTATACCGCTAAGAGAAGAGAGACGAGTAGAAGGGTTGTCATGAAAAACATCCCGACCAGGCCACTGATCATCAAGGTTTTACGTCCAGCCTTCTCTATCATGATCAGAGAAACAAAGGTCATCGCAACGTTCATAGCTCCCATTCCAAGGGTAGCAGACTGACTCGCTTGCTCGTCTAAACCAGCAGACTCGAATATCTTGGTAGAGAAGAAAATGGCGGCGTTGATTCCAGACAGCTGTTGCGCCAACATCATCATGTTTGCAATAATCAGAGGTTTCCTTAGGGCGCTGTTGGTCAACATCTCTTTGAGGGTAACCTTGGGGACGAGCTTCATGGCCTCCTGCTCCTGTTTCATCTCGTCCATCTCATCATGAACCTCGATGGTGGAACGTAACCAAGTCAAAGCTAAAACATTAAAATTTATTTATTTTGTCATTAAAAATAGTACATTTTCATAATTTCTTTTAAAAGTTAGTTCTTTGTGCACTGAGAATTGAGATGTAAAGTGAATTTACCGAGATTTTATCAACAAGATACAGTGTTTCCCACTTACTATATGATTGGAGATCTGTTTGAACTTCGATGTATTTTTAATGGATAGACTCAACAACAAATGTTTTACGATTTGAACGCTTTTATTCCTAGTTAACATCTTAGAAAATAACAAAACATTGGAGTTTTTTTTTGATTATTCTTAAAGAATTAAGGTTTAAGAATGAATGCCGCAATATATCTCCAGAAGACGACATTATAATTGTACTTAATGATATGTAGAGAGTACATGATGACGTGCTTTTTCTCATATCAAGCATCTCAAATCCTTCAAACTATGTTCGCTTTCAATTCAACATGACAGATTTAATTTAGAAATTTCTGAGGAATTGCACTTCTAGATTAGGCCTCTTTTATCTGGCTATAGCGGGAGTGTATAGGCCTAGGGGGGTTCAATGCTTTCATCCATTTAAAATATCTTGTTATCCTTGTAACTGTGCTTAAATGTTTAACAATACTTTTCCAAATTGAACATCTAAATTTTGTTGTAAATATAAATTGTATACAATGTATACAACAAATAGGAAATTAATAAATAAAAATGAGTCTGTATATGATGTTTACATGATGTTTACATGATGTTTACATAATGTTTACATGATGATGTGTACATGATGTGTACATGATGTTTATAGGATGTTTACATGATGATGTGTACATGATGATGTGTACATGATGTGTACATGATGTTTATAAGATATGTACATGATGTGCACAAGATGTTTATAGGATGTGTGCATGATGTGCACAAGATGTTTATAGGATGTGTACATGATGTGCACAAGATGTTTATAGGATGTGTACATGATGTGCACAAGATGTTTTAAGGATGTGTACATGATGTGTGCTAGTTGTTTACATGATGTTAATCCGATGACAGATTCGAAACTCAAAATATAATAACAGGCTCTATTTTTGTGTGCTATATCTAATACTTCTAAAAATCACCTTTGTTAGCGGCCATTTCGTCGTCTTTGTCGAGCAGAAGAAACTTAGGAGATTCCGGGCAGAAGGGTAGAGTCAGAACTTGGAAAATGGCGGGAACAATAGTGAGAGCAAGGAGAAGAGGCCAACCTGTCTCAGTTCCAAGAACATTAGACATCCCTAGAATCTGGGAGAGTAGGATAGAGATTGTGATTATAAGTTGATAAACAGTCCCAACAGCTCCACGCATTGATACCGGAGCAATCTCGGACAAGTACATCGGAGCTAGTCCAGCATTCAGTCCGGAGTTTATTCCTATGATCAGCCTGCCTGCGATCAGCATCTGGAAGCTTCCTGTCATCTTAGAGAGTCCCATGAGCAGGGCTGCGATAACAACCAGGATATTGTTGAGAAGTAATCCTCCTTTCCGTCCCAACCAACTAGATATAAATCCAACCATTGATCCTCCCATCATTCCTCCGATACAGAATATTGCCACTACCCAGGACCAGATCAGGGTGACGGTAGTGTCGTCCATACACTTGCTCTCGATTCCGTCGGAGGTAGAGTTTCCTCCGATTCCATCCCCCTCCGGACAGTTCTTGATCCATGATTCAATCAACTGAAATATATTATCTTTTTTTTTACAATAGTTTTGTTTAACAAATAAATTATGAATCGTTGTTCTTAGTCTTACAAGTTACAGGGAGTATTTGCGAAAAATGAAAAAGATAATGGATTAACGTCGAAAAATATTCGACGGTGATTGCTACTAATCATACTTCTATCTGTTGCGTTTATAAGGAGAAAATTGTTAAGAAGGACTCTGCATACCGAAGAACGTAGCGTCCATACAAATTCAGAAAGTTTCAATATTAGACTCGGATCATAAAAAAAATAATTTAATTTCAAACTAATCATTCAGATATTACAACCAATATCATCGATTATTTTTCGACGCATTCGTATACATAATTGATATTTCATAATATTTTCTATTTTTTATAATCCGAGAGTTACTTTTGAAAACTTTTATTCCGGTTTCGAGGATTTTGACATTTTCATATTTTCCAGGAATGTTCGAAAATCCAGTGCCAGTCGTGAAAACAAGTTGTAAGCCAAATATTAATTTTAAAAAAAAAATCAAAAACATTATGAAATATATACAAATGCGTCGAAAAATAATCGATGATTATAGGTTTATCTTAATTATTATCTTAATTATTTATGATTGCAATATTGCAATTTTCTGAATTTGTATGGACGCTACGTTCTTTGGTATGATTCGTTTTTAACAATTTTCTCCTTATAGACACAACTGATAAAAGTAAAATTAGTAGCGATCACCATCGAATATTTTTCGACATAAGGCTATACCCCCTTACATTTTTCACGAACACTCCCTTTATTATATTTTGCTTTCTACTGCTCAACCCAGTATTAATAGGAGCTGGTAATTAGAACCTTAGTTAAACAGACACCTGTTGTTTTATTACTCTAGAGCTAGGAAGAAGTGTTTACAAAGGGAGAAATGTTATGCTTATGCTTTTAAAACCCCTCTTGGAAGAATTAATAAATGTACAGGGTTACCCACAGAGCATGAGACTACAGAAACTGTCTGTTTCCATATATGTATGGTTCCCTGCCGTTGTAAACTTGTTTCTTTCATTGCCAAATCATTTAATAAGCAATTAAAAGACTTTATTTTGAACTCGTCATATTTCAAGAGTTTCAAGTCGTCTTTACAGTCTCATCCTTTGTTGTAACCCTGTAACTATGGTAAATGTTTATTGTTTATGTATATAATTACTTAAGAAAAAAGATGATTTCGAGGAAAAGCACATTTTCCCTCTCCAATTACTGAATATTCTTACAATAACATGAAAATACTATCAATGAGGTCCAAAAAATATTTCATGACAATTGAACAGATGTTCGTTAAATTTTCTAGATATTTCTTGGAATGGTACTTAGGGTAAATATGGCGGTATTTGCTTATTTTCTTTGAGTAAAATATTTCAACCAAACTGGTAATATTTTGAATTGACTGAACTAATAAGTTAAATACTTGCCTCAAGCTCTAAACTTTTCTAATACATATTTCTTTGCAACCAGTTGTCGTTGACATAAACTTTTAAAAAAAATATCTCAGGGTAACACCAGCAGGTTGCAAAGATATAGGGATTATAAAATTCGAATTTGAGCGTTCAATTCTTTCCAATCTATTTAAATGAGATGTAGTCATTTCTTATCATTCAGAGGTCAAACCTCCAATTCAAAAGTTACCATCTCTCACCTGTAAACTTGATATTTTTGATTTTGTAATTTAGGTCTGCACCTACCTTCTGTGGTGCATTAAGAACCCCTGTATTATAACCATGCTGGAAGGAAGATCCGATTGCTCCAGCTGAGATCGCGAATATAATCCGAAAATTCAATCCCTAAAATATTCAAAAAACATTTTAGTTAATATATACGTAACGGGAGGAATTAGAATTAGCTTCAACATAATGCAATATCTAATTGTTAACAATACAATCTTCATATAGAGAATATATATATATGTAAAGAAATCTGTCGGAGTAATTTAAGGAAACATTAAAACATGTCGGAGACGTGATTTTCTCCTTATAAAAAACCTTTCGCCAAATTGAGTTATTCAACCATTGAACAATTATTTTTAAATACCTCTTATAAAGTATTTGAATATTACAGAAATAATTATTATATACAGGGTTAGCCACAAAGGATGAGACTTCAGAGACGACTTTACAGATTTTGTACTGTCTATTTTCTGATATTCCTGATTCTCTGAAACTATAAACTAGTTTCTTTAGACTCGTCAAATTTCAAGTCAACTTTACAGCCTCATTATTTCTGGGTAACCCTGTATTTCAATGTTCCATGATTTTTATTTATATTTGGTAAGTATGTATCAGTATCTTTAAATCAATGATCTGGCTTAAAGATGTGGTCAGGAGAATATGTCTGACTAGTGTACGTCACAACAGTCTGATAACGTAAACAATATATATATATATATATAGAGGGAGGGGGGAAGCTGGCAAGTTACCAAGATTTTAAACACTGTACTCAAGAATTTTGATCAAATTTTATAGCTTTCCAGCAGTCAGTCAATAGTCAACAGATATATGTCATTTTATACAAACATTTTTATCAAAGTTTACATTACAATCATAATTCCCAGGGAACCCTGCAATTGAGAAAAACCTATTCAAAAAAAATTATCTAATGGGAAATATCTTTCATCAACTTTAAAATCTCTGATACAGTGATATTTCAAGAATAATTTCAGAATAATTTTAGGGTTTAACTTGTAGGGTACTTAATTACAAATCTTCTAATAAACTAAACTACATACTAATAAACTAAACTAAATATCTATTAAACTACAAATCTACTAGTAAACTAAACTACATATCTACTAATAAACTAAACTAAATATCTACTAAACTACAAATCTACTAATAAACTAAACTACATATCTACTAATCTACTGATCTACTAATAAACTAAACTATAAAACTACAAATTAGCTAAACTACAAATCTACTAATCTACTAATGAACTAAACTACTAATCTACTTATAAACTAAACCACTAATCTAGAAATAAACTAAACAATTAAACTACAACAAAAAACTAAACTACTAATCTACTTATAAACTAAACCACTAATCTAGCAATAAACTAAACTATTAAACTACAACAAAAAACTAAACTACTAATCTACTTATAAACTAAACCAATAATCTAGTAAAAAACTAAACTATTAAACTACAAAAAAACTAAACTACTTATCTATCAATAAACTAATCTACTTATTAACTACTAAACTATCCATCAACTAAACTATTAAGACTGGAAAACAGCTGTGCTACCAAACTACATGAATTTAGCAAGTTGGAAACCCGTCCCTACTCAGCCGAGCCGTAACTCTCAATATAGAAATAAGAATGAGCCTGGAAAACCAAATTGAATGGTTTTGATGCGTTTTTTTTCTTTCTATAGTTTTCTAAATCTCAGAACGGCCCAAATGTGACTTTTAAACTAAAACTGTTTTAGTGTTTAAAGCGTTTTTATAGATATAAGCTATAGATAGTCAAGGTATACAGTTAGAACAATAAAACAGTAAATTTTGAAAAATTTTATTTAATATTAGCAGTCGATTATAGAAATTTACTTTGCCGTTTCAATCTGCACAATGTTATTAAAAAGCAATTATAATTAATGATTACATGATTTACGTGCTATGTTGGATTATTAAATCAATATGCATACTACATACCTAGCTAAATACATAAAAGCAATATTTATACTATTTTATAATATTATATAATGATTATGTAGAAAAAAAAACAATTATCTTTTTAACATTTTATATATTTATATTATATAGATATATATATCTCGCCCTAGCAAAACCGATGAAATGTTTTGAGGGAACCCATGGGTATCCCGGGGGTTACAAAGGCAAAAAATTGGATAAAAAAAATTTAAACTCTACGGTCAACGCAAGGCGCTTCTTCTATAGTATTCACTAATTCATGTGTCTATTCCTCCCTCTTAAAGCAGGTGTAACCCTTGTACCTTAAGCTATATTTATATTTTGCTTCAGTCTATCTATCCGTTTGTATCCAATAATTGTCTAAACTGCTGAACGGATCGGGCCCAAATTTTGTATGGTAAACTCAAATTTTCTAAACCTTATATCTTAGGAACTTGATGGTGCAAACCTTTGATATTTCAAACTTAGATTATTTGATCTACCAGAATTCATAGTTTGATATCTAAGGTCTACGGCATTGGGGGGTCTACGGCATTGGGTTGCAAAGATATAGGGATTAGAAAATTTGAGTTTGTGGCAAAGGCTCAAATCCTTTTGAAATAATTAAAAATTGACACTTTCATAGCAACCGTTAAAAGCTAAATGACGTTATAAAAGCCTAGTATTTTTACATTTCTATATTTGTTGCATATTATAATATACTAAATATTTCATTGTGTAAGTTTAAATGCCAGTATTTGCCCAGAGCTAACCATAATATATATCCTAGATATATATTTTCTGATTAGACCTTAGAGTATATACAAAATACAGAGTATGAACAGAACCCTTAGAGTATATATAATATACAGAGTATAGACAATATACACAGTATAGATAAGCTGGCGAAACGGCTGGACCAAATTGGCTAAAATTCGAAATATTTTTGTTCAAAATTCGATTTTCTAAAATTTAACTGGCAACACCGGGCACCTCAGCAAGGAGATTTATAACAATGTGCGCTAAGCCTCTGCATCCTTTTTTTGTATTTTTGAATGATCCTATTAGTTTATTACTATTCATGATGTTGAGGTGTTATTACAAAATATAATATTTGATAAAATCCAAATTTTGATGAATCTGTGACTTGTATAAAATACAGACTCAAGACTCTAGAACAATTTAAAAAATGAGGATTTCCGAAGAAAATGCTTACGCATTAAAATTCTCGAGGTCAACTGCCTTGTTTCATAAACATAAGTTTGCCAGGCCCCCAAACCAAGCCTCTGTTTTTTTTCTACAGAACGTAAAATGTATGTATTGAACCTATTCTGCCTAGCTTCTTAATTTTTAATAAATTGATTAAAAAATCCTACCCAAGGCATAATTTAATAAAAAAGAATCGTTAAAAACCTTCAAGAAACAAACTCTTCACATTTTTATTTAAAAAATTGCACATTAGATAGAACAGATACTTTCATTCATTAGATAGAACAGATACTTTCATTCATTAGATAGAACAGATACTTTCATTCATTAGATAGAACAGATACTTTCATTCATTTGATAGAACAGATACTTTCATTCATTTGTCAGGACTTGTCAAAAAATAAAAAACCCTGAGCTAACATTTAAAAAGTTTAAACAATATATTTCAGTTTGCAAATTTCTAAAATTGTTATTAATTTCACTTTTATTGATAAACATAGATATTTACATCATACATATTTTGTTTAGGTTTATTTACTAACCAGTTATTAAAGCGTCAAAAATACCGACATGTTGATTGAAATAGTAGAACATGATCCACGAGATACATGAGTATAAGGAGAACACAAAAATACGGACATGTTTAATGCAATAGTAGAACATGATCCACGAGATACATGAGTATAAGGAGAACACAAAAATACGGACATGTTGATTGAAATAGTAGAACATGATCCACGAGATACATGAGTATAAGGAGAACACAAAAATACCGACATGTTGAATGCAATAGTAGAACATGATCCACGAGATACATGAAAAATACCGACATGTTGAATGCAATAGTAGAACATGATCCACGAGATACATGAGTATAAGGAGAACACAAAAATTCTGAGGATTAAAAGCCGGGAGGATTATAAATAGTGTCCCTAGAGCAATCAAAGTTTTAATGTAACCTTAGAATCTTCAATCATCCTGGCACTGGTAGTAATGGTAGTACTGGTAGTACTAGAGAATATAACTCAACTGAATCTGCGTACTAAACCATCCCAGTGTCACCTTGAGAGACTCCAACCAATGTATCCCATTGAGGCTGCCCCCCTCCCTCCAACCTCACCCGGCCTCCGGACTTTCTCTGATGAAATATAAAGCACGTGACCTCTAGAGTCCAGACGAACCTGACGTATTTAAACTGCTGACACACGCTTGTATGTACAGACAAACCTTGTGAGTGGGAATGGGACTGGTGGACCGGAGGGGAGGAGGGGGGGGGCACCAAGGAGGTGGGACCCAACAAAACAAGAAGGGAGGAAACACCCCAAAAATGGAAGTATGAAAAAAAGATAGGGACCAGGACGAATGACGGGTCACAAAATATGTAAAAACAACTGTCAAATATTTAGTTTTAGCTCAGGGTAAGGTTGAGAGCTTAGCTTGAGCTAAGGTTAAGGTTGAGAGTTGAGTTTGAGCTCAGTGTAGGGTTGGAAGCTTATTTTTAGCGCATAGTAGATTTGGGGTTTAGTTTGAATTCAAGGTAGTGTTGAGAGTTTATTTTGAGTTCAAGGTAGGTTTGAGAGCTCAGTTTGAGCTCAGGGTAGAGTTGGAAGTTTAGTTTGAGTTCAGGGTAGAGTTGGGAGTTTATTTTGAGTTCAGGGTAGGCTTGAGACTTAGTTTGAGCTCAGGGTAGAGTTGGGAGTTTATTTTAAACTCAAGCTTGGGTTGAGAGTTTATTTTGAGTTCAGGGTAGAGTTGAAAGCTTATTATGATCTCTGGGTAGGGTTAAGATTAGAGTTTGAGCTCGGGATAAGGTTGAGAGTTTAGTTTGAACTTAAGGTAAGTGTTTAGTTTGAGTTTAGGATAGGGTTTAGAGTTTATTTTGAGTTCAGATAGGAGTGAGAGTTCCATTTGAGCTCAGGGTAGGGTTAAAAGCTTGGATGTTAATAAATTATCTTAGAGAAGATATTACGAGGTTTCAGAAATGAAACTTTGTTGAATTATATTAAGAGGATTTAACCTTGGAAAGTTCACGTAAATAACCTTGAGAGGTTAAGGTTTGCTCCCACTATATATATATCTCAGGTTTGACGCAATAAATCCCAAAAACACATTTTTAATAATAATACTAAAGTTATAGTACAATCTTTATATAAATTCATTCTTTAATATTTGTTTATTTAAATAAGAAGAAAAATTTTCAATCATTTTCTAATCAAAATGTGTACATAGTAAAGCTAGGATGCGATAAAACATACGCTACTGTCTTTAGATAAACAGATACGTGTTTACTTTTTATGCTTATCATCATAAACAGTCTATTTATACAAATTTAATCTTTATCTAAAAAGAAAGTCGTCAAAAAATGTTGAATTTTTCTCTAATTAATATTGAGTAAAAATACAATGATTATTAATTCTAAAATTTGAAAATTTATTAGAGTTAGCAAATATAATTTTCTGATGTGTAATGCCTTTCTTCTTTTCATTTTATTTATGTATCAGCAGCACGGTTTGCAATGCATTCTTAGCATGCTTTTTTTATCATTTGAATTAAGGTGTTATGGGCCGACATAGAATAATATTTCAGATTCGACTTATCGCGCGGCGGTCGCATCGTTATGTTTTACAGAACAAGAAAATACGAAATATCATTTTAAATTCGGTGATGGGGATGGACCAAACCTCTGTAGAGTTAAAAAAGTATGTTAGTTCCACATTTATTGAAAATATATTTCGGTGCGGGTTGACCCGATCATCAGTTCTTGAGATTATTTTTTCAGCATAGCTTATAACAACTTGCACATTTGTATTTAATGTTTTAACGACGAAAAATAACACAATGTTACAAGAATTTCAGATTCTAATCGAACAGTTCAATCAAATTTGGTTTCTTGATATGTACATATCTGTCACATCTGTCTCTACATACATATGGATGATATTGGTATAACATTACAACCGCGTATATATCGGTTTGAATGATACTGTTAGTTTAAACAAGTTGGATTAAATGCTTTGCATGAGAAATATAGTACTGACTTGAACCCTAAGATGTTGGTTGTATTGAAAAGTATATCCTCCCCCCTCCCCCCTCTTGTTGAACTGGTTTCCTACCTCCGGCATATCCAAGACTAGCACAGGTCCTGCACTATACAACTGCCTTTACACACTGTGCCCTGTTCTACGCTAATCAGACTAGGGGGGAGCAGCTTACCAGGGTTCCTTATCTCAGGGTGCGTAGACTCTACAGTTTTTATATGCTGAGCCGGACACAAGGAGAAGGAGAGTAGGGGAACATTAAATCAGCTGTTCTACGACATTTTCTGCCATCTTTCATATATTTATTCAAATATTCTATTGTTAACATTTTGAATCGTCAAGCTCCAATCAGGAGTGGAACGATATGAATACAAGACAGGAGCAGGAACTATATAAATATAAGACAGGAGTAGAAACTATACATATATTAATGTAAGAAAGGAGGAACTAAAAACAAGAGGAGAAGGAACTATAAAAATGCCGGGCGCTGCGGCCACATGATCAATTATATCCATGTGTTACATATAAGATCCATGTACAAAATTGATAGGAGGGGGGTGGTCGAAAAATCGTTTTCCGCATATTAGCATGTTACTCATTAGTTTGATATCTTTTAACTCTCTTCAAAAAGCTTCAACCTAACTTATTACCCCTGTAATTCGACCTGACGAAACTTCAGTTAAGGCTTAAAACTTGGTCTCATAAAAACTTGACAAAGCATTCAAAATAAATATACATAATATATATTTATTTCATTTTTGATGAACATATTACATACAGATATTTGTTTCAAATTAAGGCAGAAGACTGTAAAAGTAGTCGTCTATTACATAAAATGTAATTTTCTTCATCTACGACAGGTCTAAATAATAAAACTGCTGTTAATTGCCGGTCACTAAAATCACATTTATTATAATTCCTTTTAATGCAGACTCTGGATCTAATCATCTGAGGCGTTTGTTTCTCTCTATACAGCGTCTCTTATTTGTATCACAAGAAATTATGCATTCTTCGGTTGACAATTATGTCTAGTGTATATAACAGGCATATTACACTAATATATGAATTAGGCACTGTTCATTAAAGTTTGATGTTCATGATCAACCTTGTTGAAGCTGGCGAGTGGCCATTTGAAGAGATCAGTTGTTGTGAAGGCAAGCCGGGCATATATTCAACCTGTACAGAACTGGCGTCCAGAATATCTACGAGTAGGTTAAAGATGGTAGCTTAGTTGCTTAATAGCTCCAGAAGTAGCTGTTTAGCTAATTAGCTCCAGAAGTAGCTAGCAGTGTAGCTGATTAGCTTCTGGAGGGATGAATTTTAGCATATAAGCTCCAAGAGTAGCTGAGGCTTAGCTTATTAACTCCAAGGAGTAGCTGAGGTTTAGCTTAATAGCTCCAGAAGTATCTGAGGTTTAGTTTATTAGCTCCAGGAGTTGCTGATTGTAGGATGAAGGAATAGTGAATTTGTGGATAAGAAGTTTAAGCTTAAGATTGTTATACTCGTCCAATCTTGAGCTGTTTCCGACCAGGAGGCAGTGATTTCGTTTGTTGTCTGGGGTCACCACTTTGGAATTACATTTATTGCTTCTAAATGTAAATACATTATAAATAACGATCCCAGGATCCAACACTTATGATTTGCAGATTTTATAATCCTCTTAGCGATCGGGGATTTCTTCCTTTATAAGAGATTTATTATTATACCTAATATACACCATGTATTTGTTGAACCATGTTGGTAAAATAATTCTTTACATAGCTGCTCTTCTATATACTGTAGCATAAGATCTACAGTAAAGTAGTTTTGCTAGAATTATTTAATTTTCAAAAACAAATAAATAATGACATTAATGATTTATTTTAAAATCCACCAAAAACTATGTAAAAGTCATTCATATTTGTAATTTTTTTTCCGATGATCTAAAAAATTATTATGTGCGTATTTTGGCGTTAAAGATTAGAGATAAAATAATATGGACGTATTATGTGCGTATTCTGGCGTTAAAGATTGAAGATAAAATAATGTGATATGGGACGCTCTGTATAATAAATAACAAGTCTCATGCCATAAATCAGCTTTCCTAAAAAAAGAAAAAAATCAAATCATGACTGAGCTAAAAATAAATCCGCCGCAATCTAGTTTTTTTAAAATCTCAAAATACCGCCATAAATTAGAATTAAGAAAGCTGATTTTTAGCTGAATCATCAATTGTTCAGATTTACAGCTGCACCTAAGGAATGAATGTACTTCATTCTGTTTTCAACTTTGTTAAAAACAATTTTCAAACGAAAAACATTTTCGGATACAATTCATTTTTTATTATTCTTGATTTCATTGAAAGTTCGAAATTCGATATTTTGAACATTTTAATGTTACTATTTCTTAGACATTTAAAAAACTGAATTTATTATATTTATTACTACTTGGCTATTTTATTAATTTTTGCTCCATCAATCAGCATTTTCTCTTCCTTGGTTTTGAGCTAAAAATATCACAATTGAACTGTTATTTAATAGAATCTTCCAATGAAATGTGAAGAAGCTGCTGTTTCTTAACTTTACTACTTTCACCAGTAAACAGTTTTTCTTCATACCTTACATTGTAAACTCCCGTATAGTACCGACCCTACTTTTAGGCAGCTAGAGAAAGTTGTACTGCAGTGCAGATAATGAGAGTAGACGGAAAAGCGGGACTGTACATCAAATGAATAGTCCTCTTAATAATAATAATAATAATAATGCGATAACTTACTGCAATAAAAAAACCTTTCCCGTGTTTTTTCTTTTCCTTTATTTTTTGGGGGAATTCACTAGAGTAAAAGTAACACATTACATTCTGACTTTCAATAAGTCAATAATATCATGTGAGGTATCACGAAAATACCCCAATCGGTTCAGCCGCGTCGATCTTTAAAATATTCAAACTAACAAAACAACAGACAAGGTAAATACTCAGAAATAAGAAAAGAACCGTCTTCTTACATAATATTGCAAAATTGCACAATTTTCCGCTTCATTCGGTAAACTTTAAACTTCAGTAAATAAATCTGTAAACAAGAAGAAATAATTAAACTATAAACTACAATAAATTAATCTGTAAACAAGAAGAAATAATTAAACTGTAAACTACAGTAAACTAATCTGTAAACAAGAAGAAATAATTAAACTGTGAACTACAGTAAATTAATCTGTAAACAAGAAGAAATAATTAAACTGTAAACAAGAAGAACTAAATATGTAAACAAGAAGAACTAAATCTGTAAACAAGAAGAAACAAATCTGTTAACAAGAAAAACTAAATCTGTAAACAAGAAGAAATTATTCTGTAAACAAGAAGAACTAAATCTGTAAACAAGAAGAAATTATTCTGTAAACAAGAAGAAACTAAATCTGTAAACAAGAAGAAATTATTCTGTAAACAAGAAGAACTAAATCTGTAAACAAGAAGAAATTATTCTGTAAACAAGAAGAACTAAATCTGTAAACAAGAAGAAATTATTCTGTAAACAAGAAGAAACAAATCTGTAAACAAGAAGATAAAAATCTGTAAACAAGATGAAATAAAACTGTGAACAAGAAGAAACAAATCTGCTAACAAGAAGAACTAAATCTGTAAACAAGAAGAAATAATTAAACTGTGAACAAGAAGAAACAAATCTTTAAACAAAAAAAACCACATCTGAACATGTAAAACTAGCTTTATAAAATCTGCATTTGGTCGGTCCTGTGTTGTTTCCCAATTTTTTGCATTACCTATCTCTCACTGCAAGTTATACAATCATTATACAATTATACAATCATTATACAATTATACAATATTTAGATTTTTTAGTTTATGTTACCCCCAGGGTACCCATGAGCGAAGAGCTTAATTTATAGATAGAAGAAAGATATATTTATTTATATGTTAGCTATAGCTGACTTAATGGGTGAACCAAATTGGCTGACATTTATTGAGGGAACAATAATAATGATTAATCAGAGATTACCCTGAACAATAATATGATAAATCAGAAATTACCCCTTGGACAATAATATGATAAATCAGAGATTACCCTGGACAATAATATGATAAATCAGAGATTACCCTGGACAATAATATGATAAATCAGAGATTAGCCTGGACAATATATGATTAATCAGAGATTACCCTGGACAATAATTTGATAAGTCAGAAATTACCCTGGACAAAATATGATAAATTAAGGATTACCCTGGACAATAATATGATAAATCAGAGATTACCCTGGACAATATATGATAAATCGGAGATTACCCTGGTCAAAAATATGATAAATAAGAGATTACCCTGGACAATATATGATAAATCAGAGATTACCCTGGACAATAATATGATAAATCAGAGATTACCCTGGACAATAATATGATAAATCAGAGTTTACCCTGGACAATAATATGATAAATCAGAGATTATCCTGGACAACAATATGATTAATCAGAGATTATCCTGGACAATATATGATAAATCAGAGATTACCCCTTGGACAATAATATGATAAATCAGAGATTATCCTGGACAATAATATGATAAATCAGAGATTATCCTGGACAATATATGATAAATCAGAGATTATCCTGAACAATATATGATAAATCAGAGATTACCCTGGACAATAATATGATAAATCAGAGATTACACTGAACAATAATATGATAAATCAGAGATTATCCTGGACAATAATATGATAAATCAGAGATTATCCTGGACAATATTTCAAAATATTTTTATTTCAAACTGCGTTGAGTGTTGTTTTTAGTTTTAATAAGTTGGTCAGAATTTTTCAAGTAAAAACTCATCGTTCGTATTATTATTCAGGTTAACAATTCAAAACTATTTGTTTCTCTAAATACCGAAATTAAAAGTTTTATGAGCGTCCAAGACGAGCTTTCTCTGAGTCCCATAGTATACATATAGTTGTATTTGAAGCAAATATAAATAATATTTAGATATGCATGTATATCAGGAAGATGTAGAAAGCCATGAAGACGGAGAAAGCTGAAATCTTTCATTCAGACATTTATACAACACATTTATAATAAACAAAGTTTAGTTTTGTTTAAACCCCTGGATTTATTATTGCAATCTTTTTCTCCGAATTTCAAAGAGGAGTGGCACTGTGTTAATTATTGCAGCTTCCCTGTCTGAGCTCTCTATCCGCGGGGTAGTTGGTAGTTAGACGTGAGACCTAGGACCAGGAGAACCTGGAGAAAGGAGCGTCCTGAGAAAGGATGGGAAGGTGAACTTGGGAGAAAGGCCGGCTGACGAAACTTACATCGATCTTTATAAATACGCTGATTGCGTAGAAAACTGCGTATATATTTATAGCATATACAACTTGCAAAAATTGTTACGTAAATATTTATTAAGAATTTAAGTTCCAAACAACATAGGTCAGAATAAACATTTCCTAATCTAAATAAATATATATATATATTAAAGATATATGGTGAGCCAATTTTCAGGGGTTTATGATAGTTATATCTTTCAAAAGAAAATAACTCTTAAAACAACTGGATTTGTTTCCAACCTAAAATATGACAAAAAGGGTTGTTTTTATTTCTCCGTAGGCAAAACCTACCTCTAGTGTAGAATTACCCAGCGTATACTTATCTCTAAAGTATGCGGGGAGTCTGGTATAGTATTTACAATAATATAAGCTCAGAATTATTATATATTACATCAGTCAAACTTGGAGCCTTAAGGTACAATGACCTGTTCTTAAAAATGTATCGATACATTTGTTTTTCAGTAAACGTTTAAAAACTCTATTTTGTTATTAATAATTTAAGATTAAAAGAAATCCTTTATGTTTTTGTTGTCCCTCGGAATATAATTTTAAACCACAGATTATGCAGATAGGACATAAGAGGTGGACTGTAGTTTTTGTTTTAGGTTGTAAACTTTGTTGACTTTAACCCTGAAGTGTACTCGTTGTACTCATTAACTCTGGGGAGAAAGTGACCCTAATAGATTTTTAAGTTAAAGTAAACAATCATTCTAAAAAATGATATAATACGAATGACACAGAATTATTCTTATTATTTTTTATTACCTGAAATTACATTCCTTAAATTATTAGTAGGAGTCATTAGAAATATATGTACAGCTGACTCTTATCAGTATAATTTTTCATATTATAGAGTACACTTAGAGCGTCATACAATACTTACAGGGTGTCCCTAATATACTAAATGGTTTCCCTGATATCCTACAGGGTTTCCATTGTCCCTGATATCCTACTGGTTGTCCCTAATATCCTACAGGGTGTTCCTAATATTCTAGGAACCCCTCCTTGATATCCTACAGCGGTGTTTCTGATATCCTACAGGGTGTCCCTGATATCCTACAGGGTGTCCCTGATATCCTACAGGGTGTCCCTGATATCCTACAGGGAGTCCCTTATATCATACAGGGTATCCCTGATATTATTCTGGGTGTTCATATCCTACAGAGTGTCCCTGATATCCTGGAGTCCCTTATATCATACAGGGTATCCGTGATATTATTCTGGGTGTTCATATCCTACAGGGTGTCCCTGATATCCTACAGGGTGTCCCTGATATCCGACAGGGTGTCCCTGATAACCTACAGAGTGTCCCTGGTATTCTACAGGGAGTCCATGATTTGAATTGACAATTATTCGTGATATTTAATAAAAATGGATCCAAATTTGAAATAAAGCAAATAATAAACAATAAATTAATTAACAAATATTTCCAAAAATATATTTAGATTAGAGTTAACAGTAAACACCCTCTTCAGTTCTAAGAATTAATAAAAAAAATAAACATTATTTTACAGAGAAATGTCGGAGCAGAATGATCGGTATCCTAGATCCAGTAGTTTCAAGGACAATGATAAATATGTCCGAACCCGGAGTGGGACGTATGTCAGGAGGGAGTCGGAGGAGTCCTTGAACCAGAAGAGGAGGGAGAGTAATACTATGCCGGAATTTAGGTGATTATTTGTTAGTTATATTGTTATATTAGCTCCAGAAATCTAAGTCATTCAAGTGATATTGGCTCTCAGCGCACTCGACAGAAGAAGAGGATAAAGGAATTGAGTTTCAGCCACAAACTTAAATTTTCTAATCCTTATATATTGGCAACCTAATGGTGGAAACCCTTGATATTTCAAACTTAGGCTATTTGATCTAACAGAATTTATAGTTTGAAATATCTAACGTCTACGAAATTGGATTGCAAAGATATTAGAAAATCAGAGTTTGTGACAAAGACTCAATTCCTTTCTGGGACATTATTGGTACGACTTTGGACCTCATGGCTTATCAAGGCTTGATTTTACGCACAAGTACATATGAGGAAAGCAAAGGAATTGAGTCTTTGCCACAAATTCAAAAATTTTAATGCCTACATCTTTGCGACCTGGTGTTGTAAACCTTGATATTTTAAACTTAGTTTAATTAATCCAACATAATTCGAGTTGGAAATATTTACGGTATTAACATTAAATATTACTTCTTTGGTATTCTCGCTAATTTTCATAAAAATGTTTAAACTTTTACTAAAAACCTAAAGCAGCGTAGAATGAAAACACAACAGGGATTAAACGAAGACATGTTATTCTCAATAAAATATTTGTTTTCTTTAGATCAGCATTAAAGGAAAGGTTGGCGAAAACTAGAGATGAATTGCCCCAGGGGTTGATGAGAGAGGTTTTAGAAACATATAAACCAAACCTGCTCACTAGAAGAAGAAGGTTAGTTTTATCCCGTATCATCTATATATATATAATATGTATGTTGTTTGAACCTCTTGATCGCTTCAGCCGTTTTGACGTGAAAGCGGCTGAACTGATCAATATATATATATACTTGCTGAAGGGCCAGGCGTTCCCCGTGGAAAAAAAATGTTGAAAAAAATGTAGAATTTTTTTATAGTCTATAACACCCCCCGGCCACCCATGAGTGTCCACAAAAAAATTCAGCCCAATCGGTCCAGCCGTTTGGCGGCTTTACGCAACATATAAATATACGAATGTTTTGTTTTATAATAAAGATGTTTTGTTCTGAAAGATTTCTTAGAAATGTTGAAATTTGAAAATTGATAATTTATAGATTTATAAATATTAAAAATCATTACGAAATTTAAATTTTTTATTTGTTACATCATTGATTCTAAATTTTTATGAATGTTAATCACTTTTTATTTAAAAAGAATTCCCGGATTTCAGTAAATATAAAAAAAAGAAGGCTTAGAACAGACCGGGGGGATTAAAGGTACTGAATTTGCGTCACAACAAGATACAATCCGCAAAGTGAGGAAAGGAGATTTGTATTTTGAGAACATTTGAAAAATTTGAAAATGTGCCCTCAAAATGCCATTTCGAATTCGTTCGTTTTACATAAAAGAAAAAAATCTTTGAAATTACGTTATTGTTGAACTCAGAGACAGACTTATTGCCTGTTTTTGACATAGCTTAACTTCAGACTAACATTAGAATCAAAAGAGAATGAAAATTGTTTTCTGCAAAAAGCATAAAACAAATTTTATATCCTATAGTTGAGTCTGACTACAGGCCGGAGGTTCAATTTCAGGTTTCTCATTCTTCAAGTTTTATGAGGGGAAACTATTTTACAGCGTAAAAGATAGGCATAAACATGAGGCAGAAATTGAAAGTCCAGATCGAATTTAAGTTCGGTTCTTGTCGCTAAATCTGTTAAAAACTTAACTTAAGTTGGGTCGTCAACTCAAAACTGGTCTCATCAACCTAAACTCTGTGACGAAAATCTTGGTTTAAAGGGAGTGTTCACTAAATAAAGGGGTTAAATGATAGACCAAAATGAATTATTTTAGCTCTATTTAATACTTAAGAGAATTTAATATACCAGCTGTTCAGTGTTCAGTGTTCATTGGACCTTCAAATTATTCAGTCTAAAGATTTCCAAGAAATTATGTATGCCAAAGTTTAAAGTATTACCGATCCATTCACTTTGACTTTAAACCCCTTTTATTTTCGCGAGAATTCCCTTTGCCATGGATTTACCCTTTGCATGGATTTTATTTACAACCTTTAAAAGTTTTATTATAGACTGCAAGAATTTAAAACTTGAAACGTTTAAATATAACCATAGATAAATAAATAAACATAGATAGCTTATGTACGCAAAATCACCAAGAATTGTACAGTCCGCGAACTCATACTTCTAGGGGTCAAAGTGTACTTCAATGATAAGCGGGGTGGTTTGGTGTTTTAATTTAACCATTTGAACAACAATATTTCACTGAGCAATACATCATATTGACGAGAACTGAAGAAGGACATGAGAAGGATTAAGCTAACTTAAATTTCTCTCTACAGAACTCATGTACACCACAAGTACTCAATGACATAAGAATAGCCAATGTTCTCAACCGACCTAGTTAATCTATATAATAGGAATATCTTTAAAAGATCTCTTTACGTTTATATCTTTCAAGATGAAAAATGTCGTCTTATGCGCAATCTATCTTTATCTATGAATATAACCTGTAAGCGGTTGTATTTTCCGGATTATTTCCCCCTTCCTTCAAGATAAAATCCATGAAAATTGCAACGTTTCAATCTATTATTTTCTTTAACTATACCAGAGGTTGAGTCATGCATTGATATTTAATTGTATATTAATATCAGGCGTTTTTTTGGCACGATTCCATGATTTGTAAACTAATTTATTTACAATATATATATATATAATGCAAATGCTATATATATATATATTATAATTACAAGCTGAAGTGCCCGGCGTTGTCCGTGGAATTAAAAAAGATTTGAATTTTAACGATTTTTGTAGCCTATCCACCCTCAGGGTACCATGGGTTCACTTTTAAAAATCAGCCAATTTGGTCTAGCCGTTTGGCCAGCTATAGCTAACATAAAAGTATTTGGATATGAGCGAAGAGCTTTATTATTCATTTATTGTAAGTAAATATTATTTAGCGATACATACCTTTTAAAATAAGTTGCAGGATTATTTAGATGAAAATGTATAGTATCTTATATTATATAAAGTTTGGGTTTTGATCCTAAATTCTCATGTGTCTAGTTTTTCTAGAAATAATGCTTATTCTCAAAAATGATTAAACATGACAAAAAATCGAAAAAAATGCGTTAGTTAAAATTAAAAGGCATGATAAATTAACAAATTAACTAAGTTCTTGCCACAAACTCTAATTTTCTAATCCCAATATCTTTGCAACCTAATGTTGTAGAACTTTGACATTTTAAACTATAAATTCTATTATACCATATAATTTAAGTTTGAAATATTAAAGGTTAGCATCATCAGATTTCAAAGATATAGGGATAAAAATTTGGGTTTGTGGCAAAAACTCAGATTCTTTACAAAAACTATTTACACAAAACTAATTCAATATTTATATCATTCATTGATTCAACCCATTTATGATTTACAAAAACACGAAGTGTCAACATTTTCTTATTTACTAATTTTATTGATTTATATGATATATATCTATACATTCTTTGCTTGTTTGTCTGTTTGTTTGTAGCCAATAAACGTCAAAACGGCTGAACCGATCGGGCCCACTTTTTGTGTGGGACCTCACATGACCCCAGGGAAGGTTTGAGGATGATCAAAATTTAAAAGATTGTTCCCATAAATTTAGAAAATCCCAAAATTTTTTTATAAAATCCGCGAAATTTTTTGTTATTTTTTTATATTTTACAAAGAGCAGATGCTCACTGCAGATAGAGCCACCATTAAAAGCTTATATTGAAGATGGCGCGAAGCGCCCTAAAGCCTAGTATATAATAATGATGTTTTTAAGAAGTTGTAAAATGGAAAAAGCTGGTATTATTATACTGAATAATGAATACTAAAATACTATTTCAATAGTTTTGCTTAAATAGATTCAAGATGTGGCAGTTGCGTGTGTTCAATTAATATTCTTTTACAGATGCAATAATGTTCTACGAACTCTGTTTTTTTTAATTGTTGGACATGAAAAGATTTAACTAAAGTTAAAAACTTTGTTTTGAATCTTTATTTTTAGGGCTATAAAATAGAAAAAGAGTCAGAAAGATAAGACAAAAAGTCGGTCCATGTTTTAATATTTAGTAAAATAAGAAATTGAGTTTTTGTCACAAACTCTAATTTTCATATCATATATCTTTTAACCTGATGGTCATGTAAACTTTGAATATTTGATCTCGCCGAATTCATAGTTTGAAATATCAAAGTTCTACGACATTATAGGTTACAAAATTTGAGTTTGTAGCCGAAAACTGAATTATTTTTTTGTCATTGTACACAGCTGTGAGAGAGCTCCCCAATAAAACTTTTTTGGGTTTGTGCTAAGCGGTCAAAAGTAAAAACCTGCAATTTTTTAAAACTTTCTCCCCACACCGAGTAACCATTATTCAAAAATATTTTATTTAATAATTATCTTTGCATCTATATATCTATATATATATGCATCTTTGTTTTCTGTTTGTTTGTTTGTCAGATCATAACTTATGAACCCGTTGATCTTTATACCCTAAATAATTTGGTAATTCGTTAGAACTGTTTTTGTTTTAGTTTTGTTCCCAAGCTGGTGTTTATATTTTATCATTTTATCCTGCAGATTGATCGAGGATTGTGTGAGAGATCTTCTATTAAACAACGATCATATCCATGTAGTAGAGCAACAGATGAGACAAGCTATCAAATTCGGACTTCAGGTTAGACAGTCAGAACTTTTTGGGAAGATACATGCTAGTAAATATATAACTGCTCAGAGCTCGTGTGCTGGATACCCTTATCCCGTTGACTCAATCTAAATACCCACTGTGGAGTGTGCGGACACATTTGATTTTCTGCTTTATTCTCTCTATTAGATGTCTCTGCTGCAGGTTCCGACTAATTAGAGTTCTCTCATTGGTCGCGCGCAAAATGTCATGGCTTCTGATTGGCTGTTCGGTTTTTGCAAACGACACTTTGATTGGTTAAATTTTAGAATTGGATATTGAATAAGATAATTTAATCTGCAGATTAAAAGAGCAGTCTAAGCATTTGTCTCAATATCCTTAATACAAGAGTTTCCAGCTAAGGCTATGTTTTGTTTATATTCCTCCCAGAAACTGAAGTACACTAATTTGTAAACAGAGATATTGGGTGTAATCTTCCTTAGACAATAGATTTGAGGTTTTGAATTATATTTTGTTATTAAGAGATTTCAAGGATAAAAAACAGATCTGCAGCTATGCATGACTTTACACTTTTTATTCCAACTTATAGCTTATGGAAGGAAATTACTATGGGCCATAAACTCAAATTCTATATATGGATTCACAACGGTACCCTTTTACCCCTGTATCTAGCTGAGTCACAATTAGAAAGATATAGCTGTTTTTCTATGTTGAAAATTTTATAATTCTGAACCTTTCCTGCGTTGTCTCTGAAATATAGTTACGGAATTTACTTTTTTAGAGAAAACAACTATTTAAAAAAAAAATCAGTTTTTGGTTGAAAAAAAAAGGACATCTCATTCATTATTGATAGAACACAGGTTCTATGGGTACGGTTGTGAATTGTTTATGTCACTCTAGAAATGAAGAATCAATTGAAATTAAGTTTCCAGCCCTTTAATATTGTATTCTATATCAGTCCCTTAAATATTGTATTCTATATCAGTCCCTTGAATATTGTATTCTATATCAGTCCCTTTAATATTGTATTCTATATCAGTCCCTTTAATATTGTATTCTATATCAGTCCCTTTAATATTGTATTCTATACCAGTCCCTTTAATATTGTATTCTATACCAGTCCCTTTAATATTGTATTCTATATCAGAAAGCAACCCACGATGATGCCAGTGTGAAATGTTTCCCCACCTATGTCCGCGAACTCCCGAACGGAAGTGAGCACGGGAAGTTCCTCTCTCTTGATCTCGGAGGAACCAACTTCAGGGTCATCTTCATGGAGCTGACGGAGTCGAAGGAGTTTATGATGGACAGTAAGATCTATGCAATCCCCCAGGATGTGATGACCGGTCCTGGTTTACAACTATTCGATCATATTGCAGAGTAAGTGTGACTGAGGAATTGGATATTTTGACCTGTTAGAAAATGATTTTCGACCATTGTATGAAAAATATTTTTATCGACAAAGATATGTTTGTTATGCATAACATTTTTGAGGAAAAATATAGAAGACGTTTTACCACGCATCTAAAACAAAATATAATCCATTCAAACTAAAAAGAAAGATGTCACCCTTGCAAGAAAAATAATTTCTAAGTTAATTTTTTTTTATTTTTGCATGAAACAAATTTTACATTGCAAAAACTGATTAGTTATTGAAAAATAATTGTATCCCATGGGGAACATTGGAATATTATTAAAAGTTTAATTATTACAGTTTTTTTATTTCTTGAAACTTCACTTGTGAAATCTAAGAATATGTTAAAGATATTGAAAACTAATTAACATTTTGTTGTAAGGATTAATAATTTGTCGGATAGAAAGCAGAAATTGCATTTTTCAACTGTTAATTCTGTAAAAGTTAAACTAATTGCAAAATCAGCAGAACATTAATCATTCTGCCGGGATTCAGTACCCCCCCCCCTTCTTACTAGCAAAATATTTTATAATTAGGAAGGATGGGGTAAGGGTTAAGCATCCCTTTCCCGTCCTTTTCCTTCTCATACTTTTCCAAGTAGGAATGAGGTGGTAGGTGTTCAGCCCCCCGTTCCCGTCCACTTCCTTCTCAAACTTGCAAAAGGGGGTGCTAGGGGATACGACCTCCCCATTCTCCCCCATTCCTTTTCACTTGCAAAATATGTATGCGGTGGCAGGGTCAGCCCCCCCCCCCCGCAACTTTATGCACATATTTAGAACCCAAATATTATTCAGGTGTTTGTCCAACTTTGTTCATGATCGTGGACTAGAGAAGGAGAGTTTACCCCTAGGTTTCACCTTCTCCTTCCCCCTGGAGCAGCAGGGTCTAGCTCAAGCTATCCTGGTAACCTGGACCAAAGGGTTCAGCTGTGAAGGAGTGGAGGGAACAGATGTTGTCGATCATCTTCAGAAAGCTTTGGCTAGGAGAGGAGATGTAAAGATAGAAGTGTGTGCTATACTTAATGACACAACAGGATGTCTCATGAGGTAGAATTTTAAAAAAATAAAATAATAAAAAATGTAGTTTTTGCATTGACATTCGATATGAATAAAATGGTTGATGTATCTGTATTCTAGTTGTGCCTGGAAGGATAGTAGGTGTAGGATTGGTCTAATCCTAGGAACTGGAACTAATGCCTGCTACCTAGAGGATATCAAGAATATAGAGAACCTAGACCCAAATATGTTCCCGGGCCAGGACCATATGGTTGTTAATACTGAGTGGGGAGCATTCGGAGACAATGGAGAACTAGATTTCGTCCGAACCAAGTGGGATAAGGCTGTTGACGAGATGTCAGTTAATCCGGGAAAACAGATTTTTGAGAAAATGATAAGTGGTAAGTTATTTGGTTTTAAAAATTTTATCACAAAATATGAAAACTTGTATTCCAGGAATGTATATGGGTGAGTTGATCCGTCAGGTTCTAGTGGATCTTATGAAGGATGATCTCATCTTTGTTGGAGCAGAGAGAGATAAGATCCTGGAGCGAGGAAGTTTCTTCACGAGGTTTGCATCCGAGATAGAATCTGATCCAGTAGGAGAGTATACCAGGGCTAGACAAGCATTAGAGGAGGTTGGGTTGGATTCTGATGATATATCTGATGATGATTGCTCGGCCCTCAGGTACCCGAACCCTGCCAACAATATACCCTTTTTTCTGAGAATGTTTTTCTCCAGATTTCTAATTAATTTCTATAATTTCAAAACTCTTTCATATCTATATTTTACATTTACAGCTGTAGACTAATAAACATGATACTTATCGTCTTAAAACAAGTTTTTTTCTTCATATTTTTGATATTTCAATCTACGACTTTTTGATTAACAGAATTAATAGTAATGTGTAGTTATTAGAAATTTAGTGAAAAAGAAAATCCATTAAACTAGAGAAAAATATTCACAAAAAATTGCTTGCTTGCGATCAAAATTTGTATTAGTAAGTTTGAACGTAAATTGTTTTACCCCGGAATCCGGATCATAAAAAATTCCGGGTCAAATTGTTGCCCCTTTCTGTCAAAAAAAAATTATCACTGATAATAATATTTTTGGTAAAGACATTTTTACAGCTAACCTATGGATGTTTAAAAACCAGCAATTTTATAACAAGCCTAGACTTGAATTTCTAGGTTTGTATGTGAGTCGGTTAGCCGGCGTGCTAGTATGATGGCTAGTGCAGGGATCACTGCTTTACTCAAGAAGATGGATTACAAGGATGTTGTAATTGCTATCGATGGATCATTGTTCAGGTTCAACATTTTTAAATAATAAAAAAAATTTAAAGCATATAAAATAAAAGCACTCAATATAAAAAATAAAAGCTCTTTCATTGGAATTAGATATCGTCTTTGATCCACGGGGCATTTATTCATGAAGACAAAGTAGAATTCCAACTAAAACAATTGCTAACGGAATCTTCTTGTTTTGGGATTTCCAAATTGTGTTTTGCGACTTTTATCCATATAACAGGAAATATGTATATTGTGAACGCAAACCAAAACAGGGTTTCCCCCAAAAAAACATTACAATTAGAACGGAGGTATAGTAAAAAAGGAACTGAGATTTTGCCACAAACTCAAATTTTTAAAATCCCTATGTCTTTACAACCTGTTGGTGTAAAACTTTGATATTCTCAAACTTAGTCTATTTGATTCAACAGATTTCATAGTTTGAACTATTAAAGGTCTACTATATCGAGTTTTAAAGATATAAGAATAACAACATCTGAGTTTGTGTAAGACACGATTCTTAAAATCAAACGCATACATGTTGTATATACACTCTTTAGCTTTTCAGAGTTAGTTAAAAAAGATGGTTGGTCCTGATATTGTCTCCTGATTTTTTTGGACACTCATATCTTAGATTTTTATTATTAAATTATGTTTTTAGATTCCATCCGCATTTCAAGAACGTGATGCAGAGCAGAATTTCTCAGATGATGGGAGTTAATTATAAGTTTGATCTTCTCCTTTCTGAGGACGGATCTGGACGCGGAGCAGCTCTAGTAGCTGCAGTTCTTAAACGAGGAAAGAACTAGAGGTTCAGTTGAACGTATTAGTTAAAAGTATTATTAGATTTCATTTATGTCCAGATAGGTTTAGACAATTTAACTGTTGTAGAGAGTGTTTACATAGATTAATTAACAATAATAGATTGGACACTGCATGTAGTCTTTTTTAGATTTAGAGGTTTCACGTTCACAATAACCATGAGGCAGAAGCCCATAGGAGTTCCACGCAGGCAGCATTGAATAACAAGACAGAAAGGAGCATGCGCTGCCTGCGCTTCTGCCTCAGGGTTATTGTGAACGAAAAACCTCTAAATCTTAAAAGACTACATGTAGTGTCCAATCTGTTATTGTTAATTAATCTATGGCTGTACGGTTGTGCAGCTGTACCTGTACATCTTTAAAGCTGTACACTCTCTCTGTTGTTTATCATGTACACAATAAAGTGTAATTTGTTAAAAATATCGAGTAGTAATATTATTAAAATAAGTTTGAGATTAAAAATTAAATATATTTTGCGCTAAATCGTCTTCCTTTTTCTACCAAAAGTAAACATAATATTGTATAACTTAATATAGTCCCATCACATACAATATACATGGTTTTATTAAGTCAGGGATACGTTATAAATTTTACAGCACACATTTTTAACATTAAACTACGTAGTAAAACTTGTCATTACAATGAATAAATAGATAATTTTGTCATTCTAAGGTATTTACCAAATTAGTTTTATTATCTGACATGTTATTATACACGTCAATTACATTTTCTCGGAATAAGTCCCCGGTTCTTAATTCTTTGATAAAAACACGTTGCACTTTGTACTCAAAACTCTACATTTATTCAATTTAAAGAAAACAAAAATTTTCGATTCAAGCATTTTATAAATTAAATTATATTGATACGCAATCAACATGGCGTGAATGGTACCATATCAGACATTATCTAGTTCAGCAAATAAAAAGACCTAGATATAGGTATATCATTTAAACAATATATAATAAATCCAAAAAGAAAATGTTTATGTGGAGAATTAATTTTCTGTCAATTCAAAAATAACAAAGCTTAACTTGTTGTTCAAGAGTTCACACTTTTTCAAGAACCCCTTAGCGTACTTTTCAATAACCTTGAAAATGTTCACAGATTTTCTAAAAACTAAGTTCTTCAAAGTTTTCTCCAATTTAGTTTTAAGATCCTGAGATTTAAGATAACATAGACTCCTGGATCCAGTTCGTATAGTAGTTGACCTGAAATATAGATAAGATTAAAAAGATTTATTAGATAAAACAAATAAGATAAGTCGGACAAAGTGTGAAAAACATAGAATTTTTAGATAAAATGAAAAAAATTTGAGATGTTATTTCTATGAAATGTTTCTTTTACAGTTCCTCTAATACTCAGATATTGATAAAAATAAAGTATCTATCTATAGTTCGTCAATATATTCATTAGAACTTATGTTTAGCACGTTTATCTAAAGAATGAAATATGCTTACAATACCTTGACATAAACTCCTGGAACATGTTTCTGTCCGCATCCTATTCCCCAGGACACTAAACCTGCCAGGTTCCAAACTCCTCCAGCAGTTTCACAAACTAGAGGACTCCCTCCATCCCCCTTACAGGAGTCCTTTCCCTCCTCTCCACCAGCACAGATAAACCCTAGGATATAATCATTAACCTGGTTTCTTGGTTATATCTGTTATATTTGGTTACACCAAGTTCCCCGATCTCAATTTGAGGCAAATTGGTCCAGGGGGTTCGTTAGCTATGATCTGACATTCAATCAAACAGAAAAACCAAGATCACCTAACATATATAGGTATCTAGATAAAAATTATATCTCGATTCAAAGTATACCTGGATACAAAATATACATTGATCCAAAATATAATATGATACAAAGTATACCTGCATATAACAAAATATACCTTGAAACTAAGTCTACCTTGATGCAAAATGTACCTGGATACAAATTAGACCTGAATACAAAGTACACCTACATCCAAAGTAGACCTTAATCCAAAGTATACCTGAGCTGAAAACTTTAGAATGGTGGATATCGGGATTAATGCTTAATCCACTCTTTTTCTTTATCTCGAGATTAAATATTGCTTGTTCTCCTCTCATTTTTAATCTCCAGATTAATTATCCGATCAGGATTAAGGATATCCCATTCAAAAGTTTTCAGCTCTGGATAAAAAGTAGACCTGGATACAAAGTAGACCTGGATACAAATTAGACCTGGATACAAAGTAGACCTGGATACAAAGTAGACCTACATCCAAAGTCATCCAAAGAAGACCTTAATCCAAAGTAGACCTGGATACAAAGTAGACCTTGATACAAAGTAGCCCTTGATACAAAGTAGACCTACATCCAAAGTAGACCTACATCCAAAGTACACCTTAATCCAAAGTAGACCTGGATACAAAGTAGACCTGGATAAAAAGTAGACCTGAATACAAATTAGACCTGGATAAAAAGTAGACCTACATCCAAAGTAGACCTTAATACAAAGTAGACCTGGATAAAAAGTGTACCTGGATTCAAAGTAGACCTGGATACAAAGTAGACCTGGATACAAAGTAGACCTGGATACAAAGTAGACCTACATCCAAAGTAGACCTAAATCCAAAGTAGACCTTAATCCAAAGTAGACCTGGATACAAAGTAGACCTACATCAAAAGTAGACCTTAATTCAAAGTAGACTTGGATACAAAGTAGACCTGGATAAAAAGTAAACATGGATACAAAGTAGACCTGGATACAAAGTAGACCTGGATACAAAGTAAACCTGGATACAAAGTATACCTGGATACAAAATAGACCTGCATACAAAATATATCTGGATACAAAGTATACTTGGATACAAAGTATACTTGGATACAAAGTATATCTGGATACAAAGTATACCTGGATACAAAGTATACCTGGATACAAAGTATACCTGGATGCAAAGTGTACCTGGATACAAAGTTTATCTGGATACAAAGTATACCTGGATGCAAAGTGTACCTGGATACAAAGTTTATCTGGATACAAAGTGTACCTGGATGCAAAGTGTACCCGGATACAAAGTTTATCTGGATGCAAAGTGTATCTGGGTACAAAGTAGAAATGGATACAAAGTATACCTGGATACAAAGTATACCTGGATACAAAGTAGAACTGGATACAAAGTAGACCTGGATACAAAGTAGACCTGGATACAAAGTAGAACTGGATACAAAGTAGACCTGGATACAAAGCTGGATACAAAGTAGACCTGGATACAAAGTAGAACTGGATACAAAGTAGACCTGGATACAAAGTGTACCTGGATGAAGGAAGAAGTCTGGTCCAAGCCTGGTTCTCTGAAGTTTGGATTGACAATCTCTTGAATCTAGAACAGGTACATCAACTTCCTTGAGAAGATGTTGATAGTTTCCTCCGTCTCCAAAAGTATCTTTTCCCCACCCAGACACAAAACAACGGTAGTTTGTAAACTCCTAAATAAACAAGGTTTAGAAAATATCAGAATTGTTTTAAGAAATTTAAATGGAAAAAGTATTAAAGAAGATCTGAATTAAAGTTAAAATTTTAACTCGTGATGATCAAAATATAAATATAATATAATACCCTGGAGGATTATGGGGAAGGATTAAGGAACAATTAATTGAGAATAAGAGTATTTAGAAAAGAGAATGGAGGATCGAGAATTAGAGACTTAGGGATTAATATGAAAAAAAGGATTGAGAAATAGTGGATTAGGGAATAATATTAAGGGACAAAGGATATTGAGAAATAGTACATTAGGGATTAATATGAAGGGGCAAGGAAATTGAGAAATAGTGGATTAGGGATTAATATAAAGGGGTAAGGGGATTGAGAAATAGTGGATTAATGGATTAATATGAAGGGACAAAGGATATTGAGAAATAGTGGAAAAGGGATTAATATGAAGGGACAAAGGATATTGAGAAATAGTGGATTAGGGATTAATATGAAAGGACAAAGGATATATTGAGAAATAAAGGATTGGGGATTACTATGAATAGTCAATGATATTAAGAATGAGTGGATTAGGGATTAATATGATGTGACTAGGGAAATTGAGAAATAGAGAATTAGGGATCAATATTATGGGGCAAGAAAAATTGAGAAATAGTGGATTAGGGATTAATATGAAGGGACAAATAATATTGAGAAATAGTGGATTAGTGATTAATATGAAGGGACAAAGGATATTGAGAAATAGTTGATAAGGGATTAATATGAAGGGACAAATGATATTGAGAAATAGTGGATTAGGGATTGATATGAAGGGACAAAGGATATTGAGAAATAGTTGATTAGAGATTAATATGAAGGGAAAAAGGATATTGAAAAATAGTGGATTAGGGATTAATATGAAGGGACAAATGATATTGATAAGTAGTGGATTAGGGATTAATATGATGGGACAAATGATATTGTGAAATAGTGGATTAGGGATTAATATGAAGGAACAAATAATATTGTGAAATAGTGCCTTAGGGATTTCTAGGAAGGGTCAAGGATATTGCAAGAATGAGAGGATAAGGGATGAATACGACGGGTCAAAAGAATGAGAGGATTAGGGATGATGATAAAGTAATGTTGGGATGAGGATGAAGAGACAACGGAAATAAAGAATGAGAGGAATAGGAATGAGAATGATGTATTGTCTGTCTGGAAACGGCGATATGTGTTCTGTATTCTACTTGGAACTAGAGAAATGTGTACTGTATTCTACCTTGAACTAAAGATATGCGAACTGTATTCTACCTTGAACTAAAGATATGCGTACTGTATTCTACCTTGAACTGGAGATATTTGTACTGTATTCTACCTGGAACTGGAGATATGTGAACCATGTATTCTACCTGGAAGTGGAGATATAAGTAATGTATTCTACCTGGAACCAGGGAGATATGTGTACTGTATTTTACATGGAACTGGAGATATGTATATTGTATTCTTCCTAGAACTAAAGTATCCTGAAGAATGCCTAGCATGAAACATGATGTCGATGTTCTGTGTTCTACCAGAAACTGGTGATATGCCTACTGCATTCTACCTGGAACTGGAGATATGTGAGCTGTATTCTACCTGGAAATAGAGATATGTGAACTGTATTCTACCTGAAACTAGAGATATGTGTACTATATTCTACCTGGAATTGGAGATATGTGTACTATATTCTACCTGGAATTGGAGATATGTGTACTATATGCTCCCTGTAATTGGAGAATGTGTACTGTATTCTACCTGGAACTGGAGATATGTGTGCTGTATTATACCTAGAACAAAAGATACGTGTACTTTATTCTACCTGGAACTGGATATATGTGAACTGTATTATACCTGGAACTGGAGATATGTGTACTATATTCTACCTGGAATTGGAGATATGTTTACTGTATTCTACCTGGAACTAGAGAAATGTGAACTGTATTCTACCTGGAACTAGAGATATGTGTACTGTATACTAGCTGAAACTGGAGTTACGTGTACTGTATTCTACCTGGAACGGATCTGGAAGACAAACTGGAGATATGTGAGGGTTCCGGAGAAAGTCTATGAACCCGTCAAGTTTTATGATCGCAATATCGTTGTATAGATTCCCTGAACAAAAATAAGATTTCAACCTTTATATTATTTTTAAAATTAATAAAAGGATTGCATTTTCAAACTTAATTAAGTTTTTCTTTATAAAGATATGAACATAGTAGTTTTTTATTTAAAATAACTGAACAGTTGAAGTGTTGTTTTTAAAAATCTTATTTTCCTGGAGTGTACTCAGGGTGTACTCGAATACTGAGAACATCTAACTCTAGGTTTGGATAGAACTCACTGTCATTGTTTACATCCCATTCTCCCAACCTTACTCTCAGTTGTTCAGATCTAAACCATAATAATTTACATATTAGTCATATTTTTAAAATTAGAATAATTTGATAATAAAAATGAAATTTGCCTGTACTGTATGATACAATGAGCTGCTGTTAGAAGATGAGAGTTATCTATTAATGATCCTCCGCATACATAAACATTATCATATTCTTCCTTCTTCAATAGAGCAGCTTGCCAGGGATACTCTCCTGTACATAAACATTATAATATTCTTCCTTCTTCAATAGAGCAGCTTGCCAGGGAAACTCTCCTGTACATAAACATTATCATATTCTTCCTTCTTCAATAGAGCAGCTTTCCAGGGATACTCTCCTGTACATAAACATTATAATATTCTTCCTTCTTCAATAGAGCAGCTTGCCAGGGATACTCTCCTGTACATAAACATTATCATATTCTTCCTTCTTCAATAGAGCAGCTTTCCAGGGATACTCTCCTGTACATAAACATTATCATATTCTTCCTTCTTCAATAGAGCAGCTTGCCAGGGATACTCTCCTGTACATAAACAGTTTATTTTCCTGCGCATATTGTACTTAGGGTACTCTATTGTACATATAATGTTTATTCTTCTGTACGATATTTTGTAAACAGTGCACATTTATAAATATAAATGAGGACTTTTCAAAAGCAAAATATTGTCAAAATTAAGACGACATTGAATTTATATTACCATTCCAGTTTAAAGGCAATGGAGGATTAAATATGAAAACAACGCGTCAACTTTATTCAAAATATAAAAATGAATAATGAAGCAAACATTTATTTGAAAAAAAAGGTTGTTTTAAATTTTACTCTGCTGTAGTAAACTTAAAAATAAAACAGACAATTTTATTCTCTTATGCGGCCGCCCAACCCATGCACCTATACTTTACTTTACTTTTACACATATTTCTTTAATTTCAACGTAAGCACATTTTTCAGTTTTCCAGTACATTTTCCAGTACATTTTCCAGTACATTTTCTAGTACATTTTCCAGTACATTTTCTAGTACATTTTCCAGTACATTTTCCAGTACATTTTCTAGTACATTTTCCAGTATATTTTCTAGTATATTTTCCAGTACATTTTCCAGTACATTTTCCAGTACATTTTCTAGTTCATTTTCCAGTATATTTTCCAGTACATTTTCCAGTACATTTTCCAGTACATTTTCCAGTACCCATTGACATTTTTTTGACAATGGAATTGGCATTACTAACCTCAAACTATTTTTAATCCCTCTCTCTGAAAATTTAAACCTTTGATATTTCCAACTTTGATCTTGGAGAATTGTACAGGGCGAACCAGCAAACTGTGGAATTGGAAGACGAATTTTAGATCCAATTTTTGACTTACTAGGTAGTCCAACCATATCACTCTTTAATTGTGATTTTAAAGCTATTAGTAAAAACACTAAATACACTTAAATATTCCTTCCATATCGTCTTCATCGTTCACAGTTTTCAGGCTTTTATTATATAGTTCCTCTACATTTTATTATATAGTTCCTCTACATTTTATTATATAGTTCCTCTACATTTATTATATAGTTCCTCTACATTTTATTTTATTGTTCCTCTACATTTTATTATATAGTTCCACTACATTTTATTATATAGTTCCTCTACATTTTATTATATAGTTCCACTACATTTTATTATATAGTTCCTCTACATTTTGAAGCTGGATAGATAAATCAACAAAATATTAGGAATTGGAGTCCAATCAATTTCTTTTAATTCATATATGTTTGTTAAATGAATATATATATATATATATATATATATGTGTATATGTTTGTTAAATGAATGGTGGATCGGAGGGTTTTACGAAATTATCCATTTTCCCTGGTCGGCTGGTATTGTAAGAACTTTAATTAAGATTTCGTTTAATTGCATTGCAAGTAATTAGGTCTTTTCAAGCACTCTATTACAGATAAAATCAACCCTCTATTCATTTATTAACCGTAATATATTGAATTTGACCAAACAAAATAGTAAAGGTTGATTATAAATCAACCTTAACTAATTCTATATATTATGGTTTAAATAAAATTAACTGAATCATATTATTTTAATCGTGGAAACCCATATTTTTTTATTTTTCATATTGATCAAAATTAGCATTATATCTGTTGTTTAAAAGAGATATGAAAAAATCTTCTTCAATTATGTTTAATCGAAAGATATCAACTTTCACTCAATAGAACACTATAACACAACAAATCTATGAAATTTCGATATTTCAAATTAAAATAACTCCGACCCAAGTTGTTGCAAAAATCTAAAGTTTCGATTTTAGTCATTCTTAATCATAAGTTTTTAAAAATGATAATCGATAATTCGAGAACGTGTTGCTGATTATGCAGCAAGTATTAATCATATCTAGTGGCATCCTTGAGGAAAAGTGGGTAAAGGATTTGAGACTTTGTAACAAACTCTAGTCTTTGTATTGTCCCAACTCTAGTCCTTGTATTGTCCCAACTCTAGTCCTTGTATTGTCCCAACTCTAGTCCTTGTATTGTCCCAACTCTAGTCCTTGTATTGTCCCAACTCTAGTCCTTGTATTGTCCCAACTCTAGTCCTTGTATTGTCCCAACTCTAGTCCTTGTATTGTCCCAACTCTAGTCCTTGTATTGTCCCAACTCTAGTCCTTGTATTGTCCCAACTCTAGTCCTTGTATTGTCCCAACTCTAGTCCTTGTATTGTCCCAACTCTAGTCCTTGTATTGTCCCAACTCTAGTCCTTGTATTGTCCCAACTCTAGTCCTTGTATTGTCCCAACTCTAGTCCTTGTATTGTCCCAACTCTAGTCCTTGTATTGTCCCAACTCTAGTCCTTGTATTGTCCCAACTCTAGTCCTTGTATTGTCCCAACTCTAGTCCTTGTATTGTCCCAACTCTAGTCCTTGTATTGTCCCAACTCTCCCAACCAAACGTCGTAGACTTTAGAGAAATCAAACTATGAAATATGTTATCTTAACTTATCTAAGTTTGAAATATTAAATGTTAGGTCGCTAAGATATTGGAATTCGAAAATTTAAGTTTGTGGCAAAAAGTCATTTCCTTTTGTATATTCCAATTAAACAATTCCTTAAAAATTACGTTAGTATTCCCTTTAATGAATAAAAAAAGTGTTAAACATACCGAACTCTGCATCCCCCTCCTGGAACTGAAAACTAGGATTATTTATCCTCTGAGCTGTTGATTGTGCGTTCCTCCGTCCACATTGTCCGAACCTACTGAACCCACCGGACCCGTCCACCTGGAGACAATAGGGTTTACTCCGATCCCGCAAACCACTCCCAACAATTTAGTAGTTTTGTTTAAAGCAGACACAAGAAATAATATTATCAAAGTTAAAAAGGGAAAAATACCTGGTTTGGTTGCTGTCTTGTATCTCTGATTGCTGAGTCTGTGTTGTAGAGTTCATTATAATCAATTCCGTCCTGTATTCTACAGCAAACATAACCTGAGTTTGGTCCTCCACACGTGGGAGGACGGTATCCTGTAGGTCCGAAGGGTTCACCAGCATAAGACCTCTAAAATTTAGAATTGGATCCAGAAAATGTCACATGATTTATATAAATTTAATTTCAAATATTGTTTTTTATATTATTTTTAAAGCTATCGTCTTTTTCCCAAAGTATGATTTTCAAACTATGAATTCTGTTAGATCATCCAAACTATGAATTCTGTTAGATCATCCAAACTATGTTTAAACAATAAAAGTTGTCCACCATCAGGTTGCAAAGATATAGGGATTAGAAAATTTGTTTTGTAGAAAAGACTCTATTCGTTTGTTATTTCTCTACCGAGCATATAATGGAACATATTTTTTGTGATTAAAAACTAAATCAACGGGTTCAAAGATTTCAAACAACAATTTTAAAGATCAATTTGCATTAAAATCTAATTCTAAAAAGATCTCATACCTCCTCTGCAACAATATCTTCTCTTCTCTGGCGAACCTGTCCTACGGAATCATCTCCTAGTCCATCTCTCAGCTCGGAGCTAAACAAAACCCGTTTACAAAATTGTAAATTGTTTGTGTGAACTGAAGTATTCTACTCTAAAGACAAGATTCAATATACAGTAAGGTTTCCTGCTCCTATAACACTCTTCACCACTAGAAACTTTTCAAATATTTCTGAAAGATTTATAAACAATCTCATACACACATACCACCAAACAAATCAACAAACAAACAGTGACACAGAAATGTTTTTGTAATTTAATTCTCAGAGTTTAAATAAAATTGGAAAAACAATTAAACGAGCAGAATACCAAATAAGATTGTGTAGGACGAATCAGTATAGCAAAGAAAATTACTGATTCACTTCATGAATTTAAAGAATTTGTCCAGAGCTGGGAACTTTAGAATGGTGGATATCAGGATTAATGCTTAATCCTCTCTTTTTGCTAATCTCTAGACTAACAAAATCTCGAGATTATGTTTGTCTCGAGATTAAATATTTAGATCAACAAAGGAATTGAGTTTTTTCCAGAAACTCGAATTTTCTAATCTCTGTATCGTTGGAAGCTGATCGTGTAAACCTTTAATATTTCAAACTGATATTATTTGATCTATAACAATTCATAGTTTGAAATATCTAAGGTCTAAAACATTTGGTTGCAAAGATATAGGGAATAGAAAAATTGAGTTTGTGAAAAAGACTCAATTTCTTTGATTCTAGGAACGCCAGATTTGTTGGTTTTCTTGACTGGAAGGACCTTCACTTAATTTCTCACCCATTTCTTTATTAATACAATAGTTATATTGGTTAAAAAAGAATCTTAGACGTATTATTAAATATCTTTCTTCGCCGATTAATTTACAAAATGGCCGACAACAAATTCTTAATTTGTTAGAAATTGCAGATTTCTCTCATGGGATAGAATTTATTTTCAAGGCTGTCATTAATCAATACAATTTACGAACTATTTTGCTGCACTCTCATTGGAGAAAACAATGTACGGATATCCAAAGAGAGAGAAAAAGAGTGGATTAGGGACTAAAATTAAAAGTTTCCACAGTGGATATCCGGATTAAGCAGTCGGGATTTAAGGTTATCCATTATAAAGTTCCCAGCTCTGTACTCTCTTTGAATTCGAACTCTCTTTAAGATAATAAAGCACTGAGGAAAATGTGGGACCTCGTTAAATTACCATAATCCAGCCATAATTAGCTATTAGCGCTAGAATTAGTGTTAGGCTCACAATAGGTTGTTTACACTACACAGGTTTATCATCTAATCCATAGTTTATAAACACATTATGAAATAAATGCAATAATTTTCGGATATACAGATATATTAAAATATTTATAAATTTATGAAAAAAATTATTTCTAAATATAAAAAAATATATTTCTAGATATATGAAAATATATATTCTTGTTTATGTAAATTTAACAACTAAATAACAACTCTTAGTGTTGGATAAAATCAATTTGAATTCGATTTAACATTTCTATACAATATCATTAATCACTCAAATATTCATCATAGATAGTTTCCTCACAGAAACTAAACATGCCTTATCTGATGATCTCCTTTCCAATCCATCTATTCACTCCATTTCCCTTGCTCCTCTATTCTTAATTCTTGATTCTCTTCTCTTGTCCCTCTAATCAACAATAATCCCTCTATTCCCCTCATTTCCTTTGCTCCTCCATTTTTATTTTTCATTCTCTTCTCTAGCCCTGTAGTAAATGCCCTACTTTTAAAACTGCTTTTAGACCCGTATCAATTCAGGTACAACTCGTAAACTTTTAATACCAAACACGGGCGCAATCTCAAAGGCTTCAATGTCAACATGGACAACTGGTACGATCTCAAAGCCTTTAATGTCAACAGGGATACAAGCACGTGAACTAGCAATGCCAAACCAATGGGCACAATCTCAGAGGCTTCAATGTCAACAATCACACATGCACGTAAACTAGCAATGCCAAACCAATAGGCAGGATCTCAGAGGCTTCAATGTCAACAGGGACACACGCACGTAAACTAGCAATGCCAAACCGATGGGCAGGATCTCAGAGGCTTCAATATCAACAGGGACACAAGCACGTAAACTAGCAATGCCAAACCAATGGGCACAATCTCAGAGGCTTCAATGTCAACAGGGACACAAGCACATAAACTAGTAACCAATGGGCACGATCTCAAAGGCTTCAATGTCAACAATCACACAAGCACGTAAACTACTAATGCCAAACCAATGGGCACAATATCAGAGGCTTCAATGTCAACAGGGATACAAGCACATTAACTAGCAATGCTTCCAACTAAATATATTTGATGTTTCTATGTTACAAGTTAAGGTATACAACGTAATTAAGCTAATCATGTTACGTAGTTTTTTTACTGAGTTAAGATAAATCATTCTATGAGTTTTACGTAGCTAGTTACAGTGTGGATAATCAATGATTTACAACGTAATTCAGGTTTACATATATATTGTTACACGATATTTATTACAGTCCCACCAATCAACAATAATCCCTCTATTCCCTCCATTTCCTTTGATGCTCCATTTTTATTTCTTCATCTCTTCTCTAGTCCCTCTAATCAACATTAATCCCTCTATTCCATCCCTTTTCTTTTGATGCTCCATTCTTATTTCTTCATTCTCTTCTCTAGTCAACAATAATCCCTCTATTCCCTCCGTTTCCTTTGATGCTCCATTCTTTTTTCTTCATTCTCTTCTCTATTCCCTCTAGTCAACAATAATCCCTCTATTCCATCCATTTCCCTTGCTCCTCTATTCTTAGTCCTTGATTCTCTTCTCTAGTCCCTCTAATCAACAATAATCCCTCTATTCCATCAATTTCCCTAGCTCCTCTATTCTTAATTCTTGATTCTCTTCTCTAGTCCCTCTAGTCATCAATAATCCCTCTATTCCATCCATTTCTCTTGATCCTCTATTCTTAGTCCTTGATTCTCTTTTCTTGTCTAACTTATCAACACTAATCCACTATTATCATCCCTCTGGTCCTACCTTACCAACCCTATGATCCTCCCTTCCTGTCGTCCTATTACATTCCCTTCTAATCCCCCTGATCCTCCCTTCGTGTCGTCCTATTACATTCCCCTCTAATCCCCCTGATCCTCCCTTCTCAAACCATTGATCCTTTCTTCTCAACCCCCTGATCCTCTCTTTTCAACCCCTGATCCTACCTTTACAACATTATGATCCTCCCTTTACAACACCCGGATCCTACCTTCTCAATCCCCTGATCCTCTTTTCCAATCCCTCTGATCTTCCCCTCTCAACCCCCTGATCCTCCCTTCCCAACCCCCTGTCCTCCCTTCCCAACCCCCGGTCCTCCTTTCCCAACCCCCTGTCCTCCCATCCCAATCCCCCGATCCTCCCTTCCCAAGCCCCTGTCCTCCCTTCTCTACTCTCCATTTCGTACTCCTTGTCCTCCTATTATATTTCCTTCTTAACACCCTGATACTCCCTTCCCAACCCACTTATCCACTTTTCTGTACTCCTATTATATTCCCTTCTCTTTGCCAATTCACATACCCATTTTATTCCATTCTCATGCAATACTTCATTCCCATTCTAATATTTACTTACTTTTCTATGTTTCCTTCTGCAGAAATGTTTGAGTTTGTATTCTTCACCCTTGGATCTATAAGAGAACCATAATCTCGGTTTAGTGCTCCAGGTACAAGGTTTAGTGCTCCAGGTACTAGGTTCTGTACTCTTACCACTAGGTTCCTAGGACACAACGCTGCTGAAACACAATAGCATTCATCAATCCTTCCTTCCCGCACTGATCTTGTCTGCGACGTGAAACTGCTGCTTAGCTCTTGGTTGAATCCATTAGAGTTGGAGGAATCGGAAACAAATGATTGTGTTGCTCCAATACTAGCTTTAGAAGACGAGATTGAACCTAAACTGTATCCAGGACTAGGAGCAGAATATGTTGAACCAACAGCTGGAGCTCGATAAGAGGAGCTAGTAGAGGGCTTTTTGTATACAGGTCGTGCTTTAGGTGTTCCGTAGGACGCAGACGGAGCTCCATAGGATGGACTTGGGGCTCCATAGGATGGACTTGGGGCTCCATAGGATGGAATCGGAGCTCCATATGATGAAGAAGGGGCTCCGTAACTTGATTTAGGAGCGGACAAACTGGATCTTTTATTAGAATATGTAAAGGATGGTATATACTGCTGGTCCAGGGTTAGAGCAGGAACAGGGTCTCCGATAGGAACTACTTGTACAGGTTGAACGTACTTTAAAGAGTCCAACCTGTCTCCGCACTGAAACAAGAATGGATCAGAAAATAATTCTTTTACAAACAAATGAATTGAGTTTAAAGTTTAAACTGTTCTCCTTTCAAGAAATAAATCCTTCAAAAGCAGAGTAAACAGTTCAAACCTATTTAAACATTCGTATTTCCTACAAACACTTCTTTATCCTTTATTAAATACAAGATTCACAGATTAAACAGATGATACATATGTAAACAATTCAAACCTATTTAAAACATTCGTATTTCCTACCAACACTTCTTTATCCTTTATTAAATACAAGATTCACAGATTAAACAGATAATCCATATGTAAAGATGTAGTTGTTGCAATTATTACATTTCATTAATTTCTCCTCGCTATATGTCTGTGGGAGGGTGACTAACGGAGAGGATTTAAGCTAAGAACAAAGATAACCTAGAGAAGAGAAAAAATATCTCTGTTATCGTGTGTATCCTATCTTTTAAACATTGCTTTTACATAAAGAGAAGATAATCCATATATTCAATGTATAGTGTTCAGAGAGCTTCTAAGAGTTGAAATCTATTTTTTTCTCAATATTTTCTGCGTTACATTTTGAGTTTATTTAAATAAATTATTTGAATATGTATAGTCTAGTATCATACTATCATCATTTCAAATGATTCGCTATTGACATGTCAGATTTTTTGATCAAGTATGAATTTGATATCCATTTTTTTTTTGAAACTGATTTTGTTCATTTGTGTAACTTGCGCATTTCTTGTTTCAAAAATATAGGTTTAGACGCCTCAAGCTAGATATATCATCAGAATTAAACACGTTAAAGCTAGAGATATCATCAGAATTAAACACTTGAAAGCTAGAGATATCATCAGAATTAAACACTTGAAAGCTAGAAAAATGACGTTGTATTCAAGATCATTAATGACATGAAGGTTTCAAGGGTACATACCAGATTTTAAATGAAGGGTAACATGATATTACAAATACAGTCCCTTTAATACTTTACAGCTTGAATGTAACCCCCCCCCCCTTCTTGGTTCTATATCTCCTTGGAATGAAGCAAGGTTAAGACTAATGAAGACTGCAATAATTGGGTTGGACAGTCAACGAATGGTTTAGGTTGGATCTCTCTAGTCGCAGAGAACAAATTGTTGGGATCAAATATATATCCTAGTCAACTTCCATTATATAAACAACTAGAAATGCATAAGCATAGTTATTCAACGCTATAGGTTTACTTGCAAAATCATTTTAAAGCTGAAAAAATAATCTAAATTATAAAACCAACTTGTCTAACTTAAATCGTTTACATAGTTTATATCTTTTTATATATTGATTGATATTAAAGTTTAAACCAGGGGACATTTTTTGATGAATATGCTCAAACCTATCTTGCACCAGTCCTAGAGTTTGTTTTTAAATTGAAAGTTTTTCCATAACGTTCAAACTCATTCAGATTTTTTTCTGTGCAAAAAATCGTCAAAGTAAATCAAGATAGGTATCAAAATATCTGATTGAAACACTAAAAGTACAGAAACGTTGAAATCTTAAACTTCTATTAAACATTAAACAAATCATACAAGTAAAAAACGGTTGAAAACGGTTTTAGTCTTTGATCAAACAATTTTTCAAACATTGAAAAACGAAATATTGAAAAATCAACCTATATATGATTCATTTTTTTAAAATATATTTTGTTAATCACTAATTGAGTTATTATTTTTTTCTTTAATGAATATTGATACTTTTTTTTTTGATGGTGCAAAAAGGTTTAATATTTTCTATGAAATAGTTTCACCCTGTTTTATAAACTAGCCTGGGAACACAGCGTTGCCCAAGTAACTCATAGTTACTCCCACCGTTTACCCGCACTTGGTCGTAAATTACGATCTTAGCTACTCAACTAAGAATCTCAAAACCAAGCTAAGAACATCCCCATGGTTCTCCCGAGTTTCTCAATTCGAGGCAAATCAGTCCAGGGGTCCATCAGTTATGATCGGAAATACAAACAAGCAAGCAAACAAACAGAGATTACTACTTTATATTTCTAGATGTCTATTCTTTAAATCTGTATTATCATTTCTTTAGAACTGGTGATTAAGTATGTATTATGGAAGGAAAGTATCTATAGACATAATGTAGCACTTATGAAATTGAATTCTTCGGCCCGTGAATCCTCAAACCATTAAATATTCTTTACTACCATATATACACATACATATACTTAACCATAGACAGAGAGTACATTTACTTCTACTCTCATAAATAATAGTTTTTTTCCTGTTTAACCCCTTTCTTCTAGTTCCAGTTCCTTCTCCCAGGATTAATTTCTTTCCGGAGATAAACAGATGATCAATCCGTTCTTACTCTGTAGTTTGGACAAGTACCTCGAGGCTTCATATTGTAAAAACTAACTTTACTCTTATCTTTTGGAACTCTCAGAATAGAATTTACATTTAAAAGTGATCCTTTATTTCAAAAGCTTTACAACGATGCCCTTTAAAACTTTGTCAGAGAAAAAATGAAGAAGATTTTAATGTTTTTATTCTGAAAATTGATTCTTTTTAATGATGGTCTCCCTGAAAAAGTGAGTTAAATTGAAAGTATTCAACACGTTTCTTCTCTCTCAGTGTGAAGTATACCGTTGTGAATCGGGTTTGCATCTCTTTAATTAAAGGGGTTACTTAAAGGGACTGAAAAGGAAAAATGAAAATTAACTACAGATTACTCAGGGTACTAGATTACTCAGGGTACTAGATTAACTATAGATTACTTAAAGCTAATCACTTTAGCTCTTGATCGCGACCCATGAAAGTTCTATCTGATGTTCCTGTCTCGAGAAATTGATATAAAACTGTGTCAAATTTATACGAAAATCCATATCTTTACAATTTTGTATAGAAATAGTAGGTTTAACAGAATATTAAGCAAATATGCAACCAATCTGAAAACAAAAAATATCCAAGAGAAACCTAATTGTAACATAAGTTTTATCCAATTATTGTTTTATAATTTTTATTTTTATTTTTAATAGATATAATTGATAATATTATTTAAAAGTCCGTATTACGTCACTAGAACTCCCACCAAAGGAAGTGCAGTATAGTGGTCACGTTCACGTATCTCTGTCTGTATCACGTGACCATTATACTGCACTCTAATTCAGATAGAACTTTCATGGGTCGCGATCAAGAGCTGAATTGATTAGCTTTCATTAATCATTTTTCCTTTACAGCCTTTTTAAGTTTCGATCTATGTGTAGAACTTGAATGATTAAATTCACTTCTTTTATTTAAAAATTATATTTTTCTTACTTTTCTAATCCTATTAACAACTGTAAGGGTTAAATAAAATGGGTTAATCAAGATATCTTTGCAAACACGTTGAAGCTGTGTTTATATTTTTATTTATAAGAAACTGATTACTATCCCCAAACTGTTATTTTTCAATTCTGATCTCATTTGGAATCTGATGTAGATAGGCATTATTCTGATAAATCATTTAGTCAAAGTTTTAAACATCCAAAGGTTGCAAAGATATAGGGATTACAAATTTAGAGTTTGAGGCGTGATATCAGTTCCTGTACAATAAGAACCAAAAAACACTGTGGATTGATTAAGTGTATTTGATGTTGCTACNTGAAAGTATAATTTTAAACTGTGTGTGTACTGTGTACAACTTAAGTACACAAAGATTGGTTTACATATGTCAAACCTAAAAGAAAACTGTTTTGCAAAATTAAGATTTTGAAAAAAAAAACTATTTCTGGGTCTGAATATTAAAAACACGTTCTTGCATATTTAATTCGAAACACAGTGTATATATATTTGGTTTGTCCGTTGGTTTGTGTGTTTGTATATTCTAATAAACGTGAAACAGTCATATTGTTGAGGTGCAACATTTTTGTGGTAATCCACATGTCTACAGGAAAGGTTTGCCATGCTGTTATTTAAAGGTCTCAACCTCTCAAACAAAAATCGATAAGAATTTTGCCAATTAATTTCAGGAAAGAGTTGCGACACTTCAAAGCTGGCCCTGTCTTAGCAGGTGAATCTTTAATTGTGGGCCGGTCAAAATAAAAATTGTTGCATCAAAATAATAATTATATAATATATTCTGAAACTATAACGCACTTGTTTATAGCTTTCGTTTAAAAGTGAGTAAGTGGCAAAATGTCCAATTTTTGTGGGTTACCAATAAACAGTAGAATTAATGTCGTCTTATTTCTTTCTGTTAATTTGAAATGTCGCATGGGGTTTAAATTTTCTAAAAATTTCTAGAAATGTTCTTGTTTACCAGGGATATTTAACTGATAAATCAGGTAAATATATGTATATAGATATAAAACAACACTAAATTAATACTTACATCCATTAATCCAAGTTCACATAATTTCTCCTTTAGAAAACGTCCCTCGATCAGCTCATCTTGCTGATCTGATATTGATCCTTCCTGTCCAAATACTCCGAGCACTAGGAGGAACAGGACGCACTGTACAGTCTCCGTATACCACAAGATCATGTCTGCAATAAGTTGAATAATTAAATATTTTTTCTCGCAAAACTTTTTTAGATTCACAACATTCACTTGATAGCATACACATGATTTACATGAACATGTTTCAGATAAATAGTAAACTATTTAAATATAAAAGATTCTGAGGCTCACTAGTAAATATCTTATTTCAAGATTAAATTTTGATTTGTACTTAACCTTAACCTTATTAATTTAAGCAAATGTTTTTTTTAACACCTATTTCATGTTTTAGATTCAAGTCACAACGATCGCTGTAATGATATAAGTTAAAACCAAGTATTAAATAGTTTGTATAGTCTATAGATTACTAAACTATTTAAGTCTCCAGTAAGTATTCAACACTGAGGAGTAATCTCTATACTAGGAGTAGAGTCTAGTGTATACAAGAATGGTTTAGGGTTCAATACTGACAAGGATACGTGAACCTAGAGCGCGCTCCTTCCGTAAAACCAAGAGACGACAAGGTAGCAGGAACTAAAGTATATTATGTCAACCAAGGATCTCTCTTAAGGATAGGCAATGTGTCAGGCACTAAAGTGTAGGATCTTAACCAAGGATATATAATAACAGTAAGTAGTATATTATGTCAACCAAGGATCTCTCTTAAGGATAGACAATGTGTCAGGCACTAAAGTGTAGGATCTTAACCAAGGATATATAATAACAGTAAGTAGTATATTATGTCAACCAAGGATCTCTCTTAAGGATAGACAATGTGTCAGGCACTAAAGTGTAGGATCTTATCCAAGGATATTTAATAGCAGTAAGTAGTAAGTAAGTAATTATTTCTTTATGAAATATAATAAAAACATACAAAATTAAGTGTTTCATGAGAAAATATCTTAAAAGCTCCAAAAATAGAGGTTTTGGGAATATTTCCCCCCATTCTAAAAAAATATAGAAAATAGAAATTAAAGAGAAAGGAAAAGGAAAGTTACATATTTATTGTTTACCTTATATTTGATATAAACTGTTGGTGAATTGTTAGTATTTTTTGACGATGAACTAAAAACTTTTAGAAATAAAAATGATAGATTTATTTGTAATGTTAAAAAGAAATTCTAAATAAGCATTATGGGGTGTGAAAAAGATATAGGTTCTACGCTTAACGGGCATTTTAAGCATCTTTTTAATTCGTGCCGATTTTTGACATCCTTTATATTTGATTATATCTTTAAATTGTTTTAATCTTTTTAGCCTTTTCTTTGTAAAATCGTCTTTGCTTTCTTCGATTCTTTTGCAAACATAGCATGTGTTAGAATTAAAACATTGGTTCAACAGATAAAAATCTTAAATCAAATTCTTTTTAATATTAGAAATAAGATTGATATTTGAAAGCTTAGAAAAGTGTGCCGTTTTTATTCATACCATATTTTAGGGAATTTGTGAGGAGTAAGCAGTACAATTTTAATACCATCGAAATCTTTCTCTGATCAAGTATCTATAAGATATCCATGTTTTTTTTTTCTTTAAAATGTTTCTCTGCGAACGTGACTTGCTCATTTCTCGCTTCTATTTTACAGTCATAAGTTATTGGTTCCGTTTATTTTTGAGTTATCCGTGAATTTATTCTTCTAGTTTTCAATCCTTAAAACAAATCCTTGATCTCAATGCTTTGTCCTGAGAACCAGACTATATTAAGCTTTAGTTTGGGAAGAAGAACAGAAATCTTGGGTACACAATATTATTTGTGCCCTTTTCTGATATCAACATCTCAATATTTGGTTCAGTTCGACGTTTAAATAATACCGATTTTATGAAAAGAATTAAGGAATTAATAATACAGGATTACCCTCAAAGGACTTTTGTACCTATTTATTAGTATATTATTAGTATATTATTAGTATATTATGAGGAGTAGGGAGGCCGGAAAGGGAGGGAAAGGGTTTTGAAGGGAGGGGAAGGGAAGAGTAGGGAGGCCGGAAAAGGGAGGGAAAAGGTCTTGAAGGGAGGGACAGGTTGGGAATCCAATGAGTCAACATTGAACGGAAAGGAGTTCAAGTTGAAGTAAAGAAGATTTAAGGTTTGAAGGTCAGGTTGAGGGACAAACTTTAATACTCCGGGTTCAGTTAATCCTGCAACGATACGCTGCCTGATCAAGCTCAATGAGTCCACGTGAGCTTATGCAATATAACATGAATACATATTCAGGGGGCTCGGTAACCATCTATATAAACTAAGAAATTAATTACTCAACACTTTTGAAATTCTGTAAAAAATATCCTCCAGAAAAAATGCATTTTAACCCTTAAAAAATGGGACATTCTAGAAAAATGTATGCATTATAACTCTAGCTTTTAAAGCTTACATTTTTATCTGTATAATGAATAAAAAGCCCAATTATTGTAATTTTTACTTTTTTCAAAAAATAGAAATGCCGCAAGGTCTTCTAGAGATATATTCTAGAGATTTATCTCTTGAAATTGCACAATAATTTGCGGCAATCTTAAGTAAAAGAAAAAACAAAGATTGGAACATTTTTTTTGTTCTCAGTACACCTGAAATCTGTCGAGGGTGCTATAAGTGTTGTGACAAAACATACAAACAGCTCACATTGAATACAACCTCTTATAAATAAATAATAGAAGGTAGTTTTATTCTTCTATAAACCTATTATTAAAGAATATAATAACTAGGAAGGACGAGTATATCTAGGTTAGTTTCCGCTCCATTAGAGGAGTAGTTAATTATCTAATCTTTGTCTATCTTAACCTAGGTTTCACTAGAATAAATCATTTCTTTCTCCGGTTTCTCCTCCCCTCTCTCCTTCCCTGTCTCCCCTTCTGTTCTCCTGACTTCCCTTCCTCCCTTCCTCCCTCCTGTCTCCCCTTCTCCTCAACTGCCACCTTCTCTTCCCATGTCAACCCCTCTCCTCCCCTGTCTCCCCTTCTCCTCAACTGCCACCTTCTCTTCCCATGTCAACCCCTCTCCTCCCCTGTCTCCCCTTCTCCTCAACTGCCACCTTCTCTTCCCCTGTCTACCCCTCTCCTCCCCAGTCTACCCTTCTCCTGATCTTCCACCCCTTCCTCCTCTTCCTCCTCTTCTCCTTTCCTGTATCCCCTTCTCCTCAACTTCCCCCCTTCCTCCTCTTCTCCTTTCCTGTATCCCCTTCTCCTCAACTTCTCCTACCCTCCAATTCCCAAGTCTCAAAAGTGAATATTTTCTCAAACGTCAAGTTTCCAAAAATCTTATTCCCATAAGTCATTTTATGATGTAAGATTGAACATTTTTATTCTGTTATTATGGGATGTAGAATAGGTTCAGACACGTTCATTGCCGAGCGCTGCAGCTGTAATATTCGGGTAAAGGCAACATCGAGCATAGTACATTTTGGATCTAAGTCTCTATTTGGTTGGTTGCAACGTGAAAAACTACTACATATTTGAAGCTACTTTACATGTTGTTATTTTTTCTTCAAAATATTCTACCATTATTGTATGAAAATAAACGTTGATAATGCATAATATCTGTATATAATGTATCTATGTATTGTATATGTATATTGTGGTTTGTCTAATAGACAGTACACATACTCTTGATAAGATGTATGAGGAGTTTATATTCTAGTGTAAATACAGCAGGCATGGATTATACTGAGGTACAGAATAAATTTATACATATTTATTTATCATTTTTTGCAAGGAAAAATCAACAATATCTAGTTTATTCTATAACAATTTACAGCAGAACAAATCCTGCGATAAATGTCTGTTTTTAATGACTAGCTAGCTGTTAAAGGCTTTGCAGGGACTGTAGACGGAATTCCAAATTATCATATAGATCCATGTTGTTGATTTCCGATTTAAAACGATTCCATTTAAACTTCTATCTGTCCTGAGGAACAATGAGGAAGATACCCTTTAAACTTCTATCTGTCCTGAGGAACAATGAGGAAGAAACCCTTTAAACTTCTATCTGTCCTGAGGAACAATGAGGAAGATACCCTTTAAACTTCTATCTGTCCTGAGGAACAATGAGGAAGATACCCTATAAACTTCTATCTGTCCTGAGGAACAATGAGGAAGATACCCTTTAAACTTCTATCTGTCCTGAGGAACAATGAGGAAGATTCTTTTAAACTTCTATTTGTCCTGAGGAACAATGAGGAAGATATTTTGTTCTTCTAATTTACTGTTTAATATTTCTTTATTAAATAGTAAAGGGGGCGGGCTGGGGCAGGGGGGATACAGATAGAATGACGCAAAACTGAGATTTAATTTAATTTGTTTGTTTCAAAGTTGAAAGTTTTTTTTCCAAATTTTATCCTGAAACTTGCAAATATCTGACAAAACAGAAACGTTTTTTTCTTTTCAATTCAGCTTAAAGGGATTGTACAGTGAATTCCAGTATAAAATAGATATCCCATATTTATTGTGTTATTTCCTTCCAAATTTGATTTTAAAGGGACAGACCGGCTATGTAAGGTAGTTGAACTCAAATAGGTTGTCAAGTACAGTAGACGGCAACACAGAATGTACACTTTCAGTACAGCTGTTTAAACGTCATAAGTGTCAACTCAAATTTTCTATCTGACAAAACTATAAATAAAAGTGATATTTTTAGACTAAAGTGCTTATCTTTTAGTGAAATTAGTGTGAAATTTTATGTGTTCTTTTATTCTGTTTTTACACTTTTTCATTTAACGTTCTATTGACTAAATGACAGGGTTGAAACTGATATTGTACATAACCCTTTAACATTGTAATTCGAAATTATAAGGTTAAAACATATTTCAGAAAGTTTAATGATATCTTTGGAGAAGTGCTCTGAAACGATCTAATCGTGGACAAACCCCCAGATCCGGGGAAATACGGGCAACAAGAAACGGTAATTTTCTAATGAAATGTCGTCTTCTAAGGATATTTAATTTTTTTCTCAAATGTCGTATTTTACTATTTTTGGGAACACGTAAGAAATATATAAAAATTTTCAAAAGTGCTTTAATTAGGAAATTATTGGAAATTCTATGCAGATATATATTATAAACAGGGTGTCCCAAACAGTTATTTCCAGGCATTCTTTTTATATTACAATTACTTCTTTAATTATGGCGCATGAGCCGAAAAATCGATTTCCCAGATTTTTCAAATTTTGATTTTTTACATACATTCATTTGTTCATAAATAACCAAAAACTTCACAAATTTTTGTAAATTTTATGTAAGTTATCTGTTGCAGCCAAAATTTTGGATCTGCAAAGTGTTTTGTGAGATAACATGTATAACATGTATTCAATTTTCGCAATATGGATGTTTGTGTGATTTGTTTTGATAAAAAACTACAGATTTTTTATTATTTATTTTAAATCCATCAAGGTGGGAGGGGGGGGGGGACTTTAAAGGTATACTATGAACATATACTAAGTCAACATTACATTATTATGAATTAAATGATATTTTTTGGTCTTCATTGATTATATTTGTTCATTTAGGGGGCAGGCGAAGAACTTATTTTGTGCCTGGATGCCGTCCACCCCCTGGGACATCCAGATTTAAAGTTCCAAAGAACAAAAAGAAGTAGGAATTGTGGCTGAATTCTTTGAAAATTGACGACACTAATGAAATCGGAGATGTCAGAGTGTGTGCTCTTCATTTAGCTAAGTCTGATTTTAAGCCAAATTTGAGCACTTTTTCGAAACTTCCAGAAATCTCCGCTGCAAGGAAATTTCTCTTATCCTCTGAATCCCATCAATAACTGTAAAAGAACCAAGATCTCCATTATCAACCTTTTTGTAAAAATACGTTTTTTCCCAAAGAATAAAGCATCTAAATGTTTTGGTAAACAAAGAAGGTCATCACACGATACGAAATTTAAAACAAAAAGGTCAATATATGTTTTAATAAATAGTTAAAAATTATTTTTGTATTTTTATTATTGTTTTTTTGTTGTTGTTGTTGTGTGTGATGATATAATGTGTATACTTCAGTCAATGTTTAACCCATCAAAACTTTGTCTCTTTTAAAACAAGGTGATCCAAATGATTTTTTGTAAAATTCGAATAAGGTATGAGTGTTTCAAAAAGTTAGAAGTCTAAGTTTTTAAAAAAATTAGTTGGCTTTAGAAATTGAACAGTAAACCTATAATAACCCTAGAAATATTTACTTTAATGCTATTTAGTTTACTTAGATATACAGAGAAAAAAATTAAGCCACCAAACGACATTAAAAATACTCTATCTAATTTTGAGTTGTAAATATTTTTTACGTATTCCTACAAAGACGACATTTATCTCCACCGAATCTTGTAAATCATACCAATTAATTAGGGGACATGTCGTCTTTCTTTTTTCATTTGACACATATGACGTTATGCGCAGTTGGTCGATTTTTCTGTTGCCATCTATTGTACTTGACAACCTATTTGGTTGAACTGAGTATGCAGTGTTGTGGAAAAATTCAAGGATTCATTTGAGACATATTAAACTTTTTGAAAATCTGTAAATCCTGAGTTTAAGCTCAAAGTCGACGTTCAAAATCGTATTTTGGGTGGATACGTTTTCAGAATTATTTTTTATTAAATTATTACGTCGACTATACACTCAAACTCAGTAATTATACATCGTGGAAACGTTTGTATGTCTGAAATGAATCCTAAAAAATTTGTCCACAACACTGAATTCATAGTTTAATTACCTTACATAGCCGGTCTGTCCCTTTAACTTTGATATTGGCCCGATGGTTCAGGTTGTTGTTTGCTTTTTAGCTACATTAAACAAAACAAACAAAAATATAGAATGTAACCTTTTGTATAGTTTTGTTTTTTTCTGGCATAGGAGGTGTGAACATAATGTCAAGTATTTCTTCTTAAACTATTTATATAAAAAGAGTCGTAGCGGTCACTTAGTGTACAATGTACATATTATTACTGATTTATGTAATATTTATATAAAACTGTATTCCGTAAATATACGATACACGTCAAATTTAAGTATTTCCTTATATCCCTAAATCTTTGTAACCTGATGGTGTAATCCTTTGATAACTATTTAATCCAACAGAAGTCATGTTTGAAATATCTAAGGCATAAGATATTGGGTGCAAGATATGTGAGTTTTAAATCTTATATGTTTTCAATAATAACTCCTCTTTTTAAAGTGCTATTGAGAAGAATAAAACAGTTTTTTATTTATAAGCTGAAACCAAATAAGAAAGTTTTTCTTGTATTTGAGGGTAAAATCAAAAATAAAGAAGCCACGAGGTCACAAAGTCTATCCAGTAATTTCTCATTCGATTGATCTTTCCCTTATATCCGGATTAGAGTGAATACATGGTACACACTATATAATATATCAATACATCTAAGAGTATAGATATATGCTTAATTTGTAAATCAATCATGTGTCTATGATCTCAGCCCCTCCCCCAGGTGGTGATTCATCCGTTGTAATGTACCGTTTTATTCTTCTACAGGGTGTCCCAAAAAACATGGGAATTCAGTGACGAATTCGATATCGTCTTTGTTATAAATTAACATTGTAATACCTAATTTCAAAAGCCATAATATTATTATGTCTGCTAGAGTTTATTTAATGAAAAGGGTAAAAGACTGAAAAGATGTGTCTATAATGTCTCCGCAAGATGAACAGTGAAGACGGACAAGTTTACTCTGTTTGTATACTGTAATTTTCTTGTTTTACTAAGTACAACCGGTTGCAGTCAAAACATAAACAAACAAAATGTAAACATAGCAGACAAAACTCTTACAGATTACAGCTTTCTCAGTAGGTATCACTATACTAAATCAAAGAATAATTCATAAAGACGATATCGAATTCGTCACTGAATTCCCATGTTTTTTGGGACACCCTGTATATTCTTTATGTACTTTGTAAAAGTGTGCTGTCCAGAAGTCTGCATTGGTGGAGTTTAAAGTACCCCGGCGCCGGAAAAAATCATTGAGAGTATTTTCATTGATATTATATTATCATTAACAGTTTTGTTCTTATCCTAGCAAACTGTTACTTTCGATCACAATTTGACCAATTAATCATATGTTTTTCGTCTTTATTCCTTTCTACTATTTTGTTTACATACGCGTTATAAATGAAAAGTATAAGTAGACAACTTCGTAAGTGTATATATCTTGCATCTTGCCCTAGTTAGTCCTAGATATATCATATATCTTGCATCTTGCCCTTGTTAGTCCTAGATATATCATATATCTGTGCTTTAAAACCACACTCCCTGCAGAACAAACCGAACATAATTATACTTATTTATATATATATATAACTATACAAAACGAACATAATTATACTTATATATATATATATATATCTATGATTTCTAGGCTCGAAGCAAAGGACAAACTGAGCAACTTATAAACAGGAAATGATATCCTTGGCAACTATTGTCAAGTGTATATATTTAATTAATATCGCACAATTTGTTCAATTTTACTCTCAACAATTCTTCAGATTAGCCAAGGTTTATATCATTTCCAGTTATGGAGATTTTTTGCAAGACTACAAAACAGACCTGGAGACCCTGGAGAACCCGGAGACCACAAACAACCTGAAAATCAAAGAAAAAGGAAGTTCCCCCTTCTTTTTCATCACTGCAAACACAAGGTAATCTTTCTATTTTTAAATGAACATTTATTTGAAATTTTTTATGAACACATTTCTGTCAAGGTTTTCTGGAAACTACTTTTAAAATGTAAAAATGTATTTTTACAAAAGGCAAATTGAGTATATCTTGTAACGACATTATTTTGGTTTGATAGCAGGGTCAGTGTCTCCAGTCGATTCCTTCATTTAAAAGGGATTGTTTTCCACATTTAGGGTTGACAAACAAACACCAAATCTAACTTTCAGTTAGACCAAAATAAAACGTCCATGACAAAGATCAACAATGGATCTCATAGTCGACAATTTTGAAATTTTAATTTTAAAAATAATATTAAAAAAATGTAACAAGGTACAAATTAGTACACCATACTAAATCCATAAACATGATTCCGTTACAATCTAATGTGATATATACAATATATATTTCGTAAAAAAACTGTTATCTTGTAAAACTATACGTAAATAAAAATAAGATAAAAACTCCGTTATCTTTCGCATTTTTGCTGAATAAAATGTTTAAATGGTTCCCTGGCAACTCTCTGAGGTGTCTCATGACATAAGGAGGTTTACAGTCCTTTAATAGGCATATGTAAAATCCTTCTAATTAGTACCTCGTCACATTTAGAGTTTCTCAATGGTTTGCATCTTTGAAGCTCATATTGCAGGTTTAAAGCTCTAAATGTTTACACTTTGGTCCTAATCTCCTATCCTCCAGATTATAAACAATACAACTTTACTCTTATTTATTCATCAAAACTAGGAAAGCAAACTAGCAAATCTAAAATGAGAATATTTATTCAAATAGGAATTTTGTATTTAGTTTATCACAATGCAAAATTTTACAGTGAAGATATATCAAATAATAATGTTTAAAACAAGAAAGCTCTTCCACTCCTTTTTATCAATAAATAAATTTCACTTGTCTGTTTGTTTGTGTGAAATAAACGCCAAAATGCCTGAATTGAATTTTTTGTGATCAATCACATGACCCCAGGAAAGGTTTAAGGCTAGTCGGAATGGAAAAAGTTTGCCTTAAAAAATGTCGATTTTTACAGTTTTTAAAAATCCATTAATTTGTACAGAAAAATCCGCAAAATTATTTAATTCTTGAGGTACATAAAAAATAGCGACTTGAAAAGCAACAGTTAAAAATCTAGTTTTTAAAACTTGAGCTATATTAAATCCAACTTTAAAAAATGCTAATAAAAATATTTGTATTTTTCATGCTAAACTATTTTTATTGCTTCTAGAGTATTCTAAACATTTTAATATAGTTTATTTGCGATACAATATAATTCTAAAGAAATAAAATTATAATTCAGAAACCCTTTAACCTCCTTGTATTGACTGTTATGTCTGATTCACAACGTTACCTTTTCAACCTTTGTCTGATCAGTGATCATCGATGAATGAGATATCTCAGGTTTTCCAGCTCAAAATTGATTATTTTCAAAGGAGGTTTCTTTTTCAAAGTGACTTGTCCGATTTATGCAACAGATACAATTAAGGACATTGTCATAATAGAAAAATGGTAAACTTGAAATCACTTCTACAGCCCCTTTAAAATAAACGAGGACACTTTTTGGTCAAATGACATCACAACTTTTTAAATATTGTTTTCTTACAGTGAGAACTGTGAGCTAGACCTTCTCACTCAATCTGAGAACAAGCTGGTCAACAAGGTTTCCTTCTCCTTACTCAGCATAGTCCTGGAGATACAGAACCATACTCAGGAAGGAAACTCATCCTTCCTTCTCTCCCTTCTTCTTTACTCCAAGGAGAGTGAGATGTATAAAGTGTAAAAACTAAACCAAGATTGTTTTGAAAGTTACTCCTCTTCAAACTGAATAATTTATTTGCTTTTAAGTAAAAATGTTCAAAGCGACTTTTCGCAAGTTGGAACAAAAGAGTTATTTTACTTTAATATTTCGCCACTAATTACAGCGCTTACAATTCATATGTATTTAATCTAACAAATAAAATTACTTACTCCTATAAGACAATTGTATTGAGTTCAAACTTCAAACTTTTGAAAATGAAAAATTACCTCTGGTTACTGAAAAAAAGCTTTTAAATTTTATTTCTGTTAACATTTCACTATTAATATCCAACCAGGCGAACAAATGCAGTGAAATAGAAGGATCTCTTCGACTGGCAAGGTAATTCAAACATTTCTATTAAATTATATTTTCCAGTAGACCTTGTGGACTGTGGCTAGATACCTACTTAACCAGGAGATACTATAGCTAGATACCTACTAAACCTGGAGATACTGTTGCTAGATACCTACTAAACCTGTAGATATTGTAGCTACATACCTAATAAACAGGGAGATATTGTAGCTAGATACGTACTAAGCCTGGAGATATTGTAGCTAGAAACGTACTAAACCGGGAGATATTACAGCTAGATACCTACTAAACCTGGAGACATTGTAGCTAGATACCTAATAAACCTGGAGATATTGTTACTAGATAGTAGATACCTACTAAACCTGGAGATATTTTAGTTAAATACGTACTAAACCTGGATATGTTGTAGCTGGATACCTACATTCTAAATTGATACTACAAAACTTGTATTCAAGGTATATGCTATGACTAGGGTATTCAAGGTATCTGCTATGACTAGGATATTCAAGGTATCTGCTATGACTAGGGTATTCAAGGTATCTGCTATGACTAGGGTATATTCAAGGTATCTGCTATGACTAGGATATTTAAGGCATCTGCTATGACTAGGGTGTATTCAAGGTATCTGCTATGACTAGGGTATTCAAGGTATCTGCTATGACTAGGGTATTCAAGGTATCTGCTATGACTAGGGTATTAAAGGTATCTGCTATGACTTGGGTATATTCAAGGTATCTGCTATGACTAGGGTATTCAAGGTATTTGCTATGACTAGGGTATATTCAAGGTATCTGCTATGACTAGGGTATTCAAGGTATCTGCTATGACTAGGGTGTATTCAAGGTATCTGCTATGACTAGGATGTATTCAAGGTATCTGCTATGACTAGAGTATTCAAGGAATCAGCTATGACTAGGATGTATTCAAGGTATCTGCTATGACTAGGATGTATTCAAGGTATCTGCTATGACTAGGATGTATTCAAGGTATCTGCAATGACTAGGATGTATTCAAGGTATCTGCTATGACTAGGATGTATTCAAGGTATCTGCTATGAATAGGATGTATTCAAGGTACTTGGATGAGCTGGATGATCTATACTGCTATATAGAGCGCTGTAAAGACCTGGTTGAGAATGTTTTACTTCAAATAGAGGTAAATTATAATCTTCAGTTCATGTCTGAGTTAAGAAAATAAATTGTTATTTTAAATCCCTGGGCTTATAAAAGTGCAAGACACACAAAACTAATCGTTTTGAATTTGTTATTTTCTAGAATAATTTACATGGATTTAAGATAATTGAACTATTTGTTTTGTCTAGGGGTTGAACTCCTCTACTCCTCCTCTCAAGGTTGGAACCACTAGGTTTAGTTTACTCTGGGTAGAAGTCAGGTAAACATCAAATATAAAAGAAATTTGAGTCTTTGCCACAAACTAAGATTTTCTGATCCCTATATTTTTGGAACCTAATGGCGTAAACCCTTGATATTTCAAGCTTAAATCATTTGATCTAACAGAATTCATATCTCAGGTCTACGACATTGGATTTCAAGGATATAGGGATTAAAAAATCAGAGTTTTCGACAAAAACTCTTTTAAAGGGGCCTAAATTAGCTTCGAGATATATAACCGTTTACTTTGGATGATTCAAATAAAAGGAATTGCAAGTCTTTCCTACAAGCTCAAATTTTCTAATCCCTATATCTGTGTAACCTGATGGTGTAAACCTTTGATATTTCAAATTATATTATTTGATCCAACAAAGTTCATAGTTTGAAATATCTAAGGTTTATGACATTGGGTCTTAAAGATATAGGGATTAGAAAATCTGAATTTTTGGCAAAGACTCAATTTCTTTCTGTAAAATTATGTTATCTGAATGTTTCTCGTAATGTTTTTACGTAAGATTTCCCTGTTCCAAAAACAACTGGCCAAAAGTTAAAAGCACAATTATTTTTCTTGAATACGGGTTTTGAAAGAAATATGAAATATGTTCACAAGAAAATCCCAAATTTTCTATTGGTTGTCAACTGAAAAAAGGGAAACAAACTCAGATTATGATATAAAAATGATTATTTGTAAATATTCATGTTTAAAGACAATTATTATATTCATTGAGATTTGCTTCTGTCATGAACATTCAAAACAAACTGCTTAAATTTACGTATGAGTGTAAGGTGGGGTTGTGGTCAATCTAATTAACGAACTTTTACGGAAATTGGAGAGGGGGGGGGGTCTGTTTAAAAAGGGGCATTTACAAATATTTATTACCTCTTTACATATATTTAAAAAGTGAGCTGCTTAGCCTTGTATCCCGTCTGGATCAAGTTGTAAAGAACCTGAACCTGCAGCAGGATTGGGGGTTTCATAAGAACCTCATCAAGAAGAATAGAAATGACCCAGAGAAGACGACCGAAGAGTTCCAGCAAGAACGGAATCTGGAGGAATTCCTTCTCAAGATTGAGAAGGTTGTTATAAATGGAAAAATGCTTGATTATGTGACGTCACTTAGGAAAGTCACACTTTAGTAAATAAACCAAAGAAACGGAGTTTTTTCCACAAACTTTGATTTTCTAATCCTTTTATCTTTGTAACCCGATGTCGTAGACCTTTGATATTTCAAACTATGAATTCTGTTAGATCAAGTATCAAAGGTTTATATCATCAGTTTTCAAACTCAGCTCCTTTTATTTTTTAAAATATTTTTATTCAATTTTTTAAATCGAATTTAAATTTTTTGTGTCTTCCTCCCTATAGTTGTCTGAACACGAAGAGCTCCCGAGACGAATTGTCTTCATATATCCGAACTATTATTATTGAAGCAGAGAATACGGAGAGAAAGGATCTTCTTCTCCGATCTATCGTATTAATCATTCTACTCTGCAGAACCAGTAAACAGGAGGATCGAAGATTAGTCTCCAGGTTCCTTGATGCATACAGGAAACTAGGGGGTACCCTCATAGCGGAGGATCCAGGTACAGTTTGGGATATTTCTAAATTCTGGGAAGGATTGACTGGGATATTCGGAGATGGGTTGAATTCTCAGTTTTTAAAGCTCTCTGGGACCTTGGAGTCTCAACAAACAACCTGGTTCAGCTCAAGACTGATAAGAATTACCAACCTAGCCAAATCCTCCAAGGTTCAGCTTGAAACTCTTAACCTAACATTGGATTCTAAGCTCTCCAAACCAAATATAAGTTTAACTTTACCTGAGCTGGGAGAAAGGATTGATATGCTTCTCTCCATTCTGGATCTTATCCAGATTATATCTTCAGAGATCAAGCTTATACTCTCATCATTCTCCGAGTATGATAAACCTATGACTGCCAGCTCTATAATTGCAATTGGTGAAGGTTTGTGTGAGATAAGTCGAGTACTGGAGTTTATGAGTTCAAGGATGATAAGTATCAACTACTGTCTGGAGAGAGGTATCCAACATTCACAGTTTCTCATCCTAAACCTGATCCAAGGAATCAAGAAGGGAATCCTTTCGGATAAAAAGTATTTAGAAACTAAGTTTGATATTTTATGTTTTCTGATCCTTGCGGAAAAAAGTTTCTCCGGGCCGAGTAACCAGCAACGATTGAACCTTGCCCGGCTATCTATGGAACTATCTGCGTCAGGACGGAAAGTGTTTAAGGATTCTGAGTGGAAATCCTACACTACCATGGTTGAAAAGTTGATGAGACTCACCTGGTTCTGGGATTCATTGGAAACCATAAGTTTTATACCTTACCTTTCTTGTCAAACAGAGTTACTCGGAGTAATGTTGGAGGAAGTTTATACTTCCAGAGCTCCAGAGAAGATTAAACTCTTGTGTCATATGTGGAATCTATCTGCCGGAGTTTGGAGGCGGAGCGGGTTTGTAGAAACCAAGGACTGGATTAGCAAGTTTAAGATCAAGATTGAAGATATCCTAGAGGAGAGAATAATAGGGAAGGTTTGTAGTGAGGTAGAAACCCAGCTAAGACTTATCGTTCATGACAGAGCTGGGGTTCAAGTAGACCAGAGAAATCCGTTCAAAACCTTACCAAGCAGTGTACTTTGTTTTCTGAACCTAGTTCCCGTACCAGTTCTGGATACAGAGCTTTGTATCCGAAGCAGAGTAGAGGATTATCTTTCCAGGGTCTTCTACAATCTCACCACGGTATCCTTGTACAACTGGAAAACCTACGGGGAAATGAGACACTTGGCAGGGACAAGGATGAAGCTGAAAACGGTTCAAGATCATCTTCCTTCTCAAACCTTAGAGCAGGGTTTGGATGTTCTCCAGGTTATGAGAAACATTGGAGCCTTCACTGTTGATTACAGTTACAACATGAACGCTCAAATTTTCATTGAGAACAAGAGTAGTAGTAAACATCTGAACACAATTCATCTTAGGTAACTCTATCTTTTCATTCCTAGTATAAAGTTTATAACATTGTATTTCAGACATATAGTGAACTCAATCCGAACTCATGGTTTAGGAGTTGTCAATACAACAGTCAACTACACATACCAGTTTATAAAGGAAGGAAACTTAAACAACAAAGATTTAAAGATTTAAATATATACATAGGGATGGAAGGGGATGATTGGAAGAAAATTGGAGAAATAGGTTTATAATAGGACAAGAAAGATTTTTAAGGAGGTTGCTGACGTGAAGGAATGTTCTGAAATAAGGGGTTGGTTAAAATAAATCACCTTGAAGGGAATAGAAAGGGCAGATATATTGAAGTAAACTTAACGGGAGTGGAAGGTATTCGGAGGGTTTGGATTGGGGAAGGGTTATTAGAGAGAAGGGAAGTAGCAAGAATGGGAATTTCTCTAGGAAGTAGATTGAGGGGGAGGAAGGAAGGGATAGTCTAGATTGAGGGGGAAGGAAGAAGGGTTAGTCTAGAATGAAGGGGAGAGAGGGAAGGGTTATCTAGAAGGAGGGGGAGGAAGGAAGGGTTAGTTTAGAATGAGGGAGAGGGAGGAAGGGTTAGTTTAGAATGAGGGGGAGGGAGGAAGGGTTAGTTTAGAATAAGGGGGAGGGAGGAAGGGTTGTCCAGAAGGAATGGCTGTCTAAAAGGAGGGGCGGGAGGGGGGGAGAAATAGGTAGCCTAGAAGGAGGAGGGGGAGGAAGGGGTTGTCTAGAAGGAGAGGGAGGAAGGATTAGTCTAGAAGAAGATGGAGGGAAAAGGTAGTCTAGAAGGAGGAAGAGGAAGGGGTATACAAGAAGGAGAGGAGGGAAAGGAAAGAAAGGGAAAGTTTCGATGAAGGAAGAGTGGGGTGGGGGGGCACCCTGAGGAGGGGAGGAGGGAGAAGGATAAGTCCGGAATGAAGGTTTTCTAAACTTCTTCAATGCTTAGTCATCAAAGTTTATTTCTCTTTTTTAACCAACAATAGATAAATAACATATTTTCTTTCGTATTAAAAAAGTTTCCTGACACTATAGGCCAAGTTTGCTGTGTTATCTGAATTCCTTTTCGACGAGTTTATTAAGTCCAGACTCATCAAGGATCAACTATTTTTTAACGAAAACAAAAATAAATTGGATCAAAAATATCCGTTTGAAAGGTAATTAAGCAAAAATATGTAAAGATCAGTATCCAAACCTGAAAGGAACTCTTGACTTATTTTTCATTAATCCTGAATTTCCAGCGCAGCGCTAAATGCCTAATTTGGTTAAATTTTTTTTAGTCCAATTTCTTTTCTTTGCATTTTATTTTTACAGGGCCGTTAAGTTTAACCGTGGTATGAGAAAGCTAGGATTGATGCCGGACGGAGTATCTACCTACCTGGATAGGTTTAGGTTTCTTATCACACATATAGGAAACGCACTAGGATTTGTTCGGATGCTAAACTGTGGTGGAATCCTTCACTCAGCGGATATAATAAAATATATTCCGGATATCAATATTCTACCTGGGTTTGAATCCTTGGTAGAATCTGCAGGATTAGAAGACCAAGAGCTCAGGGTCTCAGCAAACCTTTTGGATCAGAACCTGGAACATGTTGCTAGATCTTTCAAAAACCAAAACTCTTTCTTTCGTCTTTTGGTTGGAGTTTTCTCTAAACAGTTGAGCTCTGGGTCCCACCTTCACCTAGCCAACTTCTGGGTTATCCTTCCCTCTCTCTTCATCAACTTCGTGGAGTACCTCATGATTTGCAAGGAAAACCTGAGTAAGAATAATGTGGACGGAGCTCGGATATCGGATGATGGATTCTCAATAGGTAATATTTTACAGATATTTCAGGGTTCTAGAGTACACAGGATACACAGGATACACAGGATACACAGGATACACAGGATACACAGGATACACAGGATACACAGGATACACAGGATACACAGGATACACAGGATACAAGGGATACACAGGATATACTTGATACACAGGATACACAGGATACACAGGATAATCAAAATACACAGGATACACAGGATACACAGGATACACAGGATACACAGGATACATAGGATACACAGGATATACAGGATACACAGGATACAAAGGATACACAGGATATACAGGATACACTGGATACACAGGATACAAAGGATACACAGGATATACAGAATACACTGGATACACAGGATACACAGGATACACAGGATACACAGGATATACAGGATACACAGGATACACAGGATACACAGGATACACAGGATACACAGGATACAAAGGATACACAGGATATACAGGATACAAGGGATATACAGGATACACAGGATACACAGGATATACAGGATACACAAGATATACAGGATACACAGGATACACAGGATACACAGGATACAAAGGATACACAGGATACACAGGATACAAGGGATACACAGGATATACTTGATACACAGGATACACAGGATACACAGGATATACAGGATACACAGGATATACAGGGTACACAGGATACACAGGATACACAGGATACACAGGATACACAGGATACATAGGATACACAGGATACACAGGATGAACAAGATACAGGATACACAGGATATACAGGATACACAGGATACACAGGATACACAGTATACACAGGATATACAGGATACACAGGATACACAGGATACACAGGATACACAGGATAATCAATACACAGGATACACAGGATACACAGGATATACAGGATACAAGGATACACAGGATACACAGGATACACAGGATACACAGGATACACAGGATACACAGGATACACAGGATACACAGGATACACAGGATTCACAGGATACACAGGATAATCAAAATACAAGGGATACACAGGATATACAGGATACACAGGATACACAAGATACACAAGATACACAGGATACACAGGATACACAGGATACACAGGATAAACAAGATACAGGATACAGGGCACAGAATACAGTTTAAAGGATACACAGGGTAGGGCACAGGTTACATAAGATAAAAGACATAATACAGAAAAATGTGATTAAGGATAAAGGATAAAGGATAGAAGACAAAGGAAAAGGATACAGGATACAGGATACACAGTTTTCTCTTCGCTGTTTTAAGATAAATATTTATTTTTGCCCAAGGTATATTTCCATAACAATGGTTTTCAATTGCAAACTAACTTTCACAAAAAAGTTCCAGGTTTTGTAAAGTTTTTAACAACTATTTTAACTCTCTTCTCTTTCCTGATTTTTTATATTCAATTTAAAATTATAAATATTACGAAAAAATAAACAATGAATCTTTCTTACATTTTTTATTTGATAAAGAATTGTTATATTTTTCCAAGCTAATGGATGCTACCTTGGACTATTTGATCTATCATAATTCATAGTAACAAAGGTCTCCTATCTACAATTGGGTTGCTTTTTTTCGCACTTTTTTCCTTAATGTATTTTCCCGAAAAATGCGAAATTTCGTTTCATAAAAAAGTTTACGAAATACGAACGAAAATTTTCGCATTTTTTCGCGAACGTTTTGGTTGGCTGGAAACCCTAGTGTGAATTGTCTGGGTACCAGACTACCCCCAGCAATTTTCTTGAAATAAATGAAAAAATAAACATTAGTTTTTAACATTAGAGTTTGGAGAACAGTAATCAATTTCTTTATCAAAATTATGGATGGAAACGTTGTGTTAAAAAATGATTCTTATTCTGGGTTATATCCTTTTTTTGATTTTAAATTCTAAAGTATTATCGGCGTTTCTGAAATTTTACCTGTTCTTGTTAAAGGGACTGTAAGGACAATTTCAAGTGACCTTCCATTTAAAGAAGAGCCTCCTTGATTCACAACTATATCCTTTAAACCTTTGACTGATCAAAGATTTACAACGGTACCCTTTAAACTTTTGACTGATGAAGGGTCCACAACGATACCCTTTAAACCTTTAACTGATGAAGGATTCACAACGATACCCTTTAAACCTTTAACTGATGAAGGATTCACAACGGTACCCTTTAAACCTTTGACTGAAGAAGGATTCCCATCGATGCCCTTTAAACCTTTGACTGATGAATGATTCACTTCGGTACCCTTTAAACCTTTGATTAATGAAGGATTCACAATGGTACCCTTTAAACCTTTAACTGATGAAGGATTCACAACGATACCCTTTAAACCTTTGACTGATCAAGGATTCACAACGATACCCTTTAAACCTTTTACTGATGAAGGATTCACAACGGTACCCTTTAAACCTTTGACTGATGAAGGATTCACAACGGTACCCTTTAAACCATTAACTGATGAAGGATTCACAACGGTACCCTTTAAACCTTTGACTGATGAAGGATTCACAACGGTACCCTTTAAACCTTTGACTAATGAAGGATTCACAACGGTACCCTTTAAACCTTTGACTAATGAAGGATTCACAACGGTACCCTTTAAACTTTTGTCTGTTGAAGGATGTCGGACATATCCCTTTTAATCTACTGAAACACTTATATTGCAAATCACTTTGTTTGCAAGCTGTTATATGTTAAGTGGCAGAATATAAATATTTACTTTTTATTTTTGAGTTAAAGATCAGTTGTTTGAGTTCAGACTGTACATAGCGTACAGTTGCGTTTTACAAGAATTCAAACAAGTTTCGATATGTTTAAACAGAAAGGTTTCTCTACTCGATGAATTGTTAAAGGTTTTAAGATCTGTACCTTTGTGAATCGAGAATTTGTCTCTTAGCATGGAGGGTCACTTAATATTACACTTACAGTCCCTTTGTGATTTAAGTTAGATTTATGATTGCAGGAATAGCTTTTAGTCTAGAAGTTCTAGGACAATGGGAGGAGGCTGATTCACTTCATTGGATGGATTCTGTTTTAGCATTCATCAGTAAGCATACAAATATGTTACAATGGGTTTATACAAATTTTAATGACATTTCCTTGTATTTTCTGAATGAATCAGCATTTGTATACATTTGTATGGTTTTCAGCAGTTGTATAGTCGTATTCGTTAAACATATTTTTTGTTGCCGAACCTTTTCAACTAATTTTATAAACTAAGATTTTATATTTAAAACTGTCAGAAAACTAAAAAGTGTTTGTGCATCAATATTCTATAAGGATGGTTCCATAATTTGAACTTTAAATATTGTTGAATTTATATTTGAAGAAATCGTTCATCTTCTTAAGCTTTAATTTTTTTATCCCTATATCTTTGCAACCTGGCGGTTTAAAACTTCAAAGTTCTAAGCCGTCAGTTTACAATGATTATAGGGATTAGAGTAATCAGTTCCGTTGTTTCAAGGTTCAGAGAAAGATAAAGTTGAGAAGAAGCAGAAGGATCATAGAGAAGATAATCTGCAGGATACTCTTGCTCTAACCCTGAGAAGGTTGGAGAATACTCTCAAGGAGTTCCAAATACTTCATTTCAATTTATCCTCAGCCAGGATATTCTTCCAGGCTTAACAAATATACAAAGATTTTTCAAATGAAAGAGACGAGGTTCAACTATTTCCGCCTGGTTCAACTACATGTTTCGTCAGTAATTTCCTGACTTATTGGACGTTGTTCAACAAGTGTATTGAGCTGGGTCGTTTATTGAACGTTTGTTCCTTTTAAAAGAGCATTGCTTTGTTTATTTGTAAACGATTGTTCATAAATTTTTAATCATAAATTTTAATCTCAATTGTTTCTGGTAAAAAAGAGCTTAATAGTGTGCAGAATTAAACCTTCTTGTTTTCGCTGTAATAAACATATATTATTCATCTAAATTTATTATTCTTGTTGAAAAAGTTAATTTAAGATTGTAACACGATTTCATATTTATTTACATATATACGGGATTGCCTACACAGGTTGACACTATAGAGACGAATTTACATAATTGTCTTTTTTCTTCATTCTTGGTTTATCATTAACTTCTCATACGTTGTGGGTTATAATCCTAACTTAGAGTTGTAATATCTGTTTCTTCATCAATTATTTATTATAAATATTCATCTCTTGTTTCTCTGTTTAATGTGCAGTTGTAGACCTTCTTTTTTCCCCTGTATTATTCATTATAAGATTTATAAATAGTTAATTACAGATCGTAACACGATTTGATATTTCTTATATATAGGGTTACCCACGTACAAACGTTGAGATGAATATATAACGAAGGAATAATGAATAGAACTAGATGAATATATGATAAAGGAATGAATAGAACTAGATGAATATATGATAAAGGAATTAATAGAACTAGATGAATATATGAATGGGATATTCTCCAATAAAAGCTCTCACCAGGGCATTTACTGCAGGTCTAAGAGAAGAAAGATTTAAACTGTGTGAGAATTTACTCTATTCTTGAGTTCTGCTTTTAGAATGCACTACAGACAAAGTATTAAGGAAGAAAATGTTTACGAATTATAGAATTCAGAATGATTCTTGTTTTCATCCTTTATCCTTGCTTTGGCATTCTGATTGGAATCCTGCACTATAACTAAATAAAAAAAATGTTAGATTCTGATCAAACTGCTGATACATACTGTAAAAACCAGATAAACAATGGAATAGGAAAACGATATTTTACCAATAACAAGTGTATTTGATGTTGTAAATAATCAAATAGTTTTACTAAACGCTTATTTAAACACTAATTTATTAAAATTCTAAACTTCTTGTCCGAAATTATTACCATAATGTTAAAGATATCTCACAAATTGTTATTGTTAAACATTTAGTTTGTAATTACGAAATTATTACAAGATTGTTAGAGATATCTTTCAAATTGTTATATCTCTAACATTTAGTTCGTAATTACGAAACTATTACAAGATTGTTAGAGATATCTCTCAAATTGTTATATCTCTAACATTTATTTCGTAATTTATAAATGCTCTCAGTAAGTTCATCATTACCAAGGTTATTAGGTCAGGAAAGTTAATTGCGGTTGCGTATTCTTTGCGTACATATTGAAACCAGTTCTCTCTGGGCGGTATTTGTAAACAAGAATAGATGCATCAGTGTTCATCTAGTATCCGAGTAGGATAAAAGCATTCAAATTTGATGATTTTGAAAATTCACTTAATAGTTTTCTATGGCCAAAATATTTCATTGATTTTTTATGTGGAAGATGGATCCCATGTCAGGCTGTGACATCCGTCTTGTGTTTACTATAGAGTCCAGAGACAGTACACTGCACTACAAAAAATGCGTACACCTCTGAAATAATTATCTTTTCATTATAATTGTCTGGACATTATGAACAAATTTCTATCGGAAAGGATAAATAAAACTTGAAAAGTGAGTAAATTAACCTATTTGCGGGTTTTTTATAAAGATATTAGTAATAAACATGAAGTGATAACTGGCAGTAGCTGGTGTGCCCAGGTTCATATTATTATTCATAGTTGCTTCCACCGTTTACCCGTGCTTGGTATTATAAAATCATTTTAGCTGAAGTGCCCGGCATTGCCCGTGAAATTTTAAAAACCTTCAAATTTGTTTAGCCACTGGTATATGTATATATATATATGTATATATATATATATATATATATGCAAAAATTATATAAATGGATAAACATGAATATATACATATGAGCGAAAGCTTTATTATAAAAATATACGAACCAAGTGAATAAGAATAATTTATTTTTAACGTTGGAACCTCGTGTTTTATGCTTTTTCAATTGAGTTAGGCATAAATGTAATTGTAGTTTAAAATCATGCAAGATTTTATCCCATTAAAAAACTATTAACTCCATATTTCATATTAAATTCCGAGAATCATTTATGTATTTTGGATACATAAAAATGATTATTGAGTATATATTTAAATTGTATATAATTTATCTAATGATCCTGTAACTTGTATCGTGTATCTTGTATGGTATATGTTGTGTCCTGTATCGTGTGTCTTGTATCTTGTGTCCTGTATCTTGTGTCCTGTATCTTGTGTCCTGTATCTTGTGTCCTGTATCTTGTGTCCTGTATCTTGTGTTCTGTATCTTGTGTCCTGTATCTTGTGTCCTGTATCTTGTGTCCTNTAAAACATAATAGAAACCAGGGATAGCCTATTTAGGGCTTGCTCTTCTGCTGAAGAAACAAAAAACAACCTCAGCGAAAAAATGTTAACCAAAATTAAAAAATTAAACTAGAGAATTTTGTTTATAATGGTGTGTTTGACATGCTACTTTCATTAAAAATAAAAGTAATAAACGCGAAATTTTTTTGTTAAAACTTTTTTCCTCGTATATTTTTAATATACGTTTGTTGAATATATAATTATCAATTAACTATATCTAGTTTATCAAGGTTCTGTTTACTGGTAGTTCCGGAGTCTAATTTCTATTTGAGGAGACACGAGTGATGGATCGGACCTGGAGACATGCAAACTTCACATTGAACCTAAACTAGATTATACTAATTATAATCACATTCCCGCCAAATTCTTCAATCACCTTTTTATCCAAGTCTGTCTTGCTAAGTTTATTAAATGGTCAAAAGTCAAAACTTTTGCATTAAATTGCGCTAATCATCAACGTTTGATCTCGATATCCACTATGACAACTTTAATTTCAGCTTACAACATGAGAGATCTTTTCTCTTTTTTGAATATCCAGGCTGGGTTCAAACCAATTAGAGTTTCTCAATGATTGTAGGCAAAATCTTCCCGGCTTCTGATTAGCTCTTTTCTCTTTTTTGAATATCCAGGCTGGGTTCAAACCAATTAGAGTTATCTCAATGATTGTAGGCAAAATCTTCCCGGCTTCTGATTAGCTGTTCAGTTTATGCAAACGATTTTGAATTTTAGAAACTTTCATGGATATCAAAATAAAGATTATATTAATCTGCGGATTAACAAAAGATAAGATCAGCATTGGTGTCGATATCCACAATTCTAAAGTTTTCAAAGAAAATTGCGTACTTTAAACATTTTCAAGGTTAGATAATATTTGTAAAATATTCCGGAGATGTTCTCTCAGAAATATGAGTAAAACTTTACTAAGTAGTTCCAACCACACACACACAAGATATTACAGAATACCAATTGGATGATTTATTTAATACAATTTTGAACGTCATGTGCCTCCTCGGGTCTGTTCTAGTGAACGATTTTTGGATAAATCGTTCTCTAGGAATATACCGCCCCCTCTAGAGCCTGAAACTTAAGACAGAGTATCGTGATGAAACCCGGTTTCATGAATGGGGTCACGCAGTTTTTTATTTTCATCATTCTCTTTTTTCTGATTAAAATTAAAATCTACAGAAACTCCAGAGTTTCGTTTAGCGATAATTTTTTAAACTTCTGGCTTAATAAATATCTGTAAGGTGGGAAAATAGTGTTTGAGTATATTTTACAGTGACGTATTAGGAGTGTTCAGGAACTGGATATAAATCATTAAAAAAACTCAAGAACTGGTTTAAGGTAAATAAAAACACTCAAGAACTGCATTTAAAGTAAATGAAAACTTTAAGGAACTAGTTTAAGGTAAATAAAACATTCAGGAACTGGTTTCAGGTAAATAAAAACACTCAGGAATTGGTTTAAAGGAAAAGTTCACTTATTTGGGTAATTTGAGGGTAAGCCTATTAGATTTTCATTGGTTTTAGTCTTACTTTTCAAAGAGAAAAAAGCCAATTTATCATTCAGAATTCCAGCGCTAAGGTATGATACCTTTGCATTATACACTATTTGATGCTTTTTGTCATAGTCATGGATTTTTAAAAATTTTCAAAAAATAAATGAAATTGTAGTATCTAATAGTTAATTGTAGATATCTTGAATTATTTTCAAAATTATTTTAAAATTGTCTTTTTTTCAAAATCTAACTTATTTTAAAACATTTAATACCTTTTCCCTACTTCCCCAGGAAACCCCGAGATTTATTGAAGAGATGGAATCTTAAAACCGGTTTGTCTGTGAGAGAAAGTCGTCTTTGTATAAACGTGTTAATTTGTAAAATCAGGTTTGAAGACGAAAAACGTTAATTCCTTGCTGATTCTAAAATGAAAAGTTTTCATTTTTTATTATATAATGGCTGACACAAGATGTCATTAAAATATGATAATTTTAGATTTTATTGGGCTGTTGTTACTGAAAAAAAACGATTAAATAGTGTCTATGCAAAGGCATATCCTTTCCACAGTAATTCTAAACGATATATCAGCTTTTTCTACGGTCATAGATATCTTTGAAAAGTAAGACTAATACCAATGAATAGCTAATAGGCAAATAGTTTACCATGAAATTACCCAAGTAAGTGAATGGTCCCTTTAAGGTAAATAAAAACACAAAGGAATTTTTTAAGTTGTAATTAAAAGCGCTCAGAAGCTGGTTTAGGGTAAATAAACACTTTTAGTGTCCCATTTTCAGACAAAGGAACTGAGTTTTTGCCACAAATTATGATTTTACAATCGCCATATCTTTTCAACCGGATGGTGCAAACCTTTGATATTTCAAACTATCATTATTTGATCTAAAATGATTCATAGTTTGAAATATCTAAGGTCTCCGACATTCAAATGTAAAGATATAGGGATAAGAAAATCAGAGTTTGTGACAAAAACTCAATTCCTTTTGAAATTTGAGTTCCTCTGATTCTTTGCTTGGATAAATCTAAAGTGTGTACATTTTGGTAGAATACTAATATATTCTAGGCTCTTTTAATTATATTTTCAGGTGTGGTAACCAGTCTCCCTTCGGCTCGAAGGAACTTGATATTTTTAGGGATATTAATATGTTTGTTTTTCGAGTATTTAGCTTCATCTTTTTT